AGCTAGAGATTGAAGATGCCTTAATAAAAATTGTAAGTACTATATACTTAAGTGGGAATAGAAACATATAGCACCCAATGTAAATTAATGTAATGCTTTACAGATACACAGTGCCATACCTCAAAAGTGTCCCTATTTAGGAGGGACTGTCCCTACTTTGGGCCCAAATCCCTCTGTCCCTCTTTTCTCTCCTAATGCCCCTTTATTCTAGTTGACCCATATATTTAGTGTGTATAACAGAACTCCACATGAATGATACTCACAGTAATGTGTTTTAATACTGTGTTTAGAAATCAGTCTGGGTAAATTAGATACATTGTTCTCCGTCTAAATTACATTTTAGTTATATAAATTATTATTAGTAAATCACCTAAACTTTCTCAGAACAGCCCCGCCCTCGGTCCACACACCACTAAAATTAAAGTGTCCCTCTTTGTCCATTTGAAATGCTGGGAGGTATGCAGTGCAAATCCATGTCCCATCCCCCGCATGTATCACAGCCATACATTGTAGATACATAGCCTAACTCGGGAGTAGGCAACCTTTGGCAACTTCAGATGTTACTACATCTCCCATAATGCTCTTACAGCCATAAAGCTAGCAAAGCATCCTGGAAAATGTAGTCCACAATATCTGGAGTATCGAAGGTTGCCTACCCCTAACCTAACGCCATGTAACATCACGTAGTGTTAGGCTATGTACAGCAGTGATTACATGTCGTATCCATAGTAACAGAGGGATTTACAGTAGAATTTTACACATTTCAGTCATGGAGAAAGGAAAGGTAACTCCTATTTTTATGAATACATTTATCGTTATTAAGAAAACAACAATTTCATTTGGTCTAGTGTGAAGAAGTAAATTCAGAAGATATTTTTTTAATTTGACCATTTATTGTATAGCTAGTTTAATTTATGTGTAGGGTTTTATAAGGAGTAAACACATTAAGAATGAATGATTTTATCTTACTCAATAGACATTGTTAACCCCTTAAGGACACAACTTCTGGAATAAAAGGGAATCATGACGGAATATTTCTGTCATGTGTCCTTAAGGGGTTAATCAGATTGGGGTTCTCCAGATTTTTTTAATATTTAGGAGTATTTTCCTGATTCCTATTTTTACTTTATCCTATTTCAAAGAATGGTCCTGATAAGGAAGGATTAGAGATATCAGTGTCAGCGTTGATGAAAAGAATGGAAGAGATTTTCAATGAAAAGAATGAGCTAGCAGAGACTGTGAGAAAATTAATGTGAATTAATATTATAGATTATAAATGAACTGTGTAACTTTATGTGAAATGTAACTCCATTTCACATAGAGCTCCATGTGTGTCAATGTAATATCACATTTTATATTGTGCCCCATAGAACTTAATTTAATTTCACATTACGCCCTTTCATTTTATCAGTATATCGTTTTCCCCTCTGTATTTATTTTATCTAACTCTATAGCAATTGCAATATATATTTGTTGTAGTTTATTTATATTTGTGTTGATCGTAGCAATGTTCCATGGACTGCTTAACCCCTTAAGGACACATGACATGTGTGACATGTCATGATTCCCTTTTATTCCAGAAGTTTGGTCCTTAAGGGGTTTAAGGACCACTAGAGGCACCCAGACCACTTCAGCTTAATGAAGTGGTCAGGGTGCCTGGTCCAGCTAGGATTAACCCTTTTTTTTTTTTTAAATAAACATAGCAGTTTTAGAGAAACTGCTATGTTTACACTGAGGGTTAATCCAGCCTCTAAAGCCTCTAGTGGCTGTCTCATTGACGGCCGCTAGAGGCGCTTGCGTGCTTCTCACTGTGAAAATCACAGTGAGAAGACGCCAGCGTCCATAGGAAAGCATTATGAATGCTTTCCTATGAGACTGGCTGAATGCGCGCGCGCGGCTCCTGCCGCGCATGCACATTCAGCCGATGACGTCGCTAGGAAGAAGGAGAGGAGGAGGAGGAAAGCTCCCCGCCCAGCGCTGGAGAAAGGTAAGACTTTAACCCCTTCCTCTCCCCAGAGCCCGGCGGGAGGAGGACCCTGAGGGTGGGGGCACCCTCAGGGCACTATAGTGGTCCTTTAACCCCTTAAGGACCAAACTTCTGGAATAAAAGGGAATCATGACATGTCACACGTCATGTGTCCTTAAGGGGTTAAGTAAATAAATGTGAAACCTTTCTTTTCTTTTGATGTGTAGCGTGCGCAGACTTTCAGAATAATGAAAGGAACAGTAGAAGCGACATGCCAAACAGAAGGACAGCAAATAAATGAAGTCGAAGTCAAAGTAGAAGAACATCAAGAGCAGCACGTAAGAACTCAAAGTGGCATATTTTATATAGATTTACCATTTTTTAAGTAATGATATAGAAGTATTTCAAATATTTCATTGATTTAACTAAATAAGATGATATTTTCCTTCTCAGGTGATGCAGGAACCCATAACTGATGAGAGCAGATGAGATGAGAGCAGCAGTGATAACTCCATGGCATCCATAACACAGGACCAGCAGTGCAATGACATCAACGTACAACAGCCAAAAAGGAAATCAAGGGCAAGACGCTTTCTGAAGTGCTCGAGGTCCTTATTCTGCTGTTGTGCAACACCTGTGGTCAGTCCCCAATATCAACAAACTAAGCCACAGATGACCAACGTCCATGACTGTGAAAACTAGAGCAAAAACAGATTAGTTGGAGGTGGTCAGTTCAGGAGTCATGTTGAGAAATGTATCAGTGAAATAAGAGTGGAAAAACAGAGCTCATTTAATGGTGACAGGCTAATTGTGACAATGTGTACGATCACACCTTTACTGAATTGTTAGTTATAGGTTATTTGGAATTTCCTTTTTCTATAACAAAGGCCTATATAACTATCCATAACTAATAGCAGTTAAAAACTTGAACTCAGAACCAGGGGGGTTTACCATGACTGCTAGCTCCTTTATGGTTAAGATTGTTAAAAACAATGACAGCTAGAGCCCACTGAGGGTTTCTCTGGTGTTCAGATGAAATGTAATTCCTTAAAACTACCGGTTACTGACAACCTTTATATTTTTAACTCGGCATTCTCCATGCCGACAGTCATGCATATCCAGGGGGGTCGGGGTGAGGAAGGTTGGGGGGCAGGACCTGGAAGCAGAAGTGAGGAAAAAGAAAAAAGTGAAAACAAAATGAGACTTGGAATGAAAAGACTTTATAGGTGTGGACTGAAAAAGATGCGTGGAACGCCAAAACCAGAAAGGCTCATGAGAGGTTTATTGAAATCAGGTGAATAAGGACAAAGTGCAGGGCGACTATATTGACTGCGGAAGCTTGAACATGTTTCAACAAGAGTGAACCAGCTTTTATACCTATGCTTATATATTTTTTCAGTTACTTTAGTGTATATTTTGTTCATAATATTAATAAAGCTTTTTTTATTAAACTACTGAGAATTGTACAATTTAATATGCCAGCCCGCATCTAGACACATTGATATACTGAAAGAGCCAAGTATAATCACATGAGTAGTACAGTTTAAATCATTTTGGTTATATATATATATATATATATATATATATATATATATATATATATATATATTGGTTTTATATATTATACACACTTGTTTTATATAGAAGGTAATTTTGGTGTAACTTTTTGTCACATGTATTCATTTTTTGTTTACACAGACATATTTTTAACATGCTCCACTAATTAATGATAACTTACTTTTTTGGTTTGTGAGCTTACCCCATTTGAGGCACTGTGTGATGCGGAGACCCTCCCATGGAAGGGCATCTCACTAATTTATACAATGTTAGTGAAAAATAGATCCTCACTGATATTCCTGTGGGCAGGAGGAGGAGCTGGGAATTAAATTATGCTTTTGACGCACAAATTTAGTACCTCAAAAAAAAACGCTGGTACTCAACGCCTCAGTCATTACATGCTAGGATGCTACAAATACCTGACCAATGGTGGAGATGAGACAAGACTTTTGGAAATTGATCTACAGAATTCGCAAATGCTTGGAAAACCCTGTTTTACATTATTACAACACACTACTCGCTCCTTTAAGGCATACTGGACCTTAGTTGTGACTTGCTTACTATGTGCTCCTAAAAGAAAAACACAGCCAACTTAGGTTAGTGCCAATCTTTCAACCGATGGGTGGCGAACGTGGAGCAGATTAGGTAGTTTGAAAATATAATCGGCCACAACGGAGGTCAAAATGCAGATTTATACGAGCTGCTGTTTTATTTTTGGCTGGATTTTGACGCCTCTCTTAAAGCACAGACCCTTCTAACAGAGATCTCAGTCCTTATATGACAGGCGGCGATACATACATAGAAGTTGCTTCTCTTTGGTGGATGGGACCCAGTGCCTTCACCATCAGGGAGAGGGGGAATGGTCTTATCTTTTGTGTAGACAAAAACTTTTTATTTTTTTCATTTTCTTACCTGGGGAGGTAAAAAGCATTAATATAGGGAAACAAAATGGATTAAATGAAAGCAGGGAAAGAGATGTCTGCTTCCCTTTGCACACATGCTGCCTGCAAAGGAGAAGTTCATGATGCCAGTCACCAGCTTAACATCAGGAAGCCTGCAACAGACTTAAAAGCTACCTAAGTCATATATGCTAGGGGTACATCTAGGCACTGGTCAGAAACTGATAAGATCTCTGCATACAAGCAGAAATGCTGCACATACTGACTCCTACCACCGTGATCAATTCTAAAAGCAGAAATGGTCATGGTGGTTGGATTAACCCTTTAAAGGAAATTTGGTGTAGTACTTTTTGCTGAAAATTTAAAATGCCCAACAGCATACCAAGGACTTGAATCCTAGTGGGAACAGATGAAATAGTACATACGAGTAAGAATTGTCAATAAGGCATGAAAGAAGACAAATGTAAGAATATAGCAAGCCTCCCATGTTAACATCGGGGTACAGTGACGTGGTTGTCTTAACACAATATAGTTGTATGTTGTAACTGAATCTAAGATAGGTGATTTTAGGTAGCCTTGTAAAATGATATTTGTTGTGTGCACGCTGTTCCCCAATCTGTATTTTGTATATATTTTGGTCTTTACAGCATCACCTCTACTTAGAAAGCATGTTCCAGGTGTTCCCTTACGTTCCCATTTTCTTAAGTAGATTTCAACATACCCTGGAACATGTTATGCAGACACACACACACACACACACACAAAAGCCAAATTAGACCATTCTCCTGATTTCCCGATCAGTTACAAAACAAGTTATGATTAAATAGGCAGATAACAAGTGGTCTACCAAAGTGGCAATATGCATGCAGGGAAAATACTCCAGGCACAAGATGCATAGATATATACACAACTCATTATGAAGAGTAAAAAGAAATAAAAACGTTATAATAAACAAATGACTTTATTGAGAATTAGTAATTTGTTAGAACACAAGTCACTTTCTACTTTGCATGTCAACAAATAATGACGCTACAATTGATGCAGTATATAAAAAGGAAAACAGCGTAATGCGATCAGATGTGTGCAAGGTTCCTTCAGCATTTTATTTGTACTAACATCTAAATAAAAAGCTTACATATCCTCTTTTGAATAGATATATCATTGCCACTACTTTCTATACAAGGCCATTCCCAAATGACATGACCATCCATGGTATTGTGTATATGATATTACATATGTACTAGTTAGGTTTCTTTTAGACAAAGGGAACATGTGTAAAGACGATGTTATTCATCCCAGAATACAAGTTAAGACAGATTGGCAACTTAAAAACATTTGATATATACAATGCATGATATTACAATAGTTTTCTTTTCCCTATCTCTCTAAAAATGTAATGGGGCAACTTGCTCAAAATGTACAATTTGGTATTTAAAAGTAAGAACAAATAAAAAATATTTCATAATTTTACTTTTGTCTGTTACATCTGGCATGTCTGCAAAACAAAGTAGTAAAATAAAGTATGGTAAGCAAACGATGGCACTTAATATATGAAACAAACAAATCAAGGAATAGGTGTGTTTTAGTCATCAGCTAATGATTTACACTCATATCAATAAAGTTCAATTATACGTTAGCTGTGTAAAGTGTACCATATTAAATGCTGGGGCTATGAACCAGGTCTATTTAAGTACTAGACCTCCAGCTATTAATCTACAACTATTTTCAACCCAAAACACAAACTAGTGAAAGTTGTATTCTGCAAAGACCTCAAAGACAGAGTGTGAATAACCTTGCCATTGTGTTAGCCAGATCATTTGTTACTGTACAGTTATTTTAGGTTTACAGAATATACAGTATCTTATTACCTTTGCCATATGCACCCATGTGCTCGTTTAGTCCACAATGCTCACTGCCCATAGTGATGTACACGGAACGCAGGGGAACACTGGTAAGCGCACACACAAATAAATAGTCCAGGAAGCAAACTTCTGGTTAAATAAGTTTGCTGCAGATTTTAATAGCATAAATGTATGTATATATTAAAATGACAGCATATCCAAAGGGTCCTTTGTCACACACACACAGACTCATAGAGGACATATAAAGTATTACAGTGGTATACATGCAGTACATAAAGAGAAAATGTTAATCGGATGAAAGACACAGAATACTAACTTGGTTAGTCTAGTCTATTATCCAGCCAAAATGCCCAGTTTTAAACTGAATTTCCTACTTTGTGTTGCTTCCCAAGCAATCGTGACCCAACATTATTGGTAGGTTTATTTATCGAGAGAAAACCAAATGAATTAAACGTTTGTGTAAAAAATGAAACAAAATATTTCCTAATACTGCCTTCCTTCCAATTTCATAGTCATGCTATTAAAACTTACCTCTTCCCATACTCTAATTTGATATAATTTCTGCTCACTCTACTACAAGTTAGACATATTAATGGCATTTTTATCATGCAGCTATGATTTAAGTAAGACTAGCTTTGTATATCTCACCATTTCATGTACTAACAACCCATTTCTAAAACATTTTAGTACCCAGTCTGCTTTCCCCTCCCGCTTAACTATGGTTTTTGTATTTTTACAAAATCTGCTTTAAAGAATATATTTCATCTAAACAGTTCTTGCAAAACTGCAAGTAAGTTTATAGATTACAGTGAGAATTTCATGGAAGAAAAAAAGAATAGAAACACACAAAAACAACAAACATTTGATATGTTGCAGCCAATGTGTGCTAGATTTACAATGTCGCAATGGTCAGGAACATTTAGTTTGAAACCTATTAGTGTTTATATTCCTTTATCCAACCTCAATTGATTACGTTACTTGGGGAAATTAAAGGATTCCAGAGTTGCCAAACTGCCACCAAGCAGTGCATATCAGGCTGCACAAGTTTTGCAAACTGTTATACCGACTAACAGACATCTGCAAGGTAGCCAATGGTACAAGAAGCGCAGATTTGAGTGACAATAATTAATCTAAGATTGATAATAACTTGTATACTAAATGGCTATGGTCATTACAACTACATTGCAATGTAGCATTATATATATATATATATATATATATTTGTTTTTATTTATTTTGTTTTAAAAATGTTACAACATTTTAAAAGTTATGTCCTGATAATTCCCCTTTTAATGCTACACTTACCTTACCTTACATTTTGATCTGTTTTCTGCAGCTGGCTGAAATGTGGTAATGTTTACGTTAACTCTACCAATTGTACTAGCCAAACGGGTAATAAATGGAATGCATTATACCCCAATGTCACCATGTCACCTTTGCACCACAGGTGCACCTTAACACAAAGTGCAAAAATAATATCCTTGCCAACATTAGTGTTTTGTTTTTTTATAATAACTTTCAAATAAGATCCTGTAGCAGAGTAATCTGCATTATACCACAAGAAATGCTTAGTCAGCAACACAAATTATTCAATTTCCAGGATGGTCCCCAAATTCTTGCAGTGCATTGTATCATTGCCCAATCAAACAGGTATCTTAAAAAATCCCTTTGTAACGCTCCTTATATACAGACTGTAGCATGTAAGAGCTATATACATCCATTTAAATGTTATGTATAAGACATTTGGGTGCTAGAGGAAGCTTCAAACCTTAGACCTCCATCTTGGCTACTCTCCCACACAATTATTTAGGGAGGATTACATTTAAGTGAGTTAAGGCAATAACCATGGGCCAATTTAAAAATGTAACTTTCTTGGGTCAGTAAGTAATGAAATAGAGGAGCACCTCTAAATTAAGACCATTTTACTCCTAATAATTATGAATTTTAAGTTAAGTTACATTTTGTCAGGGATAAAAGAAAACAGTTTATTTAAAAAAAAAAAAATCAAAAATCATAAAACACTTTACTATAAAGCAAGGACACATTTTAATTCCACCCAAATTTAAAGTAGAAGATATGTGGGTATTGTTCTGATTACAAACATGATTGCAGTCTTCCTTTCTGAAAATGTATTATTTACATTAGTGATTGTGTCCAGTAAGGAGGGGAGATCAGTCCAAAGGCTGTGGGTCTGCAATTGGCATAGTGTGAAGGACTTCATCCAGAAGCTGGAGAGCACGATGCAAGTGAATTTCAATCCAACAGGGAGTCTCCTTAATACTCTGTCTTGGGTAATCAGGGCCCCATCCCTTAACAAAACTCATACGCAAGATGCACAGCCTGCGGAGATCATCTACGCCAATTCCTGCAGCGGCTGAAAGACCTAAACAGACAATGTGTTAAGTAGGCAGGTTAGGTAATACTTTTAAGAACAAGGATAAGGCAAACAAAGCCACTTTTTGTATATTAATATTACAGAAACTTGGCAACATATAATGCATGTTAACCAGGTCGATCTTGAGCTTTAAAAAGACATGCATCCCTCTGAGGCAACGGTTATAGGTAAAAGGACAGCTTGCGACCTTATGATGGCATTGTTGAGGGCAGAGTGGCCTTTTAATAATAATTATAATAATAAAAGGCAAAATCAAATCTTTAATTTCTTGAAGTGATAAAATGATAGAACACCATTGTCATAAACTTAAAAAAACAAATAAATGACAAATGTTTCTTTCAGAACAAATTAATTTACCCTGTACAGATACTTATGTTAGTGGACGATAAATTCACTACTCACTAATGGCTGGGGCAATTCCGCCAACAGATCCTGGCCCTGGTATATTCCCGGCTACTGCAGCTGCTTGTGCGGCGGCTGCTGCCTGTGCTGTTGCTGCCTGCTGCTGCATCTGTCGATGGCACTGACGTAAATCAAACACCTAGAGCAAAAAAGAGACAAAAGAGAATTTCAGTCTACATACTGCCTGGAAATGTCCTTCAATACAAGTCTGCACACTAGATTAATGTGCTTTTTTTAAAAATCTTTCTGTCCTGCTGAGTGTGTGTGTGTGTGTGTATATATATATATATAAATAAAAATAATACACATATGTAGATATAAAAAAATAACGTGTGTGTGTGTGTTTGATAAGCTGGTCTCGGTGCAGTGTCCCTGCCGTTTTGCTCATGCAATCTAAAACATTGGAATTTGGAAGAAATGCCAATGTTTACACTGTAAGGCTAAATACACTTCCCATGGCTGTCACTCCAATAGCCACTAGATGGTGCTTTTGCCTCCAAAAAAAGTCAAACTCTGTTCTTGACGTTAAATAACTAGTTGCACATGGAGGTTTAACATTCTCAGTAGAATGCTGACAGCACCAATGTGAGTGTGGCTGCGTTTTACCGAGAAGTTTCTGAATTGGCAGACTGTGGCAATTGCTGCTCTATAAAGCATTTGACTGGACAAAATGGTCATCAAGCGGAGGCAGATTGGGATGCAGGGAAGAGGCTATGTTTGCATTGGAATACAGGTGAGAAAAGGGTTAATTAATTCATTTTTTTTTTTTTTTATATATACATATGTACTAAAAAGGGGGGCCAGAAATATCAAAGATCCCTCTATTTGGGCCAAAATAAAAAGAATTGTTTTGGGGGACTATGGTATACATGTAAGAAAAACATTTGACAATAAAGCAAGCATGTTAGTAGGATATGTATTCTCATATCCATTTAATAACATGTCTGTAAAAGCTTGTTTGCGCAAAATATACACTTCATTACCTTTATATAAGCACTTGGATAGATCTTGTGCACAGCATCCCCAGGAGCACGGCCTGCTTCCCTATCCAAGTAGTAACTCTGAACAAACACAGCATGGTCACTGAGGCATCGAACCCAGACATCTCCTTCACCCTTACACTCCAGCTGCACACCTTTTCCTATGTGTAACCTGCAATGCAATAAGAATTTTAAAATACATTAAAATAAAAAACACATTTAATTGCTCTAAGCACACACAACTCACAAAAGTAGAAGTAAGCACTACTTCCTACCATGACAACAAGTGCATTCAGTGTGCAATCATATATTATTTAGAATACCAGTCATCAATGTGCACAAATGGGCAAGTAATCACCAGCAGTAAATTTATTTTTTATTTCACACAAGGGTGTGAATAAAATGCTAAATAATATAGAAATAATTTGCTGTTTATCCAATGTATATTATATTACTTTTGTCCAACAATAAAGGTCAAATATATATATATACACATCTATATACAGATACATCTATATAAAAGAGTGGATGTATCCTTTTTTATAAAGTTGCTGTTATTGCCCATAATTTTGTGTGCCTAGTTAATGCCATAAATATGGTATCTTTGCCAACTTTAGCGAAGTGAACATTTGTCTGCATGTATAGAAGTTTGTGGGGCTAGTTCACATGCACGGCAATCTTAATGCTGATCAGCTCCACACAGATATATCGGTTAAGGGGTTAATAAATATTTATGGGGAGTGTTTGATGTCTTCATCTTGAGTGTGAAGACGACGTACATTGGTCCTGAAGACTACAGGAGCACAAAAGAAAGGGTCTCAAGTGGCTGTCTGAGTGACATCCATTAGAGATTCCTCTAGGGAGTAATGTAAACACTGCCTTTTCCAGTAAATATAGTTTGTCCCTGCAGTCTCCGCAATGTAGTATCTTCCACTTTCCCCCCCAAAACAGACCTTTATTCCATGGAAATGGCAAACCATAGGCCTCGGATTCTGAATCACATGAAGCAAAAGGGTAGGCCAGAAATGACAGTGGAGCCCTAGAGCAAGCTGAAGAGCCGGGGGAAGAGAGGTACATTTGAACTCTCTGAGCGCTCACAGGAACATGTCGTATAGGGCACTTCTGTTAGCTCAGTGCAGCCAGCAGAAAGAGGAAGAAAATCTCACTGGCCGTCAATAGGGACTTTTGCATTAGCAGGGGCTATTCTCCTGCTACTACTTTAGATATCCAGGTATTATTTGAAACCTGGGACTCCCTTACCACAGTCCATACTTACCAGATTCACTCATGTTATCTGCCTAGTGCTGACCTATGTTACACAAACCTCAGCTCCACTCCAATTGAAAACTGAATGGGGCATCTTAGAGAGGCATATGTGAAACACGTCTCGCTTACCATCTTAAAGGGACACCATAGACCGTTTCATCTTATTGAAGTAGTGTCCAAGCCGACTGACCCTGCCTTCCATTACACATCTGGATTCCTTACACAATACACCTCTGGGCCCCATAGCTCAGAAAGGGTTTATAAACCCTTACTGTATTTACCCGATTACAGTGCCGTTCTCACTTGGAGCTGGATCGGTGCTCCAGCTCCTCTGCCGGGAGGGAGCTAAATCATGAGCGCATTAGGCCCTTTCCATAGGAAAACAAACAGACGCTAAATGTCCTCACCAAGAGCCGGAGGACGCCCAGCGTCATTTAAACGACCAAAAGTCAACAAGCAAACAGGGAGCACCTCTAGTGACTGTCTGATGGAGGCAGTCTTACTCCTGCAATAAAATTACTGCAGTTTATCTGGAACTACAATGATTTACACTGCAGGACTAAGGGGGGCTTGGACCTTGCCCCCAAACCACTTCAATGAGCTGAAGTGGTCTGGGTGACTATAGTGTCCTTTTAAACAATTTTTAGACGTTTTAATGCTAAACAACACAGCAGCCCATACTCTCTGTAAGGCTTGGGCCAATGAGGAAGCATTATCCTGAGCCCTTTAAAGCCAATTTGAGTGGAAGAGTGTACTTAAGGAACTCTGTATCATCAATATTTTTCTACAGGTTTTATTTTTTCCTGCAAAAAAATTGAATTTTACAGCATGCATATTATGCAAGGAATATAGTTTCCTTAAGGCAGGGACATTTGAAACTTTAATATGCATGGAAATAGTCCTGATGAATGACAAGTTTGTAACAAAGACATATTAGCTAGCTATGATACTAATTGACCCTCCACTAGTTCACCCAAAAAGCTATTAAAAAAAAATATCATCTTGTTCTAACTTTACAGAAAGTGTCCGTATGAGTCCATCAACATCTATCTCGATGCAGTTTGACACATTTGCTTTTGGATTTCATGAAGGTGATTCTAAGTATTCATCACACCTTTGAATACTTGTTCATGTTCCCTCCTCAAACTATGCGGCTAGAAAACATGACCTTTTGTTCTAAAACAGCTGACATTCATCTTTAATCCAGCTTCATGACAAATTATTTCTGATCTCATTTGGAGTGGGATAGGATATGGACAGATTGGTAGAATTTCTCCAAACTCTAGTGGAAACTAGACGATAATATTTTAGTTTAATTCTGGCAAAAGGAAAAAGGACCAGTGGTGACACTGGGAAAAACCAAAGTAAGAAAATAAAATACGTGATTGTGGTGGTGATTAAAAAAAAAAAAACCAATAACACCATAACCAATATTCAACCTATGAACCCAGAAAACAGTGAGGGGGTAACACGGTATTAACTTACCATTGCGGCAGAGCTCTAAAAAAATAAGATGATTACAACATTTTACACGATTATTCGCAAAAGAGTGATACAAAACAAATATATCTGAAGCACTTCGAGAGCTGCAAAATAATTGGGTGTGTTTCAGCATCTGATGGTAGTTCCCAGATTACAGATGGAGAAACATGTACTTATCAGACTGTGTCAGGATCTTATTGCCACCGGTGCAACAAATCGAGAGTCTAACAAGCATCAGTACTCATGTGATGAGATTTTGTCAGCTATGCCACAAGTACAGTGTCAGGGATGTAAGAGGAAAAAATTTCCTACCCATTTATTCAGACCTGATTACGATTAAATAGTTACTCTTAAGATATTTGTTTATGCAATTCATTAGGACAGGAAATAAACCAAGATTGAGTTACCCTATTATTAGGAATAACTATATAGCATCTATACTGCTGCATGTCTATAGAATGCAATTAAGTAATAACAGCAATGAAGGATGGTACAAGATGGAGGCCAAAGCAGGGAAAGTTGTACGTTTAGAAGATCTGGTTTGGAGTACAAAGCTGATAGGGAAAATAAATTATCCCTACACAATTGTAACAAATTTGTTGAATTGGGGAAAAAAATAAAACAACTTTAAAGATTAAAAACAAAATTCCAATCCATCTTGAACAACACGTCAGCGACCTAAATCTAAATAAGTGGATACAAACAGGGATAAATAGGAGATCTCCGTTATTAAAAAAAAGGGAGTACTTAGATCTTTCCCCCAACTGAGAAGTGAATTCAATTCACCATCTAGAGAACTATTTAACTTTTAATACTAAAAAGAGTTTTTTACATCACATTTAATAAAATTGGATTTGTTGAATGTAATAAAAATATTATTCAATTCAAAAGCTCTAGAAAAAAACGTTCTCAAAAGCTTTAGTTTGGAGCAGATCGCTGATGAAAGAAAATAAATCCACCACTTTAAACATTTAGAAACAAATAACTAAATATTAACACAGAAATTAGAAAATGGGGGTCTGCTTTGACAAGCGTTTCTGAAATTACTCACTCTTTAAATTTAATAGAATCTCACTTTAAGGTAATCAATAAATGGCATCTAGTTCCAGGAAAGATGCACAAGATGTTTCCTACAGAAAATTATTTATGCTGGAGATGTTATCTATTTGTGGATACATATCTACATATTTGGTGGAACTGCACAAAAATAAAAAGATTATGGGAAGAAATATACCAATTTATTTTACTGAACTTAAATTTTTAACTAAACATTTCTCCAGAAGTAGCTTTACTGCATTTAAACTGGCCTCCTATGATCTCTGTGAATAAACTAATTATACCCCACTTGTTTTTAGCAACTAAAATTGTTATATCTAAAAATTGGAAAAATGAAAATAGTATTCCTTGGTCACAGGTTATAAATCAACTTAAATTTCAGATCAAGGTGGAACAATTGTTAAATTCACAGAATTTTAGAAGGAAAACACCTCTTTGGAACACATGTTGGGAATTAATAATTAAAACCTACCCTCACTCATCTCAGTAGAACATTTAGTGGCGTTAAAGTAAAGATTGGAATAAGATAAGGACGTGATTCAATGATAGGTTAAAAAAAAGTATATAATATATTTTTATAGCAGATAATTTTTTCCTGCATAGTTCATTTCCACAGACATGATTAAAAGTAGTTAGTTTGAATGTTCTAGTTAAGAGAAATTTAGAAAAATGCAATCCCTCTCTTTCGCATTTTGTAGAGATAAGCAGTCTGTTTTATTCGTTTTTGTATTTTTTGTATATGTTGTTATGTGTGTGGAGGTTGGTTATTATATGTGACGGCCTATCTTCATGTTAATGCGAAAGTAAAATTTTACTTGTTCCACAAACTGTGATAATAGATATCAATATATAATATGTATATTATGTGCTAAGAACATAAATATTAGAGGCCGCACACTGTTATATACCATATATATGTTTTGATGTACGGAAGTAACACAAAACATTTCTAATAAAGATTTTAAAAAAAAAGGAAGATATTGGTTTAAGAACAAAATGCTTTAAACTGAAACTCTGCATATAAAATGCAATAAAATTTAATTTTGGTGGTCCCAAAAAAAAATTTCAAATAAAATTAAACTCCTTCAAAATGGCTTATTTAATAGAAAACGGACTTTCAAAGTTCTGTCATTATACCAGTCAGTGGTCCCCAATGGCCAATGTTTTCTTAATATTCAAATAGCAACAGATTTGCAAAATACCTAAATCCTGTACCATTTGTTTACTTTGAGCAGTGCATTGGGAAGGTCTGATATAGAATATATAAAAAGAGAGAAGCTTAAAAACTCTTATTTTATTTTAATAGAACTATTATTTGGGGCATTTTCTAACTATTCAAACAAACAAAACAAAAAATACCTTGCACGCTCAATGGCTTCTGTTCTATGAACGTTGGAAAGTTGACCTAAGCAAAACCGATCACCTCCAGATGGATCCACATAGCCATCAACCGTGACAATAGGGCAACTTGAAGGAACTTTAAAGGTCTCTCCCACTTGAACGTCCATTTCAAAGTAAGCAATGGAACACCAATACTCAGGAGCTATAAAGGAAAGCAGGTCAAATGTTTTCATTTATTTTCCTAACAAAAAGAATTTATTGTAGACTATCACAAAATTCTAAAGACTATACAACTTCATAAAAGTGAGATCATTATTCATTTGTGTTATACATCAGTTGAAAGCAGGTACAAGTTGGTAGTAGACATTTATAAATAGTGGGATTTCTATCTCTCTCCCTATCTAGCACTGAATACTGAACTATTTTGCATTTAATACAATAAATGTTTTCCAAGATGATATGAAATGCTTACCAGGATGATTTGAAATGGGAGGCTGGAATGCAAGTTCATTATGCACTGGCCCTATAAGAAAGGAAAAAAAAAAGTGTATTACAAGTTGTTTTATAATATAAAAACACAGCTGTTTGACATGCACATGGTTGTTCAGGCAGAAAAGTTAATAGCATAGTCATGGAATAACCAAGTATTTAACATTACTTCTTCAGCCCTGCCCACTTCAATATATATCCACACTCCGTTTACTGTAGTTAAGGTCCGGGACCACACTTACCCAACTGAACATAAAGAAATTCTCTGCTAGGCCCTCTAACTACAGCCAGCCTGACCACCAGCCATTTAATATCTAATTTCCCTCTATGGTAAATGAGTATCCACCAAGGCAATAATAGACATATCATATCATATAATATTACATAGTTGTGTGTGCAGGATCATGGTACTCTTCCTCATGCTGAAGTGTGGAGGGGTCTATTAAGGAAAGCATGCAGGATATGACAACCAATGAGCAGGTTATAAATAGGCTCCATCAAACAGTATTTCTAGGAAAAAGTGATGGGTATGTAAAAGAGGAGCAACAACTGCTTCTGCGCAATAGCTAAGAGATCGTGACATGATCTATTTTTCCCCTGGGTAAGAAACGGGATTGAGAGAGCCAGAGGAAAATATTAACTGGAAATGGCATAAGAGTTTGCTAGCCAAAGTAGCGGCACGAGTGGGTCTGTCAACCACATGAAGGTAGAGGTGTCGTCAAGGGAGTGCAGAGAAAAAAAAAATGTTTGAAAATGTAAATAATTCAACGCAGTGCACCAAATAGTGTAAATTACTCTGTAGGGTAAAATATTTAATCAACTTTTTTTTTTTTTTTTTTGAGGGTCTAGTTTCACTAAAGTCTTTTTGGCAAGGAGCAGCACTGTACCTCTTGGGTTTGAACTAAGGATCGGAAGAACATCTCCAGGGCAGCTTCTGTTTGTCTGTTTAACTATACACAACTAACTGCAAGTAAAAATTTATAAAGCCTCCCAAAAAAGCATGAATTTCCCTAAATAACCACAAAAAATAAAAATTTGAACAAACAAGGGTTTGGAAAAATTAAAACAACTCAGAAAATCAAATAAGTGAATGGTTCTGGTAAGTGTGCTAATATTGAAAAATAAACTTACAGTAATGTCCAGGATGGGGCATGGGTGGATGATGCTGAAGATGTCCGTTCTGGTGGTGAGACATATTAGGTGTGTAAGGTCCTGTCCTACTTCCACTCCAGGTTGTGGTACTGTCTATAATATCATAGATAACATGGTTACTAAACCGGCCCTTTCTGTGGGTCTTACTATTTTGCGGTGTAAGCAATATGTCTCACAAATGGAGGAGGTCAGGGGGAGTTCACAAGACAATGTTATGGAACAATGCAACAGACAAAAACAAAAAGATCAAGCGGATGTATGATGTAAATCAGCCATACAGGCTTCACAGAGTGTAAGCCTTGACTTATAGACGAATGCAGCAAAATGTAAATGTCATTATGAGGTTTATTATAATCCTTCCACCCCCCCCCCACCCCCACCCCCAAAAGGACAAATCCAGATTAATTAGCACAGGACGGTAAAAGAAAGAAAGATAGACCCACACTTAAAATAAGCTTCAAAAGCTTGAAAATGTAAACAATGCTTTGCCAATGCTCATCCAATGGTAACAGGCCACTTACTGTGATGGTATGTCGCAGGAGGAGCATTGAAGCCATTTTGCTGGGTCCCTTGGGAAGGCACAGACGCAATCTGCAAAAGGCCATCGCTGTGAGCTGCTGCCAATAAACTAGCAGGCTGACCTATGGCAAAAGAACACAAACCGGCTTTGAACCTTCTGCTAAACATGAGGCTACTATGCAATGCAAATCTGTGCAGGAATCCAACATGCAATATATATAATTTTTGTTAAGGAACACTTGCTTTTTTAGCTGCAATCAATTCTGGCATACAAAATAAGGATTAATCACAAAGAATGTAAAAAATTTATTTCATGATAAAGCCCATACAATCAAAATATACACATTTTGAATTATTAGGTGCTGTTAAATTTAAATAGCATACACAAAAAAGTCTAGTTTTAAACGTTGACAAGAAAGTGTGTACCTGCCAAGGTTAGACACCTGTATATTTATAACCAGAGCAACTACAGTTTATTTTAGATGTTCTGGTGAGTATAGTTAGTCACTGTAGGCTTTTTGCAGTAAATACTTTTTTCAGAGGACAGGCAGTGTTTATATTGCTGCCTAGGGACACCTCCAGTGACCACTGCTCAGATGGCTACTAGATGTGCTTCCTGGGGAGGTGCTGCACAATGTGCAGCACTGACCTTCGGTGTCTCCACACTCAGCATGGAGACACTGAACTTTAATGCATCTCTATGAGGAGATGATAACTGGCCAGAGTGACGTCTCAGACAATCCAAAGATTTCCTATGGGAAAGCATTGAGATTGGCTCAGACCATCACTTCTGATGATGTCAGCCAAGGAGGAAGATCAGGGGCAGAGCCAGCAACAGCAGACTGGAATAAAGGTGAGATTTGACTATACTTAGGGGGTAAGACATCTGTGTTCCTGACCCTAAAGTGTTCCTTTAGGATCAGATAGAACTATAGAAGGTGTATCTAATTGACATTCATAAATCAATATTCCACAGAGCAGTATTTTTTTAATTAATATAATATTTGGCATGCAGTTGTAAAATGTCTTTAAAATGTCCATTAACATATCCATTCAATGTAAACATTACAAACAATATAATTAAATGGACTCATCTATACAAGTCTTACTTGTTGAAGCGACAGGAATGCTGGAGAAACTGTTGGCATTGGGTGTGGTGGGCTCACTGGACCCCAGCAGTGCAGAATTGCTGTAATTATCACTAGATGATCTATTGCTGGGGGGATGCTGGATGGTCTGAATTGAATGTCCATCTGGGGTTGTTATTGACTGTTGAGCTTCAACATAGTCATGGCCATATTCATCCTTCACTTGCAGGCAAGACGGAGCTGGAATGAAACAACACAAACTTCACAAACCACATATACACACACAATGATAACTACAAGCAAGCATCTGTAAAATGTTTCCCAGAGTGGACAGACACCCCTAGTTCCTACTCAGAAACAAACTGGTGCAAACCTTAGTCACTTAGTGGTGTTCCAGAATTCACATTACAGACAAAGTGATTGCAGATTTCAGTTTTATTTTATAAATATCGCTCCACAAGATACAAAAAACATTTTTATTAATGGCACATTTGTAATTTACAAGAGTTGTGAATTATGATGTAGCCTTTTACAATGGCAGTTTCAGAGATACAGACATGTCAATAAGAACCAATAAGACTGGAGGACAAACAAAAAACCCGATGGCTAATGTTGGTACCACATTTGTTTGTGAACTACATTTCCCATGATACCCAGCTATATTTAGGCAGCCTGAAATTAATAAGAAATTTAATTTGCAAACATTGGGGTGCAATGATTATCTCGTATTGACCTAAAGAAATCTCATCACTTCAGACTACAATAATTAAGCAGAAGATGTGTGCTATTAAAATGAAGCTTTATATCAGGGTTGCCTTAAAGGTAGATCCCCAGATGTTGTGAAACTCCAATGAGGCTTTGCATGCCTTTAGAATGCCAAAGCATCACGGAAGCTGTCGTTTTAAAACATCTACCTTTTGGGCACCCCTGCTTTATATTATATTTTAAAAATGGCAAAATGGCTTTTACTTTAACACAACTTTAAATTAAATCTAATTATGAGTTGTCAATTAAATTTAGGAATATCTGGTTAACAGAAAAAACTTAGAGCGCGAAATCATTATGTCATTAAGAAGGCACTCTACCATGACGTTGCAGGAATAAAAACATAACTACTCTATGCTATAGTGCAGGGGTAGGCAACGTTGGCACTCCAGATGTTTTGAACTACATCCCCCATAATGCTGGCAAAGCAACATAGGAGGTGCAGTCCAATAACATCTTGGGTGTCGGACGATGCCTACTCCTGCTTTGGTAAATGTTATACTTACACTTTATAGTTTTTGTGTTACAGAGGTTTGTGTTTTTTTGTTTGTTTTCTTTTTATCAGCAAACATAAGTGGAAATGGAGAAAAAAAGATTGGGTACATATACATGATTTTCTACTGCCTAGCACTTTGGCACCTTTACCATTGTGATGGAATTTATGGACTGCAATAATCACAGCTAGATAACAGGCAGAGAATGCTATAATTAAAAATACTTCCATTCTGCCCAAAAACAGGTATTATATTTATTCCCTTGATCAACATTTAAATGTTTTCAAATCTCTTCTTTGACAGAGAGAGAAAGACTGGTTATACAGTTCAAAGTAATTTTAGTCAGGATCGTGCAGGGACCCCCAGACATCTCACTACTAACACTAGGTTAATGTTTATGGTTTCATTACTATGCTACAGGAGATAACGGTAAAGCACTCGCACATTATAACAATCATTACACATGGAGAATACCGAGATCGATATGTATATAGTAAGCACACAATAACACCGTTTATCTACTTAAACACTAAATGTAAATTTGAAAGAATCTCTATACCAGCTTTTACTTTTAGCGGTTTTAAAAATAGTGATATCGCAAGTGTAAGCAATTTTTATGGACACATGAATGTATTTATTTATATTACCTAAAGGTTGCACTAGCTATTAAACACAGTGAAGGTGGGAAAAAACATGTGAACTCAGAACAATGAAGTGAACGCATTTGCAATTCATTGGCTGAGCTCGCCAGGTCAGCACTCTCAACCAATGAATATAATTTTGTTCAATAAAAGTTGCAGATAATTCACATTAGCCAGCTCAGAACTCTAATTCCGGGCTGGCTGATGACACCGCAATGATGCTGTTGGACACGGAGTTACACCTCCAGCAGCAAAGAAGTTAAACTCTGTATGTGTATGTATGTTCATAGCAAAACGCTGAAACATACAGACTCCGATCACCATGGCCACTTCAAATCACAGAAGTGGTCATTATACATGATGTAACGGTAACCCATTAAGTAGTTTATATGCCATAGTAGAAAAAAACGACAATAATCACCAGATTGTAAAGAAATAAAATCTAACTTTTGGTTGTGCAAAAATCTTCATAGTGACATTACTGCTTTAATGCAATATTATCTAAAGTCTTTTCAGATACATTAGTGACATCACAAATTATTGTAATGTCCTCCAGTGTACAAACTCAGAGTGAATGCCAAATGAGGGGCTCTGGAGTCTACAGGAAATACCAGACAAAAGGGAAAGGAAGGCAGGAAGTACATGACACATGTACAATATTGTCCAAGGCATTGTATTCCTGTGGTTTGTTTTTGGAAAAGTGAAAACTGCTTGGCACACAAGGCTAAATGCACCAATAAGTGTACCTATATGCACTAATTACCTCAACAAGGGCATCTAGCAATCATGCAGTTAAATATTATTTTACCTACCTGAACTCTGCAATGTCAGCCCAGAAAGATCTATTGAGAAAAAACAAACCGTTAATTTTACTGACCTATTCAGCAGCACAAAATCATTTTCAATACATGAAATTATAACCAACTATGAAGCAGGATGGGTGACATATGCAACGTATCATTTAAAACTATACATTGATTAGGGGTGGTGGACAATACCAGCCATGTTTCCAACAGAGAAAAGGATACACACACTTTATGAGAATATTTTGAAACTTTATAGCAGGGGTTCCCAACCCAGTCCTCAAGTACCCCACCAACAGTCCAGGATTTAAGGATTACCCAGCTGTGTCTAAGGTGTTTTAGAAAAAAAAAAAATACTTTAGACACAACAGGGTAATCCCAAAATCCTGGACTGGTAGGGGCTACTTGAGGACTGGGTTGGGAACCCCTGCTTTATAACAATGAACAATCAGGTGAACATAAAGCTACAATAATGTGTTATTTTTAAAAGAACACTATAGTGCTGGATCTGTGGTGAGCTCTCCTCTCTCTGTGGAGTTAAAAGGTGTTTAAGTTAACTTTTCTTCCTTGCGGCACTGGTCTCAGCGGCTAAGATCGATCACGATCTCAGACAATTTAAAACTTTCCCCTAGGAAAGCACTGGGAGGCTATGAACATGTGTGGCAAAGCATTGCTTTGCCCCAATCACCATCTCCTCATAGAGATGTATTGAATCAATGCAAATCTATAGGGAAAGTTTGGCGCCTCCACGTATAACCGTGGTGATTAACACCAGTGCTTCACTAAAATAGGAAGCATCTCTAATGGCAGAGTAAGCGAATGCACCTAGAGGTTACTAGGCAGCAATATAAACACTGCCTTTGCTCTAAAAAGGGAGTGCTTACATTGAAAATCCTGAAGGGGCATGCTATAGACACCAGAATCACTATATTAAGCTATAGCGTGTCTGGTGACTATTTTGTCCCTTTAAGTTCCAAACATGATTGAGCATTTCAGAGGTTTAGTGATCTGAATTATTTTTATCCAGCCTTAGGGAGCTAACTCCTCAGCCAGTTTGCTGACAACAGTAACAGTAAGGTTGCAAATTGCTTAGAGAGAAAATTAAGGCCAACATATAAAAGAACTGGTGATATTCCCTGGTGTGGGACAGAAAATAAAAAGGGCATTTATTTTTGTTAAATGAGATTTATAAAGAAGAATTACAATCATATTTTTGCAAGTAATAAAAGGCAGTTACCATGGAAATGGTTACTACACCAACTTTCTCTCTAAATATAATCCTCAATACGTGTGTCTACAGTTCAGCCTTTTTGCAACTATGTGTAACAAGATTGCCAAGCACTGCTGAGTTCAAATTTTAAATGAGGATACCAATTCATCAATATTTCACATCTCTGCATGAATTCATGTCAAGGAGAGACTTTAACTGAGAACAACATGTCCCTCAATGTAAACATAGTATGATTTAAGGAAAAGGCTACACAGACAAGGCATAGGCAACGTTTCTTTAATAAAGTGGATCACAAAAAGGCCAAATGTCCATCATGGAGATGCAAATAGTTTTAACGATATACATAAGAATTTTATTCTTTAAATTATATTTAGAGAAACATCTACTTTTTTCCCCTGAGGACTTTTCCAATTTTAGAACTTTGACCCACAATTATATCAGTTATGCTAAAAGGTAGATTAAAAGCCAATGTATGAATGAAATTATACTTTTATTTCAAGCGTCCAGATTCTCAGTTAATTTGGATACAACACCCAGAACACTGTCTACAATATCTGAATGCCGTGCGTGTCAGTGTACGTACAGCCCACACTCGAGAATTAAAGCACAATTTAAATATAACTTAATCTATAAATATAAAAGAATATGTTAAAGATTTTTTCTATACACTGCATTAGCAAAACTGCTAGTAAATGTATACAGTCTGCGAATACTTACTCTTGTAACAGGATGTGACATCAGCCAACTGGAGCAGGGGGTCTGGGTTGAAATCTATGTCTTGAGCAATGGTTGGGTAACTCTCTATATAACATTGTATCAACAATAAGCAGATATTGAAAAAAAGCTTATCCAAAATGATGGGAAAATTTGTTTTTAAATCAGTGAAAGAATTACAAACAGGAAGAAACTCACAGGCAACGTGAATCACTGCCATGGTTTCAAAAACAGGAAAAAAAATAAAAGATCAGAGAGATTTAAGCAAGAAAGTGATGTAGAAAATATTGCAAAAATAAAAATGGGCTAAGATAGTCTGATTGCACCTCATATTTTAAAGTTACACTGTGTTAATTATGTTAATTATATTTCAATTGAAGAGGGAGTCAATGACCACCTGTGAGTTAAATAATTGATTTCTATAATTCTGCTTAATTTGGATCCTTTAGAAACAAAAGCCTTCAGCATGTAAGACACTGGAGGAAACCCATCCTCGTTTAACATTACAATATATGCAATGGGGGAAAACATTAGGTTCCATGTGAAGTTTACATAGATAAAGAGTATAAGTGAATGCTAATTTCTTTCTGTAGATATATCACAAATGGGCACGATCCGTGTAAATTACTTTTCTCAAAGCAAAAATGACCTAATTTCACTTTTTTTTATTTCAATTTTTACAAACTATAAGCAAATACGCTAGTATTTATTTAAAGGTTGAAGATCCACAGTCACATACTGTACAATGATCAGTCAGGAGCACTTACCTATTCCAGGAGACACAACCCTTTCGTAGTGATAGGGATTCACACAGACACTGTCACACTTGAGATCAAATGCATACTGACAGTATTTAACGTGCTTCAGTTCATTCTTGTGAAGATCTGGCCAACGCCAGAGACGAGCATAAATTACATGAGGGAAGCCTTTCCTGCCAGCCACCTAAAATTTAAATACATAGTTATTGAACACAAAGGAAAGATATTCACTTTGCCCCATGTTCTCTCTTTATAAAGACTGTAAAACCAGCAGCCAGCTGCCTTACATAGCACTTTGGTTTTGGTACTAAACCCCTCATGTGTCATTTCATACAGTGGCAGCCAACGCAGGAACAAGTAATTCGTAGAAAACAACTTACAGATGCAAGCAACATAGTGAAAAAGCAAAAAGCTAAATAAAAGCATGAATCTGGCTTACATAAAATGCAAGAGGGGAGTTAAAAAAAATTAAAAATATACAAATCTAGATGTTAACCAAGGTAATTATTTATAGAACATAATAAGACACTACCACAAAGACAGTATTAATCTATGTGCTCAGCAAAACAAGAGATCAATAAATATAAATGTTAGTCTGGATGGCCAGAGAAAGAACATTATGACATTATATATTTGTCGCTGAAAGGTTGCTTTAAATCCACAGTAAAAGGACATAAAGAAGTGAATAAACACCAGAGATTCAACACATGATTCTGAGAAAACCAATATATTCCTCAAATATAGCTTGTTTCCACTGATGAATAACTGAACTGTACCATGTTTCTGGCTGCTAAAAACACCAATACTTTTATTTAAATGGCTATTTCATTGGTGGTGACCTTAGCACAAGATATGCTACTGTTATCAACCCACAAATACAATTCCAACAACACACACACACACATAATATATATATATATATATATATATATATATATACATACACACATACATACATACATACATACATACATATACACACACACACCCTTTTACATGCTTTAACAAAAATGTATTTACCTGAAGCCGGCCATCTAAAGTTCGTTGAATGGTGACGCATTTGCTGGGATGAGCGCCATTTGTAGTGATTGCTGTAATCAATGAATCCAATTCATCTTTCTTTTCTTTCAGTTTCTTTACAAGACTTTCAATTGCTCGTTTAGCAAAAGTCTCACTCTCCCCTCCCTGCCGATGGCACATCAAGCTGTGGACGATGCTTAGGCAGGCATCATTGCTTGTGGGCGTGTTGGTAATCGACATGTTGTCAATAGAATCCAGTTTTAATTCCTTTAAAAAACTCTTCAATAATTAAACTCTGCACCAACCTAAAACACACAAAACACAATGTTAGGTTAAAAGTTTTTTTTTTTTTGTACAGCAAAGGATAGGCCCTCAAATTAACCAAAAATAAATAAAAATCAGATTGGCTATAAATGCACGTTTCCTAGAATGTATCAATACCTTGTGTACTATTGTATATGTTCTGCATTTATATGGCTCTCTGTGATTGCTTGTATGAGGCAGTTCTGTAAAATTCTGGTTGGATTTTAAAACTGTGATGAAGTAATCATTATGCATACTTGAGTTTACATATATAGGTGCTCCAAAATGAATACTAAAGCTTTAGCTAGATTTTTGTTAATGATGATTTAAAAGAGCCTGACAGATTTAAAAGGTAAGTTAACAAAGACAGCTTCCCAGCACAGTAATCAGCAAGTGTCATTTGTACTGCTTCATGAAATGTAGGTACAGAGAGCAGTTATTCTCATTTTGTGCATTTCAACCCCTTAAGGACACATGACATGTGTGACATGTCATGATTCCCTTTTATTCCAGAAGTTTGGTCCTTAAGGGGTTAAACTTATTTGCAAAACACAGGCCACAACAGTGAGGACTGAAATAACTTGTGGTGTGCTGAAGATGTTTAGGCTGTTTTGGAACAAACCTTGCAATCAATACCCAATACCCTGTGGGTAAACTAGATCATTGCATTAGACAAATTCTCTAAGGAACAGCTGGTTTTACTTTTTTTTTGCTGTTCAGAATATAATTTTCCTTTATTTAAAATGTATATTAAATAAATGAAAAGTACAGATAACAGAAGCATACCATGTCAATACAGAGTGTACAAATACTCAAGATTTCTATATAGCACTATTGAAACAGCTGAAAATGTATTTGACAAGCTTATTAACAAAGTTCTACCTAGTACTAACCATACTTACTGATATTGTGCTCACAAGCTATGCTTTGCAAACGGTCCACCACCATAGTGTGTTCAAACTGTATCCAACTCACTTGCAAAATATTAGTGTAATAATAAAACAATTTTCTGCTTGGTAGAGTCTCTTTATGTACATGTGTGGAGGGAACATTTCTGTGTCCCTTCTCATGATACAAAACCATAAACAAACACACACGGAAAGTTCTGCTCTGACTAAGCCAAAAATAACAGGGGAGAAAATAGTTTTGACTCAGCAAAGTGCCAGGCAAATGAAAGCAGGGTTTGCATTTTAACCCTTGGCAGCTGGGATCACAATGCATTGGGGTTTCAGGCCAGTTGCAGTAATTTAGTACTCAAAAGCAATCTAAAAAAGATAACAGTGACAGAAGGTGCATTACTCTTCTCCAATTAGAGGAAACATATCTGCTTTGTGGCAGATAGTCAGTAATGTAAACCATTTACTGAATTTGATATCTTAATGGGCTGAGAGATGTGGAGAGCGCATGGGGAAATCCAATAATACAGTCACATATACTACTTATAGCAGACATGAGCCACTAGGATCCCTCTCAGAGTGATGCAAAGCATGAACATCAATGTAATCAATTCTAGTAAAATATAGAACCTATAGGCCAAAGCTATATCCTATATTCAGAATACCATTACATACTGAAGCCTGGGAGTTTGCCTCAGGCTGCTAATCTGTAGACAAGCACAGTGAGAATACTTGTTTAACCCCTTAAGGACACATGACATGTCATGATTCCCTTTTATTCGAGAAGTTTGGTCCTTAAGGGGTTAAAAAGGGTTCAAATTGAATCAGGGAGCAAGAAAACAGATTTGCACAATACTATATTTCTAAACACAACAGAACTATGAAAAAAAAAAAGGCAACAGCAGAAATACATATTGTTTACGGTAACTGCTCGCTGTTACATATACTGTACTGTGAGATAATCTCAGCCAAGAGGAAGGGCTGGGGTGGAACCAAACAACACCCTGGCCAATCAGCATCTCCTCAGATATTTATTGAATCAATGCAGCTCTATGGGGAAAGCTGAAAGTCAGTGTGACCCAAGAAGCACCTCTAATGGCCCTCTGAGGAGTGATCAATAGAATTGTTCCTAAGCTATAATGTCTCCCTTTTACTTTTCTCTGAAAATACAGTGCTTACAATAAAATGCCTGCAGAGACAGGCTATACTCACCAGAAAAACTACATTACGCTACGGTTGTTCAGGTGACTATAGTGTCCCTTTAATGCTGCAGTTCATCATCATGATAGTCTATTATGCTTGAAGAGGCTGTCTGAACTGCAAACAAACGACTATCACAATCATTGCATTAACTTGTCACTTGACAAATCTGGAGTTATGCACTAAAAGGTCAAATTCACTATAGAAAAAGTCACTTTCAGTTGATTAAGTAAAGTAAAGGTTCACTTTATTCACAATCAACCAAACAAAAAAACTCCTGCTGTCACTCACTACGGAATAGAGACCCCATCTAGTTAGCGAATTACCACACAATCATCAATTCCTAAATTTGTGCAAAATTAAGTCAAAAATGGGACTCTTCTCTAAAGTAACCAATGGGACTCATCTCTAAAGTAACCCATCAACGGTCCTCCAAAATCAAGTCTTCATGCCAGAACGGCTAGCTGGAAATTTTAACAACCTACAAGAGGTTGGTTTTCAAATATACCATCAACTTTAGGTGGGCACTAAGGTTATCTTGTTTACCGCCTTAAAATAGATTCATAGTACATTTTTCACTTACCTACAGTTTGTTGACTTTCCCCAGTACTACAGAAGTCTGTTTTCTCACATGTTCTTGTAGTTGTATGAATATAAACAGATTGATTCAGATGTGAAATATACTACTATTATGATGGTACACTACTCCTGTATAGCTTTATCGAATGGTATGTGCCACCACAGATGACTGAGTGCTTGCAGGTAGGTACCAACTGCTATATGTGGTGAGTGTCCACAAAGTACTTGACTACGAAAATAAGGAATTTCCTAATAAGAGTTTTCCAGTGGCCAATCGAACTAGGCTCTTGGGGTTACCCCCAAACTAGACATATGTTTAGAGGGGCTTAATGAGCAGTGGGTCAATTCCTTTGGTCTATGTAGTCAAATTAGTAAATATATAGACAATAGACTGATCTTAACAGTTATCTGACCAGCAGCTGAGTGGAAGTGAAAATATGGCCGAAATAACCAAGTTTGTATTTTGTGAATAGACTAAAGGGTTTCACAAGTAAGTTGTTGGTTAAAATATCCATGTTTGGGCACCTAACTCCTTAAATTGTGAACATAAGCACAAAATTGGACTTCAGAAAAAGGCTGGGGACAATATTCTTTAAAATTACAAGCCTGTTCCTCTATTAATTCCTAAACGGAATGCTGCAGAAGGACTAGCACAACTAGCACCACAATAACAATAAGTTAGAACAGCAAGTTAGATCTATAGAATAAGGAATATATCCGATGTCTAACAACAGTATACAGATTTTTACCCTACTGTATTTTCATTTCCACCAGTACTGAAAGCGTTAAAACAAGATTACATGTCAGATCTTTATTTTGAAATCGTTGGGATAAAAAATAAATGCACCCTGAAAACCCACAAAGGGATAGAATGGCAAAACCAAACATTAAGGCAAAATTGGATAATAAAAAAATAAAAAAGGCAAAACAAAACTTCAAAGTGCAACACTCAGCACCTCAAGTGCTGCAATACAGAACAATCACCTCTCTAGGGGTTAAATCTGGCCTCTGTTCATTGAGCGCTGCAGAATAAAATGAGAACGCATTTACAAAATGTGAGTAGGCAGAGTGTCTCTGAATGAAATCAGAGACTGAGTGGGCTTAAAAATGGGTAGGAGGGAGACACATATAGCCAATGTTTGTAATGCTACGGATACATAGAAACATGGCTTAAACACGTTATGTGCAGGACCTTATAAAATAAATATACTTATAGCAGGTTTATGAATGGGAGAAGCTTTTGTGCACATCCACCCAACCATTATAACTATCCTATAGTTTACCCCAGTTTGCAGTCCCCTTTAAATTATTCTACTGCAGATAAGAAATAAAATAAAAACAGGACAGACCAGTTCCCTGTGAGGATACGCATACAACTGGGGTTCTGGAGGGATAATTTATTGCTTAAGGGGGAGGGAGAAAATCCCTGCTGTTGTACCGCTATCCGTATGGGGGAAAAGCAATTCCATAATACTGCAAACACAAAACATCTTTTGCATACACAACATCCACGGGATCTATGAAAATTATTTAACCAAAAGACTACCTCTCAGTTATTGCATTACTACTATCTTAAAGGATGGTAAATCATTATGGAAGTTTCAGTTCTTCAACCGCTGTGGATTTCACTTCATGTCACTCGTGGTTTAGGATCTTCATTTTTGCTCAGGTCCCAGGAGATGGACACGTGATCTGTAGTACTACACAAAACCCCATGGAGCTTAAAAGGGGACATTTGGAAGTAGTTTTAAATCAAAACTGCAAAAACAGGGACCCTGAAGATGGACAGAAACACACTCTTAACTAAACTTACACACTTAAACTCAGTCCCATGCAAACAAAACTACCCACTCAAACAAATATACACTACAACTCAAAGGCATAAACAAAAGCATAGAAAATCAAGTTACCTGCGCTCTCTCCTTAACTCCTTAAGGACGGAGCCAAATGTACACGTTGTGAACGAAACAAAATGTAAACAAAATCTGGCATTTGCGCTACATGTCTGTCCAACTGTAATTCACCTCTTTCATATTAAATACACCCACCCTTATTATATATCATTTTATTCAGGGGAAACAGGGCTTTCATTTAATATCAAATATTTAGCTATGAAACATAATTTAATATGAAAAAAATGGGAGAAAATAAGATTTTTTTAAAAAATTTTAGTTCTACATGACATTTTAACGGTCAATGTCATAATACTGTTTGCTTTTACTGCAATAAAATGCACATATTTGTATTCAGCAAAGTCTCACGTGTCAAACAGTACCCCCTATGTACAGGTTTTATGGCGTTTTGGGAAGTTACAGGGTCAAATATAGCATGTTACATTTGAAATTGAAATTCGCCAGATTGGTTACGTTGCCTTTGGGACTTTATAGTAGCCCAGGAAAGAAATTTACACCCATAATGGCATTTCATTTGCAATAGTAGACAACCCAAGGTACTGCAAATGGGGTATGTCCAGTCTTTTTTAATAGCCATTTGGTCACAAACACTGGCCAAAGTTAGTGTTAGTATTAGTTTGTGTGTGAAAAATGCAAAAAACGCCAATTTTGGCAAGTGTTTGTGACTAAGTGGCTACTAAAAAAGACTGGACATACCCCGTTTGCAATACCTTGGGTTGTCTACTATTGCAAATGGTATGCCATCATAGGGGTAATTTTCATTCTTGGGCTACCATAGGGTCTCAAAGGCAACGTACCCAATCTGGCGAATTTTAATGTGAAAAAAATGAAACACAAACCTTATATTTGACGCTGTAACTTTTGAAAACACCATAAAACCTGTACATGAGGGGTACTGTTGTACTCGGAGACTTCGCTGAACACAAATATTTGTGTTTCAAAACAGTAAAAAGTATAGCAGCAATAATATATGATCTAAGTATATATTATTTTTTTTTTTACACTTATTTAACTTTTTTTTATTTTATTTTCAGCCAGCAGGGGGACCACCTATCATTACAGGCAGCCCCCCTGCTGGCAATACAGCAGGCAGCTATCCCGGCCATGTGACTGTGAGGTCCTCGCCGGAGGGGCTGCCAGGGGGTCGGACGTGCCCTGGGAGTCCCCCCAACCGTGATCGTGGGATCGCCGGCGACCGGGTAAGTATAGAAAGACCGGAGGGCGTACTATTACGCCCGGCGGCGTTTAGAGCCGCCTAAAATAGGGCGTAATAGTACGCCCTCCGGTCTTACGGGGTTAACTGGGACAGGTACAATCATAATAATAATGAAACACATTTTACAATAAACCAACACTCAAAAAATACCATATATACTCGAGTATAAGACAAGGAATGAGAGCCCCCCTCCCTGGTCAGCTAACAAGCAGGGAGGGGGGACGAAAAAAAATAAAAATATTAATAATATTAAAAAAAATATTAAAATAAGAAGAAGAAGAAGAAGAAGAATATAAAAAAAAATTATAAAAATGCCCACCCCCCACCAAGGCTCTGCATCACATACACACTGCACGCACACACACACACACTGTAAATAAAATATAATTTTTGGGGGATCTAATTTTATTTAGAAATTTACCAGTAGCTGCTGCATTTCCCACCCTAGTCTTATACTCGAGTCAATACGTTTTTCCAGTTTTTTGGGGTAAAATTAGGGGTCGACTTATACTCGAGTATATATGGTACTTTATGCTAAAACTATAGCTTGGGGACTAGAGAAATGCGCAAAACACTCCAATCTAAAGACTACTACAATATACAGGTAGGTAAAACCTGACTACCATCAAGTGCTCAGTAAGAACTGTAAACTCATTGAGGATACCTGACAGAATGACCACAGGGAATCAGAAATGTAGTACAAAACAGATGTAGCTCACTTCTGGCACCTTAACCACTACACAGTCAGTTGGGTTCTTCCTGCTTACAACTTTTTATGCAATTCAGTGCATATTGTGTTGTATTTGTATAAAGCCCATGGCTTATGTCTAAGCACCCATCAAATAATGTTTGTTATTTTGCTTAACCCCGTAAGGACCAAACTTCTGGAATAGAAGGGAATCATGACATGTCACACGTCATGTGTCCTTAAGGGGTTAAAGCTATGAATGTACCATTAATTAATGTAAATACTGATGAATTTATCTAAATTTCCAAATGTTGCTTGTACCACCAGTTAGAAGAGTTGCAATGTATCAGTTTTATAATTTTCTTTTTATTTAACAATATGCAGTTCTTATCCTAAACATCTACAAAAAAATGCATTTATGCTTTGTTTATGTCTGTAAGTTTGTGAAATATTAAAGTATGAAAAAGGTGGATCCTGTGCAGCCAATTGTTTTACATAAATTGTCAGAGGACTGCAAACACATTGTTTATTCTATAGATCTAACTTGCCGTTCTTAAAAAAAAAAATTTTTTAAATGCTCGCACATTTCAAATATGGCACACAGAAATTGCACTGACAGAATGCCTGCAAGAACTCACACCAGACTTTGAGATGTATTAAAGTGGGTGATTGAGAATGCAACTTTATGGTTTTAAACCAATTTAAAGGATAACTATCATTATATAGTATTTGTTATATATTCTAAAAGGTATAAAATCTGGTTATGCACTTTCATTGTCTGAAAGGAAAACATTTAGCAAAAAGTATACATTTACTCCCCTGAGAAAACCACCACCTTTCAGCCAATACTAAAATAACTTTGCAGGCCTGCAGAATTTTTGTAAAAAAATTAATTTAAAAAAAATCTACTCGTTGAAGGGACACAAGCAGTAGCCCAATCCTTTTTTATCCTAACACAAAATCATTTTAATACAAAGTTCAAGGGCTCTGGACATGGCTATTTACTAATCTGTGAATTTTCACAAGTAAAATCTGAATGGAAAAACAGAGGTTTTAAAAAATAAAATAAAAAATGGTTAATGTAATACAGTAAAAGGGCACTGTTTTCCATTGCTGCCACAGTCCCCGCATTCTGTAACTCAGAGAGCAATGGACCACAAGGAAACAAATACTGAGGTCTGCACACATCAGAGATGCAGACCTCACTCCACCAGCCATGGCACCAATAACCACCAAGGCACAACTGCTGTTTGCCTGCGGCAAGGCCAACAGATGCAAAATACGATCAGCTGATGCTCTTAACCGGTGAGTGTAGTCCTGCATTACTCTGTAGAACAATCAAAATCCTCTTTCTGGAGAGGGCCAGATGCAAGGGACGTGATGCAATGTGGTACCTAGGTAACTTGTCAAAACATACTATAGTGGATTGACATCTTACCGTAGACCAGCACACTCCTGTCTCCATAACATCTATAGTGTCCTATAGTGATTATGGTGCTTTGACTTACATTAAAGAAGAGTTAAAGGGTTACTAAAACCATCATGAATGACCACTTCTACATTTAGAAGTGTCATGGTTTTAAGAATCTGTATGTGCAGCTGCACAAACTGAGATACTTGCATGTTTGTGCCGAGAGCTAGTTACACACGTGGCACATGTGACTTTGGCAGTTGGGAACACCGTTCCATACTGCCAAATGTAGATTTTGCACAGAATCGACATCTGTCGTCAGCGCGCTGGCCGCAGACATGGTCATCTTCTCCCTTGCAGGCAGCAGGTTTGCAACAGTAAAGCTTGTTATTCCATGCCTGTATTGAATTGTTTTTGTTTCATTTTTAAATGACCTGCCCTGTCTACCCCTTTCCACCTTCCCCATGCACCACGAGGTGGGAAACATTCCAATAAAATGCTTCTCTATAAGAAGAGGTGCTTCCAGGATTTTGACGGTCTTTAGGTCACCTATGTGACTCTGGACATCATCATACTCTGTATGAGGACATCCAGCTTCCCTTATTTTCCCATAGAAAAGCACTGATTCAATGGCTTCCTGGGGGGAAGCCTAATTCGCTGGTCACACATGAGAATTAGAATACCCCCCTATCGGATGACATCGGAGGAGCGCCGAGGGACAACAGTGCTGGAACCAGGTGAATAAAGATAACCCTTTGGCTATCTGACAGATAACCCTTTATCTACCAGAAGAATATAGATATAAAAAAGAGCCACTTAAAAGGGCTTTCTAGACACTATAAGAACTTAATGTCATTGAATTGGAGTCCCTCCATTCACACAACCTCTTTAACAAAAGCATGGGTTGTGACCCAAAACAACCAATGGCTAGAAACTTATAGGCTGTAGAGTTGTATAGATTGGCAAAATGGGCTTCAAGGGAAACTCCAGGGACCGTAAAAAACAAACAGAAAAATTGTCCCTGGCGCCAGTTTACCTTTTGGTCGTTAGGTCAAAAAAACGGTTTAACCCCAAAGTGTTTAATTCAGAGCTGGTTAACTTGCCCATCTCTTTCGTCTGAGGCGTGAATCAGAAAGCCTTGGACCCCTAAAGATAAGCATTTCATTCCAACTAAGGAGTTATGGTGTCAGGAGGTTCTCTTTAATAAATAATCTGGTAGCCCAGAAAAAATATATATAATACATATATGTATGTTCTGCACAATACAATGCCCAATTCAATGTTCCATATTTAGGTTATATAACATACAAAACCAGAAAGCATCAACTGCATCTGAATAAAGTAAACATTACCAATTCTAACTTGGGGAGACGGGGTCATAGACCTCGATAGGTTAATCACCATATAACCTCAGGGACACCATAGTATAAATGGGGCTACTAGGGATTAACAGCTGTGGACTACACTTCCAGTAATGCTCTGCCAGCTAGGAGTATATCAGAGGATTGTGGGTAATGTAGTCCATGGCTGGGATAGTGGCGGTGGATGGATTTACCGTGGACTGGCTGTATAGCAGACCTCAGGATCGAGAGGGGGATAATAATGTTACCTGGCACATGGAGGTTCTCCCAGCTAGGAGTATATCAGAGGATTGTGGGTAATTTAGTCCATGGCTGGGATAGTGGTGGTGGATGGATTTACCGTGGGCTGGCTGTATAGCAGACCCCAGGATGGAGAGGGGGATAATAATGTTACCTGGCACAGGGAGGCTCTCCCAGCCAGGAGTATATCAGAGGATTGAGGGTAATGTAGTCCATGGCTGGGATAGTGGTGGTGGATGGATTTACCGTGGACTGGCTGTATAGCAGACCCCAGGATAGAGAGGGAGAGGGGGATAATAATGTTACCTGGCACAGGGAGGCTCTCCCAGCCAGGAGTATATCAAAGGATTGTGGGTAATGTAGTCCATGGCTGGGATAGTGGTGGTGGATGGATTTACCGTGGACTGGCTGTATAGCAGACCCCAGGATGGATAGGGAGATAATATTATAACAATGTTACCTGGCACAGGGAGGCTCTCCCAGCCAGGAGTATATCAGAGGATTGAGGGTAATGTAGTCCATGGCTGGGATAGTGGTGGTGGATGGATTTACCGTGGACTGGCTGTATAGCAGACCCCAGGATGGATAGGGAGATAATATTATAACAATGTTACCTGGCACAGGGAGGCTCTCCCAGCCAGGAGTATATCAGAGGATTGTGGGTAATGTAGTCCATGGCTGGGATAGTGGTGGTGGATGGATTTACCGTGGACTGGCTGTATAGCAGACCCCAGGATAGAGAGGGGGATAATAATGTTACCTGGCACAGGGAGGCTCTCCCAGCCAGGAGTATATCAGAGGATTGTGGGTAATGCAGTCCATGGCTGGGATAGTGGTGGTGGATGGATTTACCGTGGACTGGCTGTATAGCAGACCCCAGGATAGAGAGGGGGATAATAATGTTACCTGGCACAGGGAGGCTCTCCCAGCCAGGAGTATATCAGAGGATTGTGGGTAATGCAGTCCATGGCTGGGATAGTGGTGGTGGATGGATTTACCGTGGACTGGCTGTATAGCAGACCCCAGGATGGATAGGGAGAGGGGGATAATAACAATGTTACCTGGCACAGGGAGGCTCTCCCAGCCAGGGGTATATCAGAGGATTGTGGGTAATGTAGTCCATGGCTGGGATAGTGGTGGTGGATGGATGGATTTACCGTGGACTGGCTGTATAGCAGACCCCAGGATGGAGAGAGAGAGGGGGATAATATTATAACAATGTTACCTGGCACAGTGAGGCTCTCCTAGGTAGGAGTATATCAGAGGATTGTGGGTAATGTAGTCCATGGCTGGGATAGTGGTGGTGGATGGATTTACCGTGGACTGGCTGTATGGCAGACCCCAGGATGGAGAGGGGGATAATAACAATGTTACCTGGCACAGGGAGGCTCTCCCAGCCAGGAGTATATCAGAGGACTGTGGGTAATGTAGACCATGGCTGGGATAGTGGTGGTGGATGGATTTACCGTGGACTGGCTGTATAGCAGACCCCAGGGTGGAGAGGGAGAGGGGGATAATAACAATGTTACCTGGCACATTGAGGCTCTCCTAGCCAGGAGTATATCAGAGGATTGTGGGTAATGTAGTCCATGGCTGGGATAGTGGTGGTGGCTGGAGTTACCGTGGACTGGCTGTATAGCAGACCCCAAGATGGAGAGGGGGATAATAACAATGTTACCTGGCACAGGGAGGCTCTCCCAGCCAGGAGTATATCAGAGGATTGTGGGTAATATAGTCCATGGCTAGGATAGTGGTGGTGGATGGATTTACCGTGGACTGGCTGTATAGCAGACCCCAGGATGGAGAGGGAGAGGGGAATAATAACAATGTTACCTGGCACAGGGAGGCTCTCCCAGCCAGGAGTATATCAGAGGATTGTGGGTAATGTAGTCCATGGCTAGGATAGTGGTGGTGGATGGATTTACCGTGGACTGGCTGTAGAGCAGACCCCAGGATGGAGAGGGGGATAATATTATAACAATGTTACCTGGCACAGTGAGGCTATCCCAGCCAGGAGTATATCAGAGGATTGTGGGTAATGTAGTCCACGGCTGGGAGAGTGGTGGTGGATGGATTTACCGTGGACTGGCTGTATAGCAGACCCCAGGATGGATAGGGAGAGGGAGATATTATAACAATGTTACCTGGCACAGGGAGGCTCTCCCAGCCAGGAGTATATCAGAGGATTGAAGGTAATGTAGTTCATGGCTGGGATAGTGGTGGTGGATGGATTTACCGTGGACTGGCTGTATAGCAGACCCCAGGATGGAGAGGGAGAGGGGGATAATAATGTTACCTGGCACAGGGAGGCTCTCCCAGCCAGGAGTATATCAGAGGATTGAGGGTAATGTAGTCCATGGCTGGGATAGTGGTGGTGGATGGATTTACTGTAACGGCCAGAGCAGTGCGAACCTGTGATAGAGAGAGGGGATAATAATGTTACCTGGCACAGGGAGGCCTCCCAGCCAGGAGCATATCAGAGGATTGGGGCGGTAATGTAGTCCGCGGCTGATAGTGGTGGTGGATGGATTTACCGTGGACTGGCTGTATAGCAGACCCCAGGATGGAGAGGGAGAGGGGGATAATAACAATGTTACCTGGCACAGGGAGGCTCTCGGCCTAGTCAGCTGGCAGTCCGGGCCCTGGAGGCGGTAGCGAGGTGTCGGCGGTGATACGGTGCTGCTAGGGCTGCTCTCTGGCCCTGTCCTGCTCTCCCCGGGCTCCCGAGCGGCGCAGGCCGCGGATAAACAAACCTCGTACGGCTCGGGAGTGCGCAGGAGCGGCGACGGCTACATCCGGGACACTGGGGAGAGGAGGGCGGGGGGCACAGAGCGGGAAGGAGGGGGAGGAGGGCGGGGCTAGCACGCGATAGACAACGAGTCAGAGTCGGTGGGCGGGGCCAGTAATGCATTGGCTAACAAGAGTGGGCGGTACAGCTTGTAGGTGGAGCGTGTGGGAATAGAAAAAACTGGGAGGGGCTTTGTGTGGGCGGGGCTAGTAGAGCGAGGAGAAGGAGGGTCTCACATCCTCGCGGTTTCTCTCGCGTTGTTTTACATACAGGAAGTGGAATTCAATCTAAATAGTCCTAGTGGTACTGCCTTATTGGTTACTATAACAACCATATAGTGATCACTAAGTAAATAGTGTGCTGTGTATGGGTGCCTGTAATGGAAGGTCCTCACTGGCTACCCTATCTCTATGCCAGGTTCACCATCACTACTTGATGCTGCTGGACAATCCATTTAAAGTACTGACCCCATTCATTGTCTGGGATCCATAATCCCCATGCAAATAAATCACTGAACTGATCAATGTGGTTCAATAGACTAAGCTCTGAATTGTAGCAAATTAAAAACCTCAACGGCAAAAATAAAAGATAAAATAGTCTGGTTGCGATATAAATTCCAATAAAATTCCTTTCAGATTACTACTCGATTAATAAATCAGTTTTCTTCCTGGTGCATATTAATTCTACATACAATTATTTACTTCCCATCTGCACTAAATACGACAGGTACTTGCGGAAACATGGTGGATCTAGCAATCCTCATTTTCCTGTTAGAATTACTGGGTTAGTAAAATGTTCAGTCCATTCAGACTGACCAAACGTGCAATATTATGCAGAATGCGGACTGATAGAAACATAGTATGTGACGGCAGATAAGAACCATTCGGCCCATCTAGTCTGCCCAATATTTCTAAATCTTTTCATTAGTCCCTGGCCTTATCTTATAGTTAGGATAGCCTTATGCCTATCCCACACATGCTTAACCTCCTTTACTGTGTTAACCTCTACCACTTCCACTGGAAAGCTATTCCATGCATCCACTACCCTCTCAGTAAAGTAATACTTCCTGATATTATTTTTAAACCTTTGCCCCTCTGATAATGCCAGTTCTACGCATACTGTGTGCCTGACGTCAGCACGTATAGCCTGCTGGTGCAAAAACAACCAATGGTTAGTTCAGCCTCTCGCATGTCCTTCCTCCTACAGCGAGGGGGTATGACAACAACTGAGGAGGATTGGGCTGCAAGGAGAACTTGATATTGTTGTGGAATCATCGGTAATTCTGTAATAAATGAGTCTGCCAATCAGATCCAGTGTTCTATGCCTGAAATTAAAGAATTTATTGGCAATGCTGGGGCAAAAAAAATTTTTTAATGACACAATGACTAATTTTATACATGAGCTAAGCAACTTTTAACGATTAGTATATGCAAACTATAAAATATAATTTTAAAATGATAGAATTGTTTTCCCCTCACATACCTGCTTTTATAAAAGGTTGCTTATCAACAACCAAAAAAAAAACATCCTCGCCCAAAAATTCAACAACAATCCGAGTTTTGGGGTGCTATAGAAAATCATTTGTAAACTTTATTTTAAAAATTCATAAAGCACAGCTAGTACAGAACATAAAGACAAAACAATGTTGTACATAGAATATATATTTTCAAACAAACAGTAAAATTCAAGCACACATAAATATATAAAATGTATTTGACAATCAGCTGCATAAATTTAAATATTTCTTTCCAGAACAACATACCCAACATATTACAAATTTTAGAGTAAAGCACACTGATGCTTGACAGGAGATCAATCCCTATAGCTACGTAAGACGCCAGATAGTCTGCTTCAACTGTGAAAAATACAGTACAGATTTTTTTTATCATTACTATTAAACGGGTATTACCGACTGATAGATAATACATTAAATATGCAAAATAAAAATTGGATACACTCACTTTGAAGATCCACCAAAATTTGCTGTTCATTCTTGCAAGTACATTGTCCGGCAGACTGGCCGCAGTTAGCTCAATTTATAAAAACAATGCAAATTAAGTGATACAAACATCCCGTAGTGTGCAACCTAATTATTTTACTGAGCAAGTCTAATCACAACTGCACACACCGTCTCAGAAAGCTACAAGACAAACTATACAGTTTAAAAAAAAAAATATATATATATATATATATATATATATATATATATATATATATATATATATATATATATATACACACACACACACACACACACACACACACACACACACACACACACACACACTCACTAATGTAACATTCAGCTCTTTATAGCAGAGAAATACGTGGATTTGTAAAGAGAAATGAGAGAGTTGTGCAGATGCAGCTTCATAATGTGTTAAAAATACATTCATACAATTGTTGATAAGCTATCAAAGGAAATGTTTGTTTTAGTGTTTGGAGTATCCATTTAAATTGTAAGTATACTTCATTTGTAACAGCTTTGATGTCACCTGTGCATTTCCAGTCTTTACCTATTGGGTTGGAAAAACTGATCTGTGATGTTTCATCTGTATTACGATTTCAAAATTTACAATCCAGGACAAGCTTTTGATTTCTTACATCACTAACTGTTCTGCTCCAAAACAGGAATCAGTGAAACCATTTACTTATCAAACTGTAGTGGTGCCTTTTGGGTTCTTTTGATAATTTGTACTTGTACTTGCCGTGGTAGTCTCCATAGAACAAGGTTATGATCCAGTATCTTGAAGTGGCTGTAGATTGTATTTTTTCTACCAGGTGTCCCACAAGAATGTTCAATCACTTGGCACCACTTTGAAAGGTTTACTAATGATGGTAGATAGATTGTGTACTATAATATGCTTAGCAGAACTTCTTAATTCTGCTTTTTAATTGGAATGGTAATAGTTAAAAAGTCTTCTGCTAAAATCACGTCTTGACTGAGTAGATAATTCTCTGCTTGCTTCTTTAGGACTAAAACGTCTTCATCTCCTTCAGAGACCATGCCAGGAGGTTTATATCTTTGACTAAAGTGAGTCAAAATCAGCTTATGTGCCCGACACAGATTGGCAAACTCTGCTGCCATTTTTGGCGTGCTATGACCATGCTCTTTTGCTTTGTCCATCTGAGTGTCATCTAAAGTTGCTTCGTGAATTAGAATGTCTGCCTCCTGACAAAGCTTTGCACTACCCACAGAGCAAATGCCTGAGCAGTCTCCTAAAATGCACACTTTTCTACCAGGAATAGGATCTCCCAAAACATCAGAAGGATGTACAGTTTGGCCGTTCTCTAAGGTAACTGTAGCTCCAAGTTTCAGTTTTCCACATAGAGGTCCTGGCTGAATTCCTTAAGTAAAATAAAATAAAATTAAAAAAAAAGCATTCAATGCATTTAATATGTTACACATTCTATGAAAAGTGCAAACACATGGGTCACCAAAATACAGATGTCCATATGAGGAAGGGCTGGGATGAAGAGGACATCCAAGCTTCCACTTGCAGGTGTACTAACAGTGCTGCCTGCTAGCATAGATGGATTAGATCTCACTCCAGCACACACCAACAAAAAAAAAAGAAATATATATATTATATATATATTTGCACAGAATTAACATTAAGCAACCCGAAACAGAATTCCAAAACGCCCAAGTAACGTTTCTGTATGTGCGTCATTTTAAAAGAAACACTGCACATACAGATTGCTTAGTACATTACCACCTCTAAAAGCAGAAGAGGTCATGGACGCTGGAGTAACCCTCCAAGAGCAGGGTTAGAGAATTCCTTTTTTCATGTGATATTCCTGACAGGCTGATAGTCCTGGAAAGGTTAATAACTTGTTAACTGGCTAAAGGATTAACAGTGCTGTAAATATTTTTCCTCTTTAACCAAACTTCTGGAATAAAAGGGAATCATGACATGTCACACGTCACGTGTCCTTAAGGGGTTAAAAGGGAACCTGTTATCTGACCCTCTGCTCCCATGCTGCTGTGTAGTGGCAGTGGAACCAAACAAAGAATGCAAAAAAAAAATTTTTTTTTAAAAATTACAAGGGAAAAAAAACCCAAACAAACTGCAGTTAAACCAACATTTAAGGTAAGCAGTGAGATTTCTTAAGACTGACATTGTCACTTGAGTTTTTCAGAAAGATAACATATATATGAAATACTCAGTGGGACTAGATTGGACAGCAAGAGGTATGGGAAAAGGCATTTCTTTTCACGCATCCCATGAAAATTCTATGGAGAATTTCACCGTATTGTGGGAGACTCTATAGACATCCGGTTTTGGTCTATTGTGCATGCAAATTGAAGATGAACAAGGTGCAGCTGCTCATTACACCTCAGCTCCACATGTTCGATGGCTGTACTCAGTACTGTGGAATAGCACAAAACACACACTTTTCGTCCTTTGCACTGCTCCTTACACACAGGAGGAATATTCTTAGATTGTGTCATGCTAGTAGCCACTATGGGATGGAATTACCCTCTACCTATCTATAAAAATGTATACATTAACAGAATTAGGCAAGAAATAATTAAAGAAAATATTACCAAAGTCTTTCAGTTTTTTTACATCTAGTTTTCCTGGTCTTTCTTTCTCACGAATGACGAAGCCAAACGATGGTATACGGTGAAAAAGTTTAATAGCTTTCACTGTGAATTGTTCATTTTCGAACAGCATGTACGACCCATCTTCTGGATCTTCACAAATGGTCCTCCCTTCAACCTCTGATGCCATCTCATTATCTATTCCAGATCTAGAGAAGTCCTTGAACTCTTCTACAGGGCATTGATCTTTTGAGGGAATCAGTTCATGGACAACATATGGAAAAGCAAGCTGTGAATGAGAGATTTCTAGACTCCTGAAGACAAAGTCCCTCAAGCCCACAGGACCATAGATTTCAACATGTTGCTTGACTGCTGTAGAGCCACACTGTAGGCTTACTGTACAAAGGAAGCCAGGAAGCCCAAATAAATGATCGCCATGAAGATGCGTTATAAATATCTTTGTTATTCTACCTAAAAAGAACACAAGAAAAAAAATTATTATATATTTTAAGAAAACACATATCAAGAACAGATTTAATAATATGAGTGAAATTTATAAGCCAAACAACATTTAAATCAATATATTACATTTCTAGGATCCAGACATATTGCAATGCCAGTTCCTTTGAAAATATTCAACTAGTATAGAGTTAGATCAAACCTTTTTAACGGACTCCAAAGTCAAGTCAAGCATGCAAAATGATGAATACATATTCAGTCTGCATGAAACAATTATATACACACACACACCCCGTTGTTTTTCCTTGACAAATTTCCGGTATTTGTATTATATTTGTAGGACTTATTTTCAGGCATTTTTATCCCAATTTACATTGCAGCCTTTTCACTGAATACATTATTTTTAAAAAGTACAGTTTAACACCAACAATCATTAGCCAGCTGGTAGGCCTTTGTCAAAGTAAATTTTTACCATTGCTGAGCTCATCTATTATAGGTTTATGTATTATTAAGATAGTTTATTAATTCAAACAAATTACGGCAAATGTTCCATTTGGTACTGATTATGGGAACAGGACCTGATAGGACAGGAGTGGCTAAAATGCTTCAACATTATACTGAAACGAAATGCTTCAATCATTTCATTGATTACATATATGTATAACGATTTGTCTTTACACACTGCATCACATGAAGTCGCACAGACCTTCACTGCTATGCAACATTGACGGAGATCAACAGAAAATAAAATGGAACAATTGTTGCATGAAGTCTCATGACATGGCAGACATCACTGGGTAAGACGGCATGTAAAATGTAATAGAAAAATACACAACAGAACCCGACTGAACAAATTACTTATCCTATGTTCTATCAAGGCTGTTCGTTTAAGACTGCAAGGGGAAAGAAACACATGGGAGGGCTGAATATTAATATTCACAACTAATATCTTACACTTCATTCACTGCTTTGATCTGCAATATATTCTATGACTTGTATAATGGAAATTGTTATGCCAAAATATAGTGATTCACTAGTTGGCTTGGAAATTATCGTTCACTTGTGTGTGAATCAATGAAAACATTCGAGAGAAAAAAAAAAATCAGATAAAAAATAAACACACGGGCGTGGCTAACCGCCGAGAGAAATGGACGTGTGATCCTTTCGCTCCGGCATCACGGGTCGCAATCTGACCCCATCCAGCGCAACACGGCGGTAAAACTGCACAAAAACGAGAGATGGCACAGCAGAGGGGCAAGAAGAATGCACCAAAAGCAGACAAAATCAACTTCTTTGGAAGCAAACAGCACCAGGAGACGGAGGAGGCTCGGGCCTGGTCGCAAGATGGCGGCTCCACTAATGACAGCCCGGAGCACACAGCGACACTGCAAGAGGGGGAGTCTGATAAGCTGATATAAATGATATAACACAAGTTCAGAATGTAATCACTAGATACCTGTTACTTTGGCGAGCCCTTCCAGCTACTGGGAGCAAGACGCTGCCTTACTGGACGCGCTCACCAGCTGTAGATTAAGGTGTATTTATGTTGTGTATCTATATAAGTATGTGAACCTACGAATGGACCTAACAAAAAATTTTTTTTCTTAGTCCTACTACCACTTACCCTCTTTCTTAGTTCAGCAGTACACATCCCCAAAGAACCTATAAGACTCTTATTACTTAGTACTTGATACATGGGTGACCTAATGCGACCGATCGTCCCCAAAGATTAGGAGACAGCGGAAGACCCATAGCCACGACACGGAAACATGCGAGTTTCCACCCCCATGGTACTCATCACCAGTACCAAGACTCATACATGTAAATACTTTGTTTTTGTTATTACCCGGTTAACACCTCCCCATGTCCTTGAAACTAGTCCCGCATGGATGAGAAAGCCCAAGCTATTGCCCACACCAGCTATGATCGCGATCGCCCCCACAGAGGCATCCTTGCCCGATATAAGCACAATCGACATACCCATACGAAAGGAAGATAGGATAAGAAGTAAACTGCAAATTCAGCGACGAATCCACATAACATCATATTATGAAAATATACTCACATAATGTACGAGGGCTGAACACCCCTCATAAACGTAGAGTTTTATTAGAGGAAACTAAGACAGCTAAGATAGACATTATGTGCCTTCAGGAAACGCACTTTGTGCGTGGGAGGATACCAGAATTTGGGAAACAGGACTATCCGACGCAGTATCACACGACTTATTCTTCCAAAACTAGAGGAGTGTCCTTCCTGTTTCACAAATCGCTCACTTTTGAACTGCTAAACGTCAAAACAGACGCACAAGGCCGATATTTAATAATCCACTGTCAAATTAACAGAGCCATATATACCTTGGTAGGCATATACAGCCCAAACTCCAACCAGCGCAATTTTTTGCATAGAGTACTGAGCAAACTACCCCAAGAGCACAAATCTGGCATCATAATATGCGGTGACATGAACCACATTCTCCAGCCGACTATGGACACGACAGTGTCTCCCTCTACTCCTAGACATAGATCCTTAATACCACAATGCAAAGCCATCACTAAGCTATTACTTGACCATAACTTATATGACATATGGCGAACGAAACAGCCGAATGACAAAAATTACACTTTCCATTCCAAGGTGCATGGAACCCACTCCAGAATAGACGTCATACTGGTGTCAAGAGATTTGGTACCTTCCGCAGTACAGAGTAGTATAGGGGACATAGTGTGGTCAGACCACGCTCCAGTGACCCTCATAACCCAGGACACTTACAAACACAGAGGGAAAGCCCCGTGGCGACTGAACGACACCCTCCTATATAACGATACTTTTAAAAAGGAATTGGAAACTGAAATAGATAAATATTTCCAACTTAACAATCAGCCTGACATATCACCTACCACCTCTTGGCAGGCTCATAAAGCAGTCATTAGAGGTCAGCTCATTAGCAGAGCGTCCTTTCTAAACAGGACCTCTCAACAAGCGCGTCTTACCCTACTGACCAAATTGCGTGACTTAAATGCAGCCCAATTCCTACACCCCACTCCTGGCCTTCACATTGAAATAGAACAAATTACTAAACAATTAAATGATCTCCTACTTCAAAAAACAGCACGCACCCTACAAACACTCAAATTGAAACATTACACCCACGGGAACAGAGCGGGGAAAAAATTAGCATCTTTGCTGAGACATCACCAAGCCCACTCCAAAATCCCATATTTACTCACCAGCAAAGGAGGGAAAATATATAACCCCCTAGACATCAATGAAGAAACAGCAGCCTATTACCAAAACCTGTACAACTTAACAAAGGATCCCCAAACGCATCAGCCAACACAAGTTGAAATTGACAACTTTCTCTCGCAGATAAAATTGACAAAATTAACACAACAACAGCAGGACTCCCTGATAGAACCGATTACACTGAAAGAACTACAGCAAACTATCCGTACACTCCCTTCAGGGAAATCACCCGGCCCAGATGGCTTCACGAACACTTACTACAAAGTCTTTTCGAGCATCCTGAGCCCACATCTAGTACATACACTGAACCATATTGTACACACAGGGAAGATGCCCTCAGAAATGCTATTAGTGCACATAGCCACGCTACCAAAGCCAGGGAAACCACCTACGCAACCAAAAAACTTAAGGCCTATCTCACTGTTAAACACAGATACAAAACTCTTAGCTAAAATATACGCCAATCGTGTAGCGGCCCTTGTCCCTTTTATTACGCACCCGGATCAAGTGGGATTTGTGAAGGGGCGTCAGGGAACTGACGGCACTAGGAAACTCCACAGCCTTCTATACAGTGGGACGCCTCCCGGAGAGTCCAGGGTCTTTATGTCCCTGGATGCCGAGAAGGCGTTCGACAGACTACACTGGAACTTCCTGAGAACTGTACTACAAAAATTTGCATTCCCACAACAATTCCTATCCCTACTCTCAGCACTGTACTCCACACCATCGGCACAAGTAGCTAATGGCGGGTTTGTATCCAAGCCGTTCCTTATCACAAATGGAACGAGGCAAGGATGCCCGCTCTCCCCAGCCCTATACATCCTTGCGCTAGAGCCATTGGCCCAGGCGATACGGGATAACAACAAAATCCGAGGTGTGAAAATTAAACATAAAACATACAAATTAACGATGTTTGCGGATGACGTTATGCTCTCCTTGTCTGACCCACTCACCTCTATCTCAGAACTCCAGACTCTGTTACAGCAGTATAGCAACTGCTCGTATTACAAATTGAATAGCTCTAAAACACAGGCAATGAGTCTACATACGCCCGCGTCGCTATATACAGCCTTGCAACAGAAATACCATTATGAATGGAGACAAGACCACTTAACTTTCTTAGGCATAAAATTTACGAAACTAGAGAGGAACTTACATCGGGAGAATTATGGCAAACTCCTTACATCCATAAAACAGCAGCTAACAGATTGGAAAGGGAAATACATATCATGGATGGGTAGGATAGCGGCAGTCAAAATGAAAATCCTCCCGAGACTGCAATACCTATTTCGTACATTACAAGTTAGGCTCTCAAAAAAATTTCTTCACGACGCACAACAATTGATTAATACCTTTGTCTGGTCACACAAGAAACCCAGAATAGCGGCAAACATCATGTACCGCACATACAAAGGAGGGGGCATGGGATTACCACATTTAGCCACGTACTACAGATCAGCTATACTTGCACCGCTGGTCAACGAATTACACCAGCATGATACACCATCACCTTGGGTAACCGTAGAAGCAGAGCTCACTGGGGGACAACACATAACGCACCTGGCCTGGACTCCACCACAGCTCAGGAAAAAGTATAACGATATGTCACCACTCACGGCCACAACATTACGAGAATGGGACAGATTTCACAAAGAACAGGGATTCGATAGGGAGCTCTCTCCAGTCTTACTCCTAGATTCCTTTTATGGACTAATACCCTCATTGAACATGGCATCCTGGAGCAGTAGGGATCTGATATACTTACATCAGTTGTTTGATCAGGGAGAGGTCATCCCCTTCAGACAACTGCAAAATACACACCAATTACCCAACGCAGCAGCATTTGCGCACAGACAGATACACTCATGGTTGCAGAAAAATAAAAAGGTACTTCCTGCAGGAGACAGATGGGGCACTTTCACTGAATTAGAAAGTCTTTGCACACAGACGAAAAGACCACTTAAGCTAATCTCCACACTGTACAATCACCATCATCGAGCACTAGACCCACATACATTACAGTTTGTAAAAGCATGGGAAGCGGAACTAGGAAGACAGTTAACAAAAGAGCAGTGGTCATATATACTGTATGAGAATAAGAAACTCACACTCAGCACAGCCCATCTAGAACTAGCCAGGAAAGTATTATACCGCTGGTACTTAGTACCAACCCGTCTAAAACATATGATACCTAAGAATACAGGACTGTGCTGGAGATGCAACAAAGCCCAGGGCACCATGCTACACATATGGTGGGACTGCCTGGTCCTGACACCACTGTGGACGGACACACAGGCTCTAATTAAAAACACTACAGGTGTAGCTCTCGCACATGCTCCTGAGCATTATCTTCTACAGTATATGCCTCCAAGCCACACAAAATCGTCTCGATATTTAATGTATCACATTATCTTGGCAGTTCTGCTGCAGATCAGCAAACACTGGCAAAAGCAGACGACCCCAGCATACAGAGCTGCATAACACACATTGAAACCATAAAGGGGTACGAGATAATGGCCAGATCCAATAATCCACCACAAAAATTCTGGAAGGAGGCGTGGGAAAAATGGGACACATATCAACAAAAAACGGTGAAACCTTCAACACTCAAAACACCTTTTACGCTGTAATCCACAGAACGATGCTTTAGGGAAAGGATATTACGCACCCCTTCTCAGCACCGCATCTTTGAATACAAGGGAGCCCACACACCACCTCTTACTACTTAAAGGACCACTCTAGGCACCCAGACCACTTCAGCTTAATGAAGTGGTCTGGGTGCCTGGTCCAGCTAGGGTTAACCCATTTTTAAATAAACATAGCAGTTTCAGAGAAACTGCTATGTTTATCAATGGGTTAAGCCTTCCCCTATTTCCTCTAGTGGCTGTCTCATTGACAGCCACTAGACGCTTTAACGATATACTTCTCACTGTGATTTTCACGGTGAGCCGCAGCGTCTATAGGAAAGCATTGTAAATGCTTTCCTATAGGAACCCGAAGCGCAGCTCAGCTTGCTGCAGCGCATTCAGCTTTGGCAACTCTGCTCGGAGGAGGAGAGGAGGCAGAGCTCTCCAGCCCGGCGCTGGAAAAAGGTAAGTTTTAACCCCTTTCCCCTTTCCAGAGCCGGGCGGGAGGGGGTCCCTGAGGGTGGGGGCACCCTCAGGGCACTATAGTGCCAGGAAAACGAGTATGTTTTCCTGGCACTATAGTGGTCCTTTAAAGCTGGGTGAATACTCTGACGCAAATTCTTAGGGCCGAAGAATCGGCCTATATGCTGGGCTAGACTGAGGGATCAACACAGCCCCCCCCTCCTCCACCTCCCCCTCTTTCCCTGTATTATACCCAGGTTATGCCCCCCAAGTTCGTAATTTTCTCACCGAAAAAGTAGTTGAGCACCAGGGAGATGGGGGTTACTTCACAGCTAAGCACTTACCAAGACTGGCGGAGTGGAAAGACAACTCTCACTATCACGCCCATTGGACAAGAAAGAGAGCAACACAAACATGGGTACAATAGCAATGTCAGAATGAGTTGTCTATTTGTCTTAAAGGTGTAACTCTAATGTCACCACTACATGAATGCTCAACACAAGTATCATCACTGTATAGTTAAGTTGTTACTTTGACAATGCATGCTGCTCACTATATTGTATTCTCTCTATGCTGTAAAAGTGACTGTAACCCACATACCCTGTATACCTGTAATAAGACTGTGAATTCTATAAAATGCAAATAAAAAAAAATAAAAAAAATAAACACACATGCACTAATATAATTCCATGATCCATATACATAAAGCAATATAGTTTCTATTAAAAATCACATGGGCTTTGATTTACATATCCAGATTATTCACTGGCAGACGATGGACAAGAGAATTGCACATTTTGTCTGAAATAGCCTAACTAAATACATAATTTTTCTTGTCTCTTCTCCACAATTTCTAGATTTGTAACTGCACTCCATGATTTATTTTTCTTTTACATTAAGCCAGATATGTAATGCACATTTAAATAAAACACTTGCTGACAGATTTATTTTTAGGACTATGATGAAATTGACTAAATCTCAAGCAGCCAGACTGGCTGTGTGGGCTCTGACATCCGATTAGGTTTAGTAAAGGTTGCACCTGCTGATCTTGGTAACGCTGGGGGACAGCTGTGCCATCAGCATGTCATGAAAGTTTATTAAGCAGGCACGTAGCACATGGTAAAGAATCTATGATATGCTATCTTTAGGTTTAAAGACCACTTCTTTGGGGCATGGCCAAAATCAACCCCCTCTCAGTTAACCCTAATTGACCTCTTTACATTTTACCATGCAATTTCACCATTACACATTCACCCCATCGTCTACTTTTCCTGTACTAACAGCCAGGTATTCTATCCTAGTTCCATCTAAACTATCTTTACTTTTCAGTGTATGATTGAAACATAGAATGTGACGGCAGATAAGAACTATTCGGTCCATCTAGTCTGCCCAATTTTCTAAATACTTTCATTAGTCCCTGGCCTTATCTTATAGTTAGGATAGCCTTATGCATATCCCACGCATGCTTAAACTCCTTGACTGTGTTAACCTCTACCACTTCAGCTGGAAGGCTATTCCATGCGTCCACTACCCTCTCAGTAAAGTAATAATTACTTTTTTATATATATATATATAAATAAAAAGCAACTTGGATATTAGACTAAATAAGCAATGTTAAAGAAACACTAACATTAGAAATACAAACCTTTATTTCTAAAGTTAAAGTGTTCTATCAAGTTAGATTCAGGGCCCCTCCTATTTACTAAAAGAAATAAATTGTTTTTATCCATCTACTCACCTCTCAGCTGAGAACATCATTACTGATGATCGCAACCAATTTAATGCTTCCCTCTAAGAAAGCACCTGGGGGCTATTGTGAATGTGTTGCAGCAGCTGTTCTGTACCAATGTGCATCTCCACATAGAAATGCTTCCACTCAATGCCATTCTAAGGTGTCTTCTTGCAGCCAGAAGACACCAAACGTCTGTCATTAAAAGATTGCAGGGCCAATATAGGAAGCACCTTTAATGGTTGTCTGAGTCTGGTGTCCTTGGGGACAACTGTAAACACCACCTTTTCAGTGTTTCCAATTGTTAGACTATTGGGACAGTCTCTGCACCATAAGCACTACATTAAGTTTAAAAAAAGTCACTCAGGATTACACTAAAGGCCACATTATTATATGATTTATCGCAAGAGCTCACGGACCTGCTTTAAGGGGGCTTTTCATGAACTGCGTCTGAGTTCCCTCACCACAGTCAAACAGCCAACATTCTCCCTCTGTACGAAATACAACTGCAGAAGCACCTCGACACGGGGATGGATAAGCAGAGCCTGTTCCCAGGAAGGTTACATCCATAGACATCGCTGCCAAGTCAGCCTTTCACCTTCCGTATAGGCCCAGTAAAAACCTGTGAAATGGAGTACAAGGTGTTTTGAGAAAATCTGCATGTAAAACAAAATCGTATCTAAATTACACAATGCTTTTAAAATACATTTGTCTTGAGAAACATGGCTTGGAGTCACATAAAGAGAATATAGTTTCAGCTATACATTGTGCTAAGGAAAATGTTAGTATATTTATAGAGGAAACATTAAACCATGCATAAATTAGACCTTGATGATGTTTGCTGCCATGCAGTCAGCACAGTAGTAAAATCTACACATATGGACATCCCACCTCCAAACTATGCTAGGCATCCCACAAAACTCAGAATGTGCATGTACTCAAGGAATTACCATACAATGATACAATGCTTTCCTATGGGGGAAGTCCTAATTTGATTGTGGTGCATGCTGCATATGTGCATTCGAACCTGCCGGATGAGCCTGAATCAGCACAGAGTGACATCAGCGCTGGATACAGGTAAGTGATTAAGGATCTTTTAACCTCTTCAGCACCAGTCAGGCACTATAGTTTCAATTTAAGAATAAAGATTTTTCTATTTTTCCAGTACATGAAAGGTATGATGTTCTCTTTTCTATTGTATTCATGTCTGCATAATGGAGGGTTCTTATCCCACAGGCTGGTGTGCTACCTTTGCGTAATGAATACTCAGCCTTGTTCCATTGTAACACACAAATCAATGGGCCTTCATATCTTCTGAGATACTGACGTGCTCCCATTTTAAAACTGCAAGTAAAAACATTGCTGTTCTATAAAACCGGCAATGTTTACTTTGCATGACTAACCTGCTTCTATCTAGGGGCTGTCAATATGACAGCTACATGAGGTTCTTCCACGAATTAGCAGAGTCAAACTCTTCAGTCTCATAGTCTCAGAGAGCCCATCTGATGAGCACCAGCTTACCAATGCTTTCCTGTGTGATAGGGGTGATCTCAGCAGGTAAAGCCACTGAAAGCGTAGTGTTGCATGGGAAACATGGTAAGTTAAGTCTCAAGGAGTTCACTTTTAATCCTCACAGGGGGACCTGGTCACCTAAATGGCAATTAACGCACTATAGCACTAGGAATACACATTTGTAATCTAACGCTATTCTTCCTCTAACTACTGTCAGAGTTATTCACCAATGTGAGAATGGCTGGGAATTCAAAGTAAATTACAAATCCTGAAAATTTGAATTTTTCTAAATTTTGAAAATCTCCCTGAATTCCCATTCTCACTTTAGTAAATGCCGTAATACATTTACACAAAAAAGCAGACTTCTAGTAATTATGTTCTATCATATTAAGCAGATTGATGCCAATTAATAATAATAATCTCACTTATTCAGCAGAGACAAATACTGAAAGTAATAATAATTATTATTAGTGATTAATAACCAGTATTTCCTGGTTAAATACTTTTATTATTATGATTATTCTTGTTATCAGTCTGCAGGTTCTGCAAACTGCTATTAATGGTATTAATAATACTGAGTCTTCATGTGTACCTTTCACAGAGGTCTGAATAGCAGTACAGTGATAGAAAATATATTATGAATTATTTGGAAATACTTACTACAGTCACTGCATTGACAGACACGTGGTACCGATTGAACACGGAAGTCTTAATAGTACACAGACTTCCAGGATATAGTTAAAGCACACTGGAGGATAGAACACCGCCATCTTTCTACACCCGGACAGTATTACAGTGAAGCCACCGGAACTCTGTTGCTCTCATACATATCTGCAATAGGCAGTCTAATAGTGGCTGCAATTATTGTTATTAAACATTATCTATAACCATCATCTAAATTAACACGCAACCTTTAGAAATGACATTGCTTATACCACAGAGTTTCTTGTCAGTTAATGCGTGAACACATTTAATACAACGTTCTAATTTATTGGCAGATATGTGAACGTTCTAGGCAGGGTTACAAATAGTGAGTCCATATTCTTGTATTCTAGGATACATAGCTTCATGTTGATGGTCAGCACATGAACAGTGCTGTTTTGCATCACAATTAGCTTCAATAAAACACAGCCTTGCAAAGTAAGGTGAAACACCTAACAATTAAATAATAATTGGGAGTAAGCTTAAAAAAACAGATTGCTTGCTTCAAGCTAAAACAGATGATTAAAGGGATTCTCTAAGCATCAAAAGTGAACAACTAATTAAGTTGTTGTAGTGTATAGATCTTGCCCTTACAGTCTAGTCCCCTACCTATGACATACACCCAGCATGAAAAATGGTTGTTTGCAATCACAGTGTTTGTTTTATACTTTTTTTGTTTGCTCTGTTAAAGGGTTATTTAAAATACTCTGACCAACTCTGCTTTTAGAAATAGTCATGGTGTGCAGCGTTTGTGCTTGAAATGCTTTGCATACGGAGATATGTGTAGTTTTTTTTGTCAGGAGTGAGTTGCATGATCTATATACACCGAAACTGCTTGATTAAAGGACCACTATAGGCACCCAGACCACTTCAGCTTAAGTCCATCTAGGGTTAACCCTTTTTTGTTTATAAATGGGTTAATCCAGCCTCCAGTGGCTGTCTCTTGACAGCCGCTAGAGGCGCTTGCATGCTTCTCACTGTGAAAATCACAGGGAGAAGACACCAGCGTCCATAGGAAAGCATTCTGAATGCACGCGCGGCTCTTGCTGCGCATGCACATTCAGCCGAAGAGGAGGAGGAGAGCTCCCTGCTCGGCGCTGGAGAAAGAGGTAAGTTTAACCCCTTCCTCCCCCCAGAGCACTATAGTTCCAGGAAAACGAGTATGTTTTCCTGGCACTATAGTGTTCCTTTAAGCTAAAGTCATTTTGGTGACTATAGTGTGCGTTTCAAAGCTGGAAAACTCAACTGTAGTCAAAGCCTGATGATTTCAGCCTAGATTTAGAGTTTATGTTTTCAAGCCACTACAATTTCTGTTTTGTGAATAAATCCCCCGCTTTGCTAAACAACAGCAGCGAAATTACCAAGGAAAATCTGTAAACCAAGAAAAGAGGCTGGAGGAATTATCTTGATTAATTTATTATTTTCTCTCTTGAAGCATATAAATTACACCAACTACAGGAATTAAGGTCAAATGTGCTGTCTTTTAGCATGTATAAGTGATGTGTGTCTATGAAAACATGGTGGATCTGGCATTCTGTTAAAACTAACAGGAGATGAAGCTTAGATCAACCAAATGTCTCAAATTTGGCAGGACAGTCCCGATTTTGAGACCCTGTCTAGACATCTTGGATTTGTGGACACTAGGGACCAGTTCCTAGAAGGTCTGGTGCATTAGTAGGCACAGTTATGCTACATTAAAATCACTAGGACCTCGTAAAGAGTGTCATGACAGTGCTCTGCGCATGTTCAGCCCCTTACGGAACTAGTCCGCTTATTAAACAGTCAGTTTGGTGTGCATTGGCCTTCCTCCTTTCTGAGCAGGTTTGTCCTTTTCAGCAGTGCCAATCCCGATTTACACACCTCCTAATGTTGGCAGGTATACGAGTAGATTGGCACTGTCATCTAGCAAGTGGAGTATGCATAATTTTCACAATATTGCTCGGAAAAAGTTGGGACTGTTGATTCCTGTAGAGTTATCCAACAAGGACTATTTTACCACTGTAGAACTGAGACTTGTGCGGTTTCTGTGTCCTTTCTACATCGTTTTTTGTCTAACTGGAAACACCTGCTATGGTCATAGGGAATACCAATTCAAATCAGATAAAACTGCCAGTAAGGTGAGCATTTGTCAAAGTAACAGATAAAGTTCATATTGTTTGCAATCATAAAGTTCATTAGATTAAGTTATTTCTGCATCTTAGGGAGCATTATACCTCTTAAACATAACGATTCTGGCGGTACAATTCCTATTTTGGAGTCTTGTCTTGACTTTGTTCCCTTGTGTCTTGCTTTTATTGACACCAAGAAACAGTCCCCAGAAAATGTAAGGCAAGCCCGACCATTAGCTTGTATGGTCAGAGCTCTAGGACCCTGCAGAGAGTACTGAAACAGCAATCTTTGCATGATCTGGCCTTGGAGGACTGGCCTTCCTGATCGGCAGGCAGCCTGGCATGCATGCACACCAGGATGACCTGCCAATTCAGGTGGACCCACCCCCTTTCTGTTTCAACACTTCAAATCACCTATGCTATTGCTGCCACCAGGTGTCTGAGATAGCACTCTATGACTGTTTGTATAGTACATATCAATCTTGGAAACCTTTTAAATATTGCTTTTAATGAGTCACGATATCACCATATAACCGTTCACAACTAGGGCAGTTACCAGCACGCTTCCAGCCCTTTAGTGCACAGAAGCATGCATCGGACATTTTGGGTGGATGTCCATTGGGAATGGGAAGTTTACAGAAAGTAACAGGAAAGCGCATGAATGGACACTTATATTGCATATTTAATTTCTGCAAAAGATTGAACGTTCAGCAAAAATGTTTGTCATCAACAAACTCGAGCAAGTATGGCCCATATATAGTGCAAAAGATTAGTAAACTTTACTTACAGCTATGTTCCTATTACAAAAATGCCACAATGTACAGTGGAAGTGACATTACACACATTTTTTATTGGAATAAGTACAACATGTCAGCATTTTGGCTCATAGAGACAGCTGGTTAAAAAAAAAAAAAAATACAATTCAAACATTTTTAACGATCGTGATGTAAAGTCACAATTTTACAGGAGGCTCATATTATGCTGATAGTTCCTTTAACTATTCCAAATAGAAGCAACATTAAAATATTATTCATGGTTAACTATTCCACTCATCAGTAACAAACAACTGAGTAAATTAAAAATGTGACATCACTTCCATACATCTATGTTTTTATAATAGAAACACCACTGTAAGCAATGTTTTCTAATCTTTTGCACTATGTATGTGTGTAATAATGTGAATATACTAGATCCTTATAGCTTGAGAGACTCATTTGATTCAAAATGTAGCCCTTTCATGTCCAATAAAGTTTTGGATTTACCATTGAGTGCCCCGACCTCTGTCTTTGCTATATCCATGAATTGAGGTTAAACCGCCTCAATCTGTGAGTCCCATTGAGAGGATTCTTAGCTCAATTTCCAGTAGTTGCACCAGTTTGGTATTTTAACCTAGATCCTCCAGGTTTGGCTGCTGAGTCTATATAATAATATTTTTGGTTGCAGTAGTAGCATCAAACATATCCACCTCTACCACGGAGTAAGATCAGTCCATCTCTGGGCATGACGTCCATGATCTTTCTGTCCGTACAGTGACAAAGACCTCAGGGTGGAAGTATGTAAAAGCCCTCAGCTATGGTGATTAATGCAAGGATTTGATATTAGGTCCCATTTTAGCCAATTTACAGGATATTGTGTACAAAAATCTATTTTAAGACTAGTTAAAATAATCTTGAATATTGTAAATTTAAATACTCTAGATTTCCAAGATTAGAAAAAAAAATAAAAAAAATACAAAAACCAAACACCGTGCATTGAGGTATACATATTCAACATTTTATTTTAAAAACAAATTATAATATTTGTAACAGTTGGCTATTGCACATGTCAGGACAAGGATTATCTGCATTGGCAGGGGGGGGGTCATGCTGACTCCGAAGACTCAAAGGGTCCTGATGACCTGAAAGTTGAAAAACAAAATATTTTGGTATCCTTTTTAAATACAGTCAGGAAATACTTCTACAATCCACTGATGGACATTTCCTAACCTGATCAAATGTTATCTACAGAAGTAAAGTTTTCAAATTATGTTGATAAATATTAAAGGAAAACGAATGTGTATGAATGTATAAGTAACATTGGTAGTAAAGTGCAGGAGTAGTACTTCACTAAACACCTTCTTACTTTAGTACCATACTAAGGATATCTACAAGTGGGTGACCATGAACCATGAAATTTCAAACTCGGTGCTTCCAGAACTAGCAATCATTGAAGAATGATCAAACTCAGATCAGCAAAGCAACAGCTGACAAACTAAGGACAGTCTTTGATAAATCCTCTGAACTCACCTCCATATTGGCCTCATAAGCTGTAAAAAAATATTAGGAGAGATATGGACAGCAAATTAATTTTACTTAGAAGTAAAATTTGTCTTTAAGTACATTTTACATAAAAAAGTGGAGCACCACTGTCACTTTCCATATTTTGAAAAGACTCCAGATGGTGACTGCTCTGCTTACATTCCGGTGGCCTGGTGGGGCACGGGAAGATAGTTCTTACTTGCCTGAACTTGACCCTTGCAGGAGCCACCATTTTTTTAGGTGAGGTCCTCTTCAGCTCCTGGCATTTAATCTGCTAGGAGCCGGCATCAGCACCGTACTCCCGCACATGCACGAGAGTGCAGCACTGACGACTATGGAGGACCTGGTGATAACAGAATCCTCCATGAAGATAGCCTTTTCCCCTCAGCCATTACTAGTGGCTGCTGGGGGCTCCACCATTTGTCAAGCATAGGCAAAATACATGAGACAAAGTTGTCCTTACTACGAGATCTTTTGACTGGGTTGTAATTTCAATGAAATTCCAACACAGTGATTATGAGCATTTCATAAAGATTGTAGCTTTGACATGCCCATTTTTGGGAAAGGGGGGCAGAGAGAGTCACTTTTAAAATATAAAAAGTGTACTCTCACTAAAGTTCTGCATATATTATCAAATCCTAAAAAAACAAAAACACACACACACACCCCTCCCAGCATCTCTACATTTAGGAAGAGCTGGAGTGGATTCTTTACCTTGGGTTCAGTGGGGCTGCTAGGCAGGTGGGTGAGCGAAGTAGACGGCAAGGTAGCTGTGATTTTAATGTAATGCCTTGTTATGCTCGCGGTAAATACACAGCTGGAAATACACTGCCCATGTCCACACTCTGACACTCCAGAAATATAACCGCATTCACACACCAACACATTACGCAGAAATACACCGCCATGTCAACACTAGACATATGCATTCAGATTTCATACAATTATGTTTCTCTTGAGAAAGCTGTAAGCGAAACATGTCAAGTGGAGATTAAGGATTGCCTGCAAGGACTGGTTTTATTTATAGTTCTTTTTACCATATAGTTCACTTTTAAATAGTTTTATTAATTCTGTTTATTAATAAAGATTCTGTTTTAATACCCAGTCACTCTTGAGCTCCTTATACTCTCACCATCACTCTGCTGTTCCTGATCTACATATATCCCTAGGTGGGGATTGTTCCATCTAAAGCTCCATTACACTAGAGCAGGTCATTGCTCTAGCAAATGTAAGTAGGTCAAATATTATTTACTTATCCTACTTTTACATACGTACTGTACCATTGGTATACATCCTTATTTTTTTTCATATGATGAACCGCACTACCTTGGGAATCTGATACCAGCAAAAAGAAATCCTTAGACGGGGATTGTTCCGCCCAGGCTCCTAAAATAGAGCTTTTTAAGCTCTGGAAAACATGAGTGCCCCTTTGGAATATATTTTTATCACCATATTATTCATAACATACTGCACTATCATTGTACTTTTATTTCTTTTTTTTTTTTTTAGAGTAAGACACATAATTGCAAAATCTGCTGCTACCTGTGTATGTATGATTTTATTATAATAATTCTTAGCGCTGTCCACCCAATTTACCTGCTCATTCCTGCACTTTTAGGGGGTAATCCCCCCCCCAAAACTTGGCGCCATCGCTCACTAGAGAAGATCCATCATGATGGGGACACCCGGGGGAAGCACCCGATACCAAAATCAAGCATGCAACCCCCCGGGGACCGGACCATATATCCCGAGGCCTACCGGAGATCGAGCAGCGGGGAGACCTCGGGGTTATCACCTCCTACCCCCACCCTATGGACCGATGGGGATCATCTCGGTCCACATCAAGCAACAGGAGAGGCAGTGAAGAGCAGCAGCAACAGGGAAGCCGGGCACATGGCATACCCAAAATGGCGGGGGTGAGCGCGCCGAGCGAGTCATCAGAATACCACACAGGGGTGCCGGACTACTCAGCCAGGCTAAACGCTATATTTGAAGCCATCTGGGTGAAACTGGAGATCCGGACACGGCAGACCAAACTTTGCACATACCTGAGGAAAGAAATAATCAAGCAACCCAGCCACAAACGAACGACTCCTCATCCACACAGGGCCCCAAGATGGCGCTGCAGAAGGAAATGTCCTACACACATAAGCCACCACAAGAGAGGTAGCTTTCGCCCAAAACAAAAGCACCGAGTGCTGCGAGCTCCCCACACGCCCAGTGCCCAACCGCACTCTTCTTCCAAGGAGGTAGCTCTCCACCGCCACCCATACACCCAGGGAGATAGCCAGGACCCAGTGGAACACTGGGCCCACGACCCTGACGATGGGGTCAATGTACATGTGGTAAGGGTCCCCGCTCAGGCCGAAGACACGCGGCACTACTTGGGAGGGGCGGGAGGAGTACCGCGGCACGGAGGATCAAGCGACCGGATGGTCGGAAACGGCAAGCAAGGGAAGTAGGGCAATCCCTCACCCGAGTGCGGGAGCAAGGAGGCTTCCCCCCACAGCCTGACGGACTGGCTCTCATACCCTGCAACGCCATCTCACCCTGTGGTGTGGGCTGATTGCTCAAGTGGTCAACTGCAGTGCTCATCACCCTGGCTTCCTGCTAATAACTGCAAGCATAGAATTTACCGTAAAGGGACTTTGCTCAGCCCATACAGGGAATCAGCAGAATGAAGCATGGGGTCCAGGACTTAACCTCTGGTATCACACATCACTCTCCCATGCCAATACCTTTTGAATACTTGTTTTGCTTATTGTCATAATTTTAAGTTTTCAATTACTGATACACATTTTGCAAATTATCTTTGTATTAAGAAAACCACACAAACTGATATAAGGACTAACCATGCTCTGCAACACACTAAAGCAGGTTCAGTCGAAAATGAAAACTCTGCTGTTGACTAACTACTAAAGCATGTGTGAATTGTGGCAGCACCATAGACCTGGTAGTCGTTAATACCTTGTATTATCTACCCACCTGCAGACCAAACAGGACCTAATATAATGTTTAAGCATGATACCTTACTCAGGCTAGCGTAGTATGTACTCATGACCTAACGCTCTACCAGTTAAGCTCGCTTGCATTGAAGCTTCTCAGTTGCTATTAAAATTTTGCCGACCTAAGGACATGTTAAGCATGACCTAACGCACTACTTGTTAAGCGAGATAGCATTGAAGTCGCACTGTTGTTAAAATTTTGCTGACCTAATCGACAAGACATAACTGATCAAACTTGTATGCAACGTATTGTATCAACCTTTACCTAATAATACCAAAATTTTTGCATGTTTCTCTTAAACCCCAATGTAAACCACAAATAAGAAACACTGGAGGATTGCCTTTGGGGTACCTCACACGCGATTGTTACTTGACTATGCACTGCAAAAATAAAGATTTAAAACAAAAACAAACAAAAATAAACGACTTGTAAACTTGGTCAGATTGCATTGTTGGACACGACTCTCGGTTAGGGGAGTTTAGTCAGCCTATCCCACCCTTCCTCTGACCCACCCTTCTCAGCTTCACATTCATCCACCAATAACTGAAAAAAGGGCATCATTGTGCAGCACTTCTCCCTATCAGGATAGTGAATATATCTTCCAACTGCATGTGTAAATATGGATGACATATGGATAAAAAAAATAAAATAAAAAAAAACGGAAAAATAATTGTGCAGTATAATAATCGTGCCCATTGCACTTTTCCAGCATTCCTAGAACACTGCTTGGTTAGATTGGTACTCCCCCTGGAGTGAGTGTAAAAAGCTTTAGAAAGAAGAAGTAGGTAAATCTGAAAATATAAAAATACCATATTTACCTGCTTTCCCCCCCCCAGCCTGCAGCGTGAGGCAACGGCCTCATTCAAAGCTAAAGCTTTTGAAAGAGTTACAGGGGCAGCACGACTGCTAGTCACATTTTTGGGGTGATGTCAACATAGCACAGCGCTCCCCTTCCTGCCAGTCACTACATGTAATGTGGCCAAGTGCAACGCTGGTAGAGGATTTTCTTCAGGGAGAGGCACACAGAGGGCTGATTGGGGAGATGGTGGAGAGGCGCACAGAGGGCTGATTGAGGGTAGGGGGTGGTGGAGAGGCGCCAGAGGGCTGATGGGTGGGAAAGAGGCGCACACAGGGCCAAGAGGTGCACAGAGGGCCGAGGGGGCCCATGAGGCTCACAGAGGGGGTGGAAGAGACGCTGAGGTCTGGCAATGCATACGGAGGGCTGGGGAGGAGAGGCACACAGAGGGCTGAAAGAGTGTGGTGGGAATAACTCCTTAAATGTCTGTTATGGTTGGTAGTAGTGGTTTAAAATGCTGGAAAAGCGTCATGGGAATTATAGCGCACAGTACCTGAAGATCTCCCTTCTGACACTTATAGAATACAAGGTACAAGGCAAGCTTGCCACGAATGATTATGCAGAAGCATCTCAACAATAAAGATGGCCATTGTTCCCAGCAAATATCAACCACAAAGTACACTATTAAAAATAAACAAGCCTGCTCTTAATGGAGCCAAGGGTAGATTTACAGGATATTCTTTAATCTCCAAAGTCAGTCTCTGGATCAGCAAAATATTGTTATTAAATAACTGAATTAAAACAGAATGATCAAATCTTGTTTTTACAACCAGTCGGTGTCTACTTTAGAATCAGTTATTATCTGGGGGAGGGGGGGGGGGAACAAACTGGAATTAAATGTACATAAATTCTTCAGACGACCATCCAAATGAATTCAGTTCCTGTATACCAAAATCTGGACTTTGATAAACAGTGCGATCAATAAGTGGATTTTGCCATCTGCATGCCTTTCAAAATAGTACCAGATTATGCGCATTACTGGCTTTAAATGCTACAAGTGATTTCAAATATAATGCCATCCTGGTTTTGTTATCATTCAGAAAAGTCCAGAGCATTTCAAAAGGGACACTTATTTTTATTATTAATATATCGCCAGCAATTTCCGTAGCGGGGTACAACTGTGTACACCAACACAATTTATGCTTATTTGATTTAAGGTTTTGGTCTCATTTGAATTTTTATCAATTTAATTTAGATATATATATATATTTTTTTTTTTTTTTAAATATGCAGCTTTCGGCAGCATAAGCCCCCCTCTTTAGCAATCACCCTGAATTGGCCTATACATTGACACTCAGCCACTGAGTAAGCGGAGCTGGTTAGAGACAGGGAGCCTGCGGACTGGAGGAAAACATCAGGCAGCAAGGCACACTTATGGTAATACATTGAGTATTCTAACTATACGTCTGTCTAGCTGTCTTAATTTTAACAGGCAATGTTTCATTTCCTGTGAGAGCTCCAGGGAACACAGAAATCATTAGCTTCCAATTCACATCTTGGCAAAAGATTAAGAGTCTTGCTGCAACTACATCCTTACCTTGGTGCATTTAATACCAGGGCTATTTGATACAATTACCTTGTTTTCTGTAAAGGGACATACATCACTTAGAGACAACAGTTTCATTAAAAACTTTAGCTTTGAATGGAACAGTTGCCTCACTCTGCAGACTGAAAAAAGCAGGTAAAAATCGGATTTATATTCACCTGCTTTTTTCTTATGCTTTCCACACCCACTCCAGGGGAAGACAGATATAACCAATCAGTGTTCCATCCCTAGGAATGCTGCAAAAGTGCATTGGGTATGGCTGACAGATTGACACATATGCAATTGGAAGATCTGCCCATCTTGCACAATCGTAACAGGGTGAGAAGAGAGTAAGTCTTATCAGTGCGATTCATGCAGTGCATGCCCCAATGTCAGGTTTCTCGCTCCTGCTGCTGTTCAATTGATTCCCTGTTTCTGTAATTAGTGGACTGGTCTGAAACTGAGAAGGCTGGGTTGGAGGGAGGGTGGAGGCTGAATAAACTCACCTATCTGACATACTGACCATGTTTATAGAATACCTTTTAAAGTTAAATTGTTTTATATTTGCTTAAAAGTGTTTCATTGCTGGTTTACAAAATATATTTGTCAAGTGATGCATGTCCCTTTTAAAAGTTAACCTGAGTGCAATCCAATCCCTGCTCTCTGTATTTTACATAGTCCGTCACTCAATGCTATGAGGCGGGTGCTCTATGGGGGAAGGACTGCAAGACTTTCTTATGCACAGGAGTCTAGATCTGCAGCTACTGTAAGTCAATATTTTCTATACCCCTCCAAAAATATGCAAAAGAGAATACAAGCATTTTTTTCTTTAAGAGTATATTTACTAAATGTTTATACTATAGACACCACAACCACTTTATCTTAATGACTTTCAGCTCCTGCAATGTAAAAAATTGCTGTATTATACAGAGATGTTGATTGCGAGGCTAAACACATATCTAGTGGCGGTTACAAAGATATGGTCACTCTGGACAGTCATACTGGATTCACTGCTTCTTGACCACAATGCTGCTCTATGAGAAGCACATGATTGAACAAGAAGTCATAGAGGAGTCCAGGCTGCAGGAGACGAGAAAGCAAGGGAAGAGGGCTGCAGCAAGGACTAAATCTCAGCAATGGAAATAAAGTAAAGGATTCTTTACAATTTGTAAAGATGAAAAAAGTTAGGGCCCGGTTGTCACAATGAAGCCAAAGAATCTCCCACCTCACAAAATTAATAGGACATTGTCAAAGGTCATCTTAATTCAAACCATATTTATTACCGTAGAACACCACATCTGTGCAACAGACAAGGTAAAATTAAAAAAGTAGTTTGTTGAAAACACAAGAGTGTAATGCACACACTATAAAAAAGGGGAATACTTCTTGCAGGATGCTCCAGGAAGGGAGGGCCAATTCCTGGAGACATCAAATGGAAGAAAATAAATATCCAGGCACACCTGAAGTTTCTTCTAAAAGGCAGTCTCAAAACTTGATAAAGTTTTAGAGAGGAGCCGAAACTTTGTCTCCACTTTCTTGTTTCAAATAAAATGACTGCCTTTCAGAAGAAACCTCAGGTGTGCCTGGATATTTATTTTCTTCCATTTAAGATGAAAAAGTAATCTGTGGCTGCTGAGTGTACAGAAACCAGCCCCTACATTCTCTTACCCCCTTAAACATCCCATTATCCAACATGGCAACTAATCTGCATCTAAAAACATTAAGCATTTTTGAGGTAATTAAGGTAGGAGAAAGGCATTTTTTTAATATAAATACATTTCCACAATACATTCCATATGCTTATTTCAAAACAGTTAAATATAACCAAGTGGTACTGTACATTCCACTTCATAACATTTTAAAAGTATGGAGGGCACCAAGACCGTTTTCTCTTCACATATTAACAAAATAAAACAAAAGTATTGAAGGAAAAAATTACAAATTAAAAAAAAATTGCCTGAAAGCAAACTTAAAAATATTCACCAATCTGATTTTTTTAAAAACTTGTTTACTTACACAGACATTAAGAATTACTCTAACAGGTTCCAACTGGCCTGTTTTTATTCACCACATAACCATTTCAGAATACAGGCAGTCCTCATACCAATACATGGGACTAGCTCTTAATATCAAAAACCACTATATTAAAAGGATGTAGACAACAAAAAGAAATATGTGAAATGGCTAAATCTAAAAAAAACAAATAAAGTTGCGGTCCTTTTCCCAACTTGCATCTGGAGTCCTAATTTCGAGTGGGCATTACAGACTGGTTTAAGGCTCCCAACATCGGGGGAGGCACCCTTGAGCGCAACCAACATTTCTATCTTGTGAGTGCATTCAATGATAGCGCACGTTTATACGGTCTGTGTTACACTATTTGTTTTTGTTCCTTTTAGATTTAGCAGTTTCCCATATTTCTTTTTGTAGTCTATATTCTGTTTGCGAACACTATCTGGGAAGTGATCTCAGGGAGGCTAACCAATTTTATCATTAGATAAGTATAATTCATACTTATTACACACTATTCACACTTCAAATATTGTTGAGATAGTATTGTTTTGAATTTATATAAAAAGGATGGCCTGCAACATTTAAATAAACTGTATTGTGAATCCCTTAAGTCGAGTTAATAGAAGTCAAGAATTTTGAGTTCACATGGCCACTTACCTCCATATGCATTTCATACAAATAACAAAATATATATAACTATATCTTAATTCCTTAATGAACAATGTCAGGTAAAACATGAAGTGATTTTTCTACCTACTGATTCTTGATGGGTGATTTACCATTTCTTGGATGATAAATCATAGTATATATGCATATACAATGTTATTTATCAGATGTGTTATATTACTAGTTTATAAAACATCCCTGAGAGAACTTAAAGTTATACTACAACCCTTTTGGGAGGGGAAAGGTGAATCCATAGTCAGGTGAAGCTCTTGGCAATGATATCTCACGCCCCTTCAAGCTCAAACACTTCACACATTGATTCCGACCACCAAGACCACTTCAAATAACTGAAGTGGTCATGGTGGTTGTAGTAATTAATCTTTTAAAATTAAATAATGTCCTTTTTAATATCCTCAAAGGAAGTTTGTATTGACAGACCCATCAATAAAAAAAAAAAAAAAAATGGACAGGTTCAATAAAAAAACAGGACACACATTTAGCAATACAATGGTCAATTGAAAGTTCTAGCTCTATCATTAGCACTGTGATATGTAGCTGAAAAGAAGCAAGACTACCTCTATCTGTTTGGAGACTGTACGTTGGAATGTTCCCAAACTAGTCCTCATGGACCACCTACAATCCAGGATTTAAGTAGTTCCCTGTTTTATTATAATGGAGATACTGACAAAACGGACTATTGTTGGGTCTTGGGGAGTGGTTTGAGAAACACTGGTCTAAGGGTGGCCAAAGGGCTATTTAACCGTAGATAATTTCCATTACTAAATTGGACAGACTTGGCCATCAACTTTGAAAAGAAAATATAAAATAGGTACTTTGGGCATTTTCTTTAGTTCGAATTGAAGCTGAGAATAAAAATAAATAAAAGCCTGTGACATGCATTCCATTTTTTATTCACTTCAGTATTTATTAAATACTTTATAAAACAACATAGTAGATCATACATTATCCTTTTTGGCAAATTATTGTCAAATGAATATCTACCTAAAAAAGTGTCTATATCAATTTGAAAAGTCGGATTGTCTGCCATCAGAATTAGATGCCAAAAAGACAGATTCCTCGTTAGTACAGTTAAATTATTAATCTGCAAATAATGAAGGAAAATGAATAATCTGATCTACTGTAGCTAGATTATTCGGCTAGTATAAAAGTAAAAATCTGTTACTTTGTGCCCTATATGGAAGCCTCCATTAGATTATTTCATATTGACTTTTACATCACTGGTCAATTAAACAGTATTGATTTTACAACCATTAACAAAATCAGATGATCTCACAATGGATATCATGAGTTCATACTAATAAATAATGAACAAAGAAAATACACACCACACAGACAGTGATGTAAAGTAGCAGACAGCATATAAAAACAGCACTTCTTTTTTCCTGGCCCCTAAATCAATACAATATATTTTGTGGTAATTTTTTCTAAACCCAAGTTGGAATTTAGCTGGATGTTGTTCTAATTAGGTCAATATTGATTTGCAATTCCATTACAACAGGGATACAATTACACCATTATGTAATGGTAATTATTGTGCCATTTTAAATCCTACATCAGAGACGTTGACCCACGCCCACAACATTTGCATTGTGAGCAAATATAAATATCTTCGGTTTCATTTGTATTATTGTCTTAAAAAAAAAAAACTTAACTAAGTAAACTAAACCAGGTTGAATGTGTAACATAGCATCTTCTGCCATAATACGAAATTATTAAAATTCACTCTACACATTAATTAAACTTTCAGCAACTCATCTGATCCATTCTCAAAACAGCAAATAAAAAAATAAAACCATAAGTTAGTTTAAAATGAACACGAACATGGAAATTATTATCTAAAAGCATGTTTTACACTTAAATGAAGCCACAGAATTTATTTGAAGGCCTTCATTTTTGGACGGTGGGCATGATTTGGAGCCAAGTCACTTCTTCCCTGGTCAATTTGTGATGTCACTTCCTGCCTGAGAGATGCAAGTGTATCCTTCCTTGGACCTCCTGCAGTTGTCAGTCTACAGTTCTTAGAATGTTAGTGTGTGATCAAACGAGAACTGATGGGGGCATGGTGTTCTACATCAACATCATCACAAGTCAGTTATGAAATACAGAGTGTAAAGGTCTTTCTCCTACTGCTAAAAACCTTGCCAATGGCCTTCCACAACAACACAGGAATAGAGAATATTCTATAAATTCTGTAAATTAAATTATATGAAATCCACTGCTCGCTTGCAAGACATTTCAAGACTATAAAATACTCCATGAGAAGGCGTTCATGGGATATGTGCAGCAGTGCCTTTGAGAACAATTAGAGAGTCACAAGCAGCAGTTTCAGTTACTTCTTTGTCTGTAGATAGAAGCTACAAATCCCAGAGTTTTGCAACAAAAAGAGGAACTTGAGTTATTTTTATTCCCAACCCCCCATATTGTGAATTTAAAAATCCCCCCCTGGCTTAAACCCCCTAAAAAAGTGCATCATTTGGAATGAATGTAAACACCTCCGTCCACAGAATTTCCGGACTGCTCAGGGTTGCCCCTGAACACAAACCAAACTATATACAAGATAATATGAAAAGGTAGACCCTTTCAAACAAACTTACAAACAGGTATAGTGGAAATTTGTTCGTTTGGTACTAGATTATAATGCCTTGAATACGAATGGAATCATTTGGATACAAATACATACAAATGGACACATGACAAACAGGGGAATGCGATAGGGTTTTGAGGTTGAAACTGATTTTGGTCTTTGTTTCAAGGCACAGGAAGTTTAGAATTTCTAACGCAAACTTTTTGTTCAGAATAAATGCTCAGCTTCTAGATATTTAAATATTAATTATTTCAAACCAACTTTAACCAGATATCTAAACTTAAAAAAAAAAAAAACCATAAAACAAATGTCTGAGGTTTTTAAATTTTGAACACAAAGCTATTTTTCCTATATCTGGGAGGAGCAATATTAATATACACAGCTGGCTTTATTATTATTACAGTTGAGGTCTTCTTTCCAGAGTGGATGTACAGAGTCTCAACTTTGTTCTACACCACGTTTCCTAGTTTGATTCAGTAATGCCAGACCCTCGGTATCCAACATGATCATACATGTTTAGAATATTGGGAGCTGGGGGAATGCTGAGCTAATGTTGGTTCTACCAGATATGGGAAAAACGTGTTCTTTTGTGCATTCTTAGGTTTAAAAATGAAAATTTCCAGAAAACCGTGTGGTTAGCAACTAGAACATTCTATGAGGTGTTGATGCATACTCGGGCCAGTCGTAGATATCTGGCAAGAAAGAGTCATATTCTGTGTTCCACACTTTAGACCTAATATAAGCATTCTTGTCCATGGGTTCGGGGTACTGGAATGCCATGCCATTTCTATATACAAATTCCATGACCTAGAAGACAAGACAAAAGCATTGTTAAACACAAAAATAAAGTTTGAGGTGAGAAGACTCAATAGATACAAAACATGCTACAGTTCAAGAACATTTAGGAATGTTTAAGAATAATTCCCAACAAAAAAAGAACAGTATATATAAAAAATAAAATAAAAGACCATAATCAAATAGCTTATGAAGCAAAACAATATAATAAGTTTAAAACACTGAATGTAAATATACAGCTAATAAAGTTGAAGTGATTTTGATGCTTAGACTGTTCCCAAGTTATGATATCATGGTGGGAAAAATAACTTAAAAATTCAATTTACAGTTGTGCAGTAAAAATAAATGAAAGAAGAAAAAAAAAATCCAAGTAAAATCATCAAAAAGCAATTCCTAATTCCATGATTTGCATATGATGTGTAGTAGTTTAAATTGTGCACCTTGCCAATAAGCCCCAAAATGGAACAATCCAGATCTAATGAGGTTTATGTAAAAAACAGTGTGTTTTGGTGAGTCGACAATCAACTTATTCTATTCGTACAATGCTAGAGAAACACAAATCTATTTTATCTGGGAAGGAGCAAGGAAAAGAACACAGAATAGAATCCACCTACTTTAACCGCAATGCATATTGAAACCTCTCGAATATTAGACAGTGGTGGGTAAAGACGTCCTTGGTCCAGCTCTTCAGGAGTCAACTGTTCTGCCAGAGCCTACAGCAAACCAGAGAATCAGTAAGTATACCAAACATACACGAGACATGGGATGGGAGTAGAGAATTTATTCAGTAAATAGTGAACTGCAATGAACTTTAAACAAATTTGCAAAATTTAGAAGCGCATAAAAAAAAAAAACAATCAAGGTTATTTACTAAAATGAGAATTGTTGGGAATTCAATATGAATGCCAAATTGTAGACCCACACTGGAAACATATGTCAGGAAGAATTTTTCCAATTCAGTTATTTTGGCCTTAGATTTAAAAAGTTTTTTGAATTCACATACATCCCCCAAATTCTCACTTAAATAACCCTGAACATGTATTTTTACCCCTCTATTCTACCCAGCACTGCAATGCACAAAAATAAAAAATATATATATATTTATATATATATATATTTTTTTTTAAATAATCTGTAATTCTTTGCCATTCAAACCAAAAATAAAACTTGTCTGCAATGACTTTCCAAGACTGAAAAATATCACAATCACATTAGTAAGACAATCAGCAAATGAACACCTTAAAGGTTGCAGTGAATTTAAAACAATTTTATTAACTTAGTAGACATGTGAACCATGATTACCAACGAACAGTTAAGGTGCTGTTCAGGTTAAAATATAATTAATGCATAAGAAAACAAATTGCAATAAATGCTTTATTTAATAGTTTCAGGAAATCTCTCACAGACAACAGTACAACCACCACTACAGCTTTGTAGAAGTTACAGTAAGGTAAACCTCTGGTGACTTCTTCCTACTACCCTCACTGATAAGCTTGGCCCTGATTGGGAGCACGTCCCCAAGCAAGACAATCCTCCTCAAATGACACAGTCATGTTGGCTCAATTACCAGCACATAAAAGTCAGAATGGAGTGACATCTGTTATTCTGTGCCTGTATTCCTGCAGCAACTGAAAGATATGCTTGCTAGAGTAATAAGATGGAAAGTAATAGAACTTTGTGTAGGTGGATTCTCCTGAACTCCCATGTCACTCAACCCTTGACTTAGACCTCTTGCATAGACTTTTGTGCCAAGAATTGATTGACAAGTGGGGGAGGGATCATAATAAAAAAAAAAAAAAAAAACATTATTATTAAATCTGTACTGAGCTATAAAAGTTTTGAGTTGGACTGCGAATATTTCATACTTTAAATATTAGATTTTCCCGAATTTTAACATAACTGTAATCCCAATTTTCACAGACACTGCATCTGCGCTTTTTAAAGAATAGTTGGATTTAAACCAAGCTCAAAGTCCTTCCAAGTATTAAATGAATCAGAGATAATCTGGTCTCTATGTACAAATGTTTATTTCCCAATTCAAAGCTTTTGTGAGAACTAAACATCACTTAAAGGCTAAATGAAACAAGCTCTACACAAACTTAGCAACTGTTGCCATAACAGTCACAAACCTCTACCCCCTGAATTATGGAAACTGCACTCCAGTGACTATCTGAACAAAGCAGGTATAACAACTCTAGAGAATGCGGACAGTCATAAGTTTATCAAGGTTAAAAGACCATACACAGTTTAACCCCTTCCCGACCGCGGACATATCAGGTACGTCTGGCAAAAAAACGGTCCGAAGCTATTTTGAGCGCTGGTAGCTCTGATAGTATTGCAGTGATGCTCTGCATGTGCTGAGTGCCTCGAGGGGTCCTGGCACTCAGTGCATATATAATATATATATATATATATATATAACAAAATAAATAAAATGATCAATATTAACCCCCCCCATCCCTTTCTAAAGGCAGTGAATCATGGGGCCTCTGGGGGTGTCCCTAGCCTGCCTCATCATAAGGGGCAGACTGGGGTCATCCAATCCCAGCTTGCCCCATTAGCAATTTCATCCCAAGTGTGTTCCCCATTTCTCTGATTAGTGTGGATCTGCCTCCCGCTCTTCACTTGTGTTTTAGCAAGAGAGGGAGAGAGATCTGTGGTTTAGCTAGAGAGATTTAGGGATTTCTAAAATCTTTTTGACTAAAATGATTGCATCTAAGGCATCAAAACACTCCATATACAATACTGCGGGGTGTCAACTTTTTAAATATATCCACGCTCATGGCAAGAAAATACATTGGGATATCTGATAAGGCCCCCAAAAGGAAGATAGGCAAACAGGATATGTAAAATTTGAAAAATAACGCATATCAGACATTTTGCTTTGCACCCCCCCAGTGAACCCAACACACCTATGCATGGGTGGTATCGCTGTACTCGGGAGATGTTGCCGAGCACATATTGGGGTGTCCTTTGGCAGTAACACCTAAAAGGAGCTGAGAATCTATGCCCAAAGTAGAATGTGTGAGTAAAAAATAACACCACAAAAATGTTTGACAGAGACTGGTGGTAGAATTAGTGCATGTAAAGTGTTGAAATGCCACCATGTGAAATGCCCTAGGATGTGTACTTTTCAAAATCATACGGTCTGACGGGGGTGAATTACATTGGCCGGCTTCAGAAATGTTCTAACTGGGACATGGGTGCATGATGGCCAGCTGTGTTTTTTTTTTTTCCATTTTTAATCATATTTAACTTTTTTTTTTCTAGTAAATTATATGATATGATGAAAATAATGGTATCTTTAGAATGAACATTTAATAGCGAGAAAAACGGTATATAATATGTATGGGTACAGTAAATGTGTAAGAGACAAATTACATCTAAACACAACCACTGCAGAAATGTAAAAATAACCCTGGTCCTTAACGGTAATAACATTGAAAAATGGCCTGGTCACTAAGGGGTTACATAGGCTCTTTCCTTTCCACCCCCCAATTCTGAAAAGAGTTCAAATGATCTGAATAGAATTAAAATGTGAAACGACAATACACATTTCTAATACACAATTGATTAGTTATACTTTAGGGGTGTGGTATGTATATGATATAGTATAGTTGGCAAACACGCAGCACACCTAATAACAGCCTGTCGCATGGAGAAGTTACATTGTTACAGGTCTACCCACCTTTGCAGCTTCAAGAAATACCCGGTCACTTATGTGACGAACACCACTTAGAATGACAGCCAGAGCAACACCTGTGTGGAAAATAAAAAGCTTTTAAATTACAAAGTTTTAGAGCGGTTGATATCATCGCGTTAAAGCAATTTACAAAGGTAAAGAAAAAATAATTTTAAAATCCACCATGTACCGATCTGAATATTAAGAAAAAAGCGTTTCCAGGATTTGCAACCAAAACACTATTTAGCTTTTTGTGTTAAATGATGTAATTAAAATTCTTCCAGTTAAAGCAGCACGGTCACCAAAAATAAACTTAATCATTTTCTAAATAGCTCCCGGTGTGTGAATCTTTTTTTTATATTTCCTGAGAGTTTACCTTCCTTAAAAGTGGCACTGTCACGCCAAACTTACCTTTCTCCTATTGTTTCCCCTTCTTTTCCTCTTAGAATCTGTTCTTTTCATTATTTATAATCTAGATTTTTGTTTTAAACATAGGAAAAAATAGGGACTACTTTGTCTTATGTAATTTTCCTACGCTTTTCTTTCTTTGACACAAAGAGGAGCTAAGCCAGCTCTATTTCCTGTGTCAAAGAGAAGGGGGAGTACTTTCTCTGACACGGGAAATGGAGCTGGCTTTAGTTCCTCCTTAGGTCAAAGAAAGAAAAGCGTAGGAAAATTAGATGAGATAAAGTACTTTGTCTTATTTTTAAAGAAAACGAGATAAGAACAGATTCTGAGGGAGGAAGAGAAGAGGAAACAATAGGAGAAAGGTAAGTTCGGAGTGGCAGGGTCGCTTTAAATGCACAAATAAAAGTATTGCAGTTTATAGTTTGTGAAAGCAAATAAATAGGGGATGGGTCTGCGCCAATATACAAAATAAGTTACAATAACAAGTCCTGAATGGTTTAAACGCGGATTTTGATTCATTTAATTTTATATAACATTTTATCTGCTTTTTATTATCTACCTATGTATATTCTATAATTATTTTGACTATTTACACTATTATTATTCTATAAATTTTTACTATTTATTACTATTAGGTTTTTGCTGGCTGTATATATGTTCTTCTCCTCTATTAGTCTGTTACAATTTCCTTATATTTATTTTATGTTTTTCATATTTTTATTAGGTACTTATGTGTACCGCAAGCAATATGGCCACTTGCTATGGGCATTAAAGCTTTAATAAGCCTATTCCCCAACCAAGATGGCTGCCGCCATCATCTCCTTCCCCATCAGCCCCTTTTCCAGCCGACCCTCGGCCACTCCCCTCTTCCGGTCCTCGGCCACTCCCCCTTCTCTATTAGCCCAATATAGGACTTTATCCTACTGCCAGCAAAACTACACACATGTAGTTCGCTTCCTGACTACATGTCCCATAATACCGTGCTGCTGGAAGTGACGTCGCGCTCATGATGTGCGTCATGTGTTCCGGCCGAAAATATTAAAATTCTCATTTAATAACGCTCGTTTTTATATTAAAAAAAATCACACTACATGTATCTTATAAGTTATATTTATATATTTTTAATCATGAAATGTTATTTATGTGCAATAATTATTTGCTTTGTGATTGGTCTGTACAATTTTGGCGCCAATTTTAATTTGTTCTATTCCTATATAAATCCCAACTAGCCAGGTTGAAAAGTTTTTTATCCATTGATAAAGCCTTATATGGTGAAACGCGTTTGGATATTGTACTGTTTTTATATACTGTTAATAAATAGATTTTGGTCATTTTTTACGTCTATACCATTATCTTTTGATCACTACCTGGCTATATATATATTTTTTATACTTTATTTCTTATTTTCCTTTTATTTATTTTATTTCCTGGTATTATACTCCAAAGAATCCCAGGTGGGGATTATACCACCTACGCCTTTGTCATAGAGCAGTTAGCCTGCCCTATACACTGAGTATATTTTATTATATTTTATACAACAATATTTTATTGAGAGCACTATCGCTGTTTTATCTTCTCTCCGAGCTCCTGATACTACCTTCAAGAACACTCATCTTATATCCTACAAGTGGGGATTATACCGCTGTATGCCTACAACACTAGAGCTAGCAGAAGCTCTACCGAATGTGAGTGTATCTACTATATTTTAACATCTTTTATTTCACGTGTGGAACATATTGCACCATTATTGTTTCCATTTTTATCTCCCACTTGGCCGTCTGGCACTGCAGAGAAGAGGATACTCACCGTATATCCTGTAAGTGGGGATAATACCGCTGCAAGCCATTCACACCAGAGCTGGATTAAGCTCTGCCAACTGTAAGTAAGACCTCTCCTATTTTTACTATTTGGATCATCTGTCTCATCACCCACCACCTTCCTCTACATTTTTGGATACCGCAACAAGAAGAACCTTACAACTTCGGAGACCACATATAAGATCCAATACTCTACTCTACTGAACTCCGTTTTACTATCCCATTCAGGACTTGTTATTGTAACTTATTTTGTATATTGGCGCAGACCCATCCCCTATTTATTTGCTATTCCAAGGACATTTGAGGGAGTCCTTGTCTGGGACTGCTGCCTTTTTCTCCTTCTAAACCGATTAGCGCTGACTCTATTCTTTGTTTTGCTATAGTTTGTGGCCTACCTGCAAAATATCTACCGTTTAACCATTAACCCGGGGTGAGACACACCGACACCATTTCGAGGCATCACCCTGTTGCCCCAAAGGGCGAAAAAAAAAAAACCTGAACTGCAGGGCTGCGACCTACTTCTCAGCAGGCTAGATTCCCACCTAGGCAGATCGTCAACGACAGACCTCTGCCAAGCAGCTAAGTGGGATCGACCCAACATAAATAGTTGGGAAGCAGACTATGGGGACACCGCTCTCAGAAAAGGCCAGCTGACACCATGACTGAGTCAAGGAATATTGGAACCCTTCTACAACGATCACCAGAGCAGGCCTGAGGCTTCTGCCCTCCCTAGAGCTGACAACCACCTACACAGCCCATAGACGCCCTGACAACCTTCTTAATACACCTGGAGGGACGTGAATTATGACTGCCTCTGGTACTCTTCATGTTGACCCTCATTAAACGAGCTTACGCAACATCTTGATTTTTTACTCATGAGCCTTCATTTTTATGCTCAGTCTGCCAGTTCAGCTTTACTTACTTGTTGCCTATTTGTTTCACTCTGGTTTATCTCCCCATATCTGGAAAGTTTTGTACGTTCAAGGCCTAGCTCTATGAACTATACGTGCAGGTTTTCACTTAGCTGGACCTGCACTGTGCTACTCTCATTCCACCTCATGTAGAGCATGGCTTACCCCATCAGCATTTAAATTAACTCATCGTCTCCCTGTAATGTTTAGTGTGACCGTATTTCAATTATCATTACAGACTCCACATGTTCTGAATTTCAAGGCTCATCCAGCATATTCGTTTTATTAAGTTTTTCTTTTTCTATCTTGATCATAAACATGAGGCAATCTTTAATAAAATATGTTATGGCTGATATAACCCGGTTTCTTCTTTCTTTATTATATGCTCACGATGCCTCAATAAAACAAAATTGGAATTTTATTTATTTATTTTTTTTAAATATTAGTAGAATGTTTAGTTGTTAAAAACGGATGTGTCAGAATCCTAGATTTCATGAATCCGTAAAACCATTAATCCCGATCTTACCTGGGAATATGTAAGCATTGTTCCCTTGTCCTGGTTTGTAGGATCTTCCATCACTTAAAGTTACCGTATCAAATGGACTCCCACTGGCAAAGAGACAGCGTCCCTGAACAGAAAATGAGCACATGGTAAACATGCAATTCAGCAGCAAATTTCTAACTGCACTTAGGCCCTTCCAGTTTACAGGTGAAAAAGATCTCATATTATATATATATATATATATATATATATATACATACACACACACATACATACATACATACATACATACACACACACACACACTATTGTCTCTTTCTGTAGTTTTAAACTGAAATGCCCCTTCAAACTATTTCCTTTTTAATGGAGTTTAAAAGGTGCTCATCTAGAATAGAGTTTAGGAGTAGTAGCCAAAAAAAAATAATAATATATATAATAATAATATATATATATATATATTATTATTTTTTTTTGGCTACTACTCCTAAACTCTATTCTAGATGAGCACCTTTTAAACTCTATTAAAAAGGAAATAGTTTGAAGGGGCATTTCAGTTTAAAACTACAGAAAGATGATTGAGAAACAGAAGGTTTATAATGAAGGTGGATAGTTTACTTAATGCTTTCTCAAACTTTTTGGGACTTGACTTGCAGTTATTGATGTAGCAGCTACCCAATGTTGGGTCAGGACTGAAAGAATATTTATTTTAAAAAAAAATGCAAGAAGAATGAAATGGGTTTTTAAGTGCACCTCCCCATCATTTTTTCTCAAGCCATCTCCCACCACCAAAAGCATGGCCCCTACACGATAAATAAAAAAAAAAAAAAAAAAGAAGAATGAAATGGAACCAAAAGACTCACTGCACCATAACAAATACAATAAGTTGGAATTGGTTTCAATGCCCCTTTATAACATGCTAAGTCAGCATTTTTTGTTGGTGCCTATATTGCTCCCCTACACTGCCATGGCCGTTAGACTCACCTCACCTTCCAAGCCAAAAGAGTCTCAATTAAGAGGTATTTTGTTTTTTATAAGGTCAGGCGAGCTTAAACTTTAATGCTTATTGTACTGACAGTAAAAATAGCTTGCTAGTAACTTCTTGGCTCTGTTTTAAAGGCGCTTGAATACTGTTGTTTTAAAGGATGTAGACCTTGATGCCACCCACAAATAGTGGGAGTTCTTCAGCCAACTCCATGTGTGCCCTATTAAGGGTTAATTCGCTTGTAGGAATTCAGAATACTATCTTTTTGATCATAAATTTTGCTTTGAAAAAGGGGAGGGCTTGAAAAGGTTGCAGACAGCAGATGTGCAGCTTTTGCAAGCTGTTTTTTTTCTTCCCATTTACCCCCAAAGAAAACAAGCAGAAATGTAAATACATTTACGGGTATATCTACTAAATTGTTAAAACAACTGCAATGGAGTGTTCCATGAAGCTCCAGAAAAATAAAATAAAAATCTCATTAAGATATCCACAACTCTAGTCAGAATGGTTCAACATTCTCACCTCTGTCAGTGTGTATGCATCCTCGGCTGTGCATTCACCCTTAGCTGTAGGGTTACTCAGAGCAAAGATGATTGGTTTCTTGTTAATCGAACCCATTGCTTTGATTACATCTTCTGTAAAGAGTGGGCCAGCTCCCGCGACACCTGAGAGGAAATTACACAGGAAAGAAATGTAACCTGGGTCCTGCCTGCTCTATGAGAAGCACAGAATATGGAGTCAAAAGGAAAATTCATACAGCTTAAAGAATTGGTTTAAAAAAAACAAAATAAAACACACATCAATTACTACTAGCACATACAAAAGTTACCATCATAGTGTGTAGTGACAACCTTACATAACATGGTTTAATTTTAAATACCAGTCAAACTACACTGAATGCAATATACACACACACACATAAATACATACACACACACACACACCTTTGCTAGATACTACACAGCATTGGTAATGTTAAAATCAGCTCAATGCAGGTACAATCCCCCTCAATTCTAAACACTGATTCACAGTATTGCATTCCACTATTAAATATACACCTCTACTTGGCAGCCTGGCTCCTTACTTGTTGCCGGAAGAATCAGAGGCAGGATGCTTTAGTATTCAAGGTATTAAATGATGTAAAACTCACCAATTATTGCAGTTGGCTTTAATACATTCACCGCATCAAGGAAGGTTTTAATCGTCTGCTCTGGGGCAGGGTGTGCAAAGCACTCCTGATTGCCATCTGCGGTTTCTTCTCGACCCTGTTAAAAAGTATTTTTTTAAAAATAAATAAATAAAAGCTAGATAGAGATACACACATAGAAATATATCTCAATACAAAAATAGCCACATTTCTGCATTGTTTCATTGCTAGTCAGGTCTGTGATACTTGTCTGGTTGGTGATAGTTTGGGAAGCTAAGGGCTTAAAAACAGGATTTTGGAATCCAGAGAGGGATGATTTACCTATAAAGCCATTATAGAAATACCATTCAGTGTGAAATTCCTGATTAAGCCCCTCGGCTCCAGCCTCATGCAGTTTATAAGCTAGCTGTAAGTGATAGGATTGCTGCATTATAAACAGGATCCTTGGAATACTCAAATAATGTTCTTAAATAATATACTTTAAAAAACAAATAAAGTTAAAAAAAAAAGTAATGCCAGGACCGGTCAGAAGAAAATTAATTATATATATAACCTCACTCCTTTATCTTAAGTTGCAACTAGATGTATTACAATTAAACAATAAAGGAAGTTTCCATCCCGTATAAACAATATATCAGAGCTTCTATCAAAACAAACCAAAAAATAAATAAATCTATAAACTATTCTCCTTTGTATGTGTACAATGCGTCTCATATGTACATGTGAGTGTAAAATAGGAAAATAAATAAGATGTATATAGCTCCATAAGTTAGGTCCCAAAAAGTGTAAAAGGAAGCCTGCTTACTTAAACATTGCTTACAAATTAGCACAAAGTATGGATTGGTTTCCTGCTAGAAGTGTAACTAATGCTTAACAGAAAAAGGTTACCAATCGCAGATACTCATCTTAAGCCTCCAGGTCTCACCTGAACCAATATGTATTTAGATGAAAGGTGAAATTATATAAATTGTCCCGGCACCAGTTACTTTGGGGTTCGTCAACCTATAGGTTGGGTGCATCTCCCTTTGACTGGCATGTTGCAGGAACCAAGACTGCAGTCTCTTCTTTGACTCACCTGAACCAATAGACCGAATTTGTCAAACATCCAGATCTTCTGCCGAGCTGCTTCTGCTGAGAGACCACTTTCCATCATTGCCATAACTATGAGGTTTGCAATCCCAAGAGCAGCCTGGTCAAAACAGGAAATGTGCATTATACATCAAATAAAATGTGCACGATCTGCCAGATTCCAGTCACAAAGCATGGTACAAATTTATATCAGAATAAGGACCCTCATCATTACTCAATAAGCAGTTACTATGCATGTCCATCTAAAAAAACATTATCCTCCTTTCTGGAACAATAGTTAAAACAGATACAGGCATGCTGGCATCATAACCGCAATAGAACACTGTAGTGGTTATGGTGCTTAAAGTGCCTCTTTAACAGATCCTACAGACCCTTGTGCAAACGTTTAGGCTAATGTACAATTATGGGGTCCAATAGAGCCCCTATGCAAAAGGTACTATGCCACTAGTTATCCTATACCTCAGGTCATTCTAGGAAACTTTAGATATTTAAATATATGGTTCCTGGAAAATGCTTTGCTAATTACTATATACCCAACAAAGAATTCTTTTCCTATAAAAAGTAGACAGACAAAAAAAAAAAAAACCCCCAAACAAACAAAACAAAATAAACATAAGTACAATAATGAAACAGTGCATACAAGTAATATTAAATAAATCTTATTACTAAAAGTGATTTAAAATGAAAGCCAATAAAAATAACCACTAGTGCAGAATGTTGGGTTAATTTATGTATGATACCGTTTGGAGTTAGTAAATACCCTCAATTACTTTCATTAATAAAGTTCACACATTACTGTTCCATTAAATGCATTATTTAACATTCCTACCTCTCCTGCTCCGAGGAAAAGGACATTTTGCTCTGTAATTGGTATTCCGAGGACATTTTGTGTTGCGAGCAGTCCAGCCAGTGCTACGGAGGCAGTCCCTGGAAACATTAGAGCACAATACATGTCATCTATGCATTTTTTTTCTGTAATGAATGGGTTATAATGCTTAGACAACCTCCATGCAGTCTTGGGGCAGTAATCTGTCCAAAGTTAAGGGAAGTTACACACCCCACTGACACTTGCTTCAATATTTGTGACAGCTGCTCCTTGGGATTGTAACTCATACTAATCTCAGGCAGCAATTTGTCACACACTACCCTAACATACTATTAATTTATATAACTCCTGCGCTACCAGTAAACATTACCCCATGGCTATAACTTTAAACATCATTAATGCAGAAGCAAGCTTACCTATCCTGTCCCCAAATGACACGCAGAGTATCTGACATTTTTAGCTTGTGGCTGCACAATTGTGATTGCAGGATGCCTTGTGCTAATGCCTGGGTACTCCATAATATTTCCCTCAAAGGCCAAGAAAAATCAGAAAATAAAAATGCTCCCCCTTCCAAAAGGGCAGAATTTCCACTCACCAAATTGCTAGTAGAATTTTTTGACTCCATTCAGTGCACTAACACTTGCATTAACACTAATCCTAACCTAAAAATTCCAAGGAATATAAAAGATACACAATTGTAAAGCATGAGTTGTGTGAACATTCTGCCATCTCATGGATATGGAAAGATTTCTAAATCACTCAACCTTCGGATTCATGACTTATTAGGATGTCTCCAGAATTATGTATCCCTTCCCTCTGTTGGAAGAATTGAGAGACATGGGACACTGTATGATCGCTGAGATGGTCTGTCAGACTTTATGGTACCTCTACCTGTGACGCCCACACAGAGGAGTCATGCGATCTCCAAAAAAAGGCAATTATTACAGGACCTTACATGAAATCAGATTTCAGTTATGACTAAAATAGACAATTCTTTATCCACGTGCCACTAAAAAGGGAAAATAGGCATTCTCCTGAGGGAAGAGCAGTCCAATTAGGCTCCTTGTGTTATGCCACTGATGTATAAACATAACCGACAATCTCTACTTTACACTACAAAACAAACAAGGTGGGGACAGCGCTAAACAACTAAACAAAATGCATATAAGAGGCAGCACACCTGAAATAGGGGATTCCCTCTAACCCTAAAGGAGAACTAGACAAGTATACAAAGGAATAGGTAGCGCCAAAAGTTAGTAAATAATATAGAAAACAGAATGCAGAGTACAGAAATTGGCTGGAGATACAGTAACACAAATATATGATAGTCCAAAAAAAATAAAATAATGAATACCAGTAGGTAAAATACAGTCTTTAGATCAAAGATAATCCATATTCAATATATTAAGGTAGCCAAAAATAGTTTATAAAACCACATCTTTTGTTTAATATTCTCTTTTGTTTAATAAAGTATTTTTGGCTACCTTACAGTTTGTAGAAAGCCATATACTTTTTTAACCTTTTATTTTATTTATTACCTGGCACTTTACATCTGTATGGAACCATACAAAGAATCCTTGGTGGGGATTATACAATCTATGCCTAACTCCACCAAGAGTAAGTACATTTCATATTACTGCGTGTATACCTACCTCAATTGAGTGCACTATTAGGAGAGGGTTACAATAATCCATGCGGGAAATTACTAGAGCATGGACAATCTCCTTGGTAGTATCTTGTGTAAGAAAGGGGCGGACGCGGGCTATGTTTTTAAGATGGAATCTACAGGATTTGGTAATAGACTGGATGTGAGGCTCAAAGGTGAGGCTAGAATCAAGTATGGACATATGTGGATACCAGTAATTTAAATGGAGAGCGAAAGAGTAGGATCAGTCTTAGGAGGAGGAAAGACAAGGAGCTCAGTTTTAGAGATATTGAGTTTCAGAAAGCGGGAGGACATGAGATGGAAGAAAGGCAAGCAGTGACACGTTGCAGGACGGCAGGGGAGAGGTCCGGGGAGGAGAGATGAATCTGGGTGTCATCAGCGTACAGGTGGTAGTGGAATCCAAACTAAGTAATAAGTTTACCAATAGAGGCAGTAAAAAGAGAAAATAGAAGGGGACCAAGGACAGAGCCTTGGGGGACTCCAACCGAGACAGGACAAAGGGAGGAGGTATCATTAGAATAGGGGACACTGAATAAGAGGAAAACCACGAGAGGACAGAGTCACAGTGTTTGAGGAAGGAGAGCATGATCAACAGTGTCAAAGGCAGCAGAGTGGTCAAGAAGAATTAGTTTGGAGTAGTGGCCTTTGGATTTAGCTGCAATTAGATATTTAGTAACTTTGATAAGATCAGTCTCAGTAGAGTGGAGAGGGCGGAAGCCAGATTGAAGAGGGTCAAGGAGAGAGTTGGAATTGAGGAAATGAGGGGGGGAGTGCATGTCACATTGCCACAATCAAACAATCCTGACAAGAATGTTTTTTTTTTTTTATCCATACTTTGCATTCACTAAGCATCATGTTTTTGTAGTTTAACACTTTGAGTTGATTTTTTGGCCTGGATGTGAAAGGGTTAAGTTAGCCAACTGTTGTGAATGTTTTTTATTTTTAGGTTTATTTACAGAAATCTCAGCAGATCTCTGGGCCACTAAGAGCACAATGCTATTAGCACTTCTTAAATGTACAGTAATAAACAAATTGCTTCAAATCCACCAAACACAATATAACAATTCAATACTAATGAACAAACAATTCATACCTTGAATATCATCATTAAAGGTGCAATATTTTTCTCTGTACTTCCTAAGGAATCGAAAGGCGTTGTGGTTCCCAAAGTCTTCAAATTGGATAAGTGTATTTTGGCCATAACTATAAGATATAAAATTACACGATCAGCATAAAAAAACAAACCAAAAAAAACAAACCACCTTTCTCAAAATGTATCGTTTGGTACATCAGATTCAAGGGGGAGGAGAATTATTAAAAAATAAAAAAAAAAGGGCCATCAACAGAAACATAGTCCACTAACAACTGATTTTGTGTTGGGTGCTGGGGAATCCTCAATTCTTTTTGTCCGACCATTTGAAAGTGGTTTGACAAAACCCAGTGTGATTGCACAAAGCGTAAGAGGATATTGCGCATAGAGGCTTCCTTTAAAAGTGCTACATTAGACTTAAAATATGCTTTAGTAAATTAGCCATTAAGGACAGAGCCTGCTAACGTAATATACATATAAAACATTAATGACAAACAAATCAAACCAAATAAACTAAAAAACATTTTTTATTTATGAAACGTTCTCCCAAGGAAAAAAGGAGGGAGAGAAATCTGCTGCATAAAGCAACAGATTACATAGGTCGAAATCTGATTAATGGAAAAGCCAGTTTTTAGACTAGACTATCGGATAAAAAAACAAACAGGTAGCTCAGGTGCATTAAAAGAAAATAAGAAAGGGGGGTGGAGCAACCAGCAACAGAGACAAGCTCACGCCGCATGAGCTCCGAGACTTTCAACTCCAATAGCCCAATTTGTTTTGACCCTACCCCATGGAAGAAGACAGATCTGCATTTTTCCTGTATCTCCCTAACATAGACAAACACTTGAAAAAGCTTAAAGCAGCTGTGAGTGAAGTTTCCAGAGATGTTGGTTGCCTGTTGCAGCAATCTCAGAGGCCCACTGGAATCCTGCACTCACTCACTCCTCAGAGGAGGAGGACTTAGGACACACAATGCACACAGCTTACCCAGATGGCTCCCACGAAGCGTTACTCTGCTCCAGCAACTAAAGGAGATCAGGGAAGATCGTGTGGCCCTAACTGACCGGATTAAAGCTATGGAGGAGGATATAGCTGTATTGGGTCTTCAAGCATCTTTTGGGACCATGCAGGCAGGAAAGGCCTCCTTGGATGAGAATAGCAAGCGTAGGACTAGAAAGCTCAGAGAGGTACTAGAGGATGTGGAGGAGGGAGAAATGCCACATTTTGTCTGACGCTTGTTTGCTTCCATCCTTCCACAGATGCAGGCCAAGGGCATACACCTGTCCGTAGGCTCCTAGATCATCCACTGTGCTAGCAGCGTCTTTCTGCTACATGGTAATCCTTTTTCAAACCAGGGAATGGGAGCATAAACCCCCCCCCCCCTCACCCCCCCCTGTCCTCCCCTCCCAAATGCTCTGGGGTTACTAAAAGTTCTAACATTAACATAGTGGCCCACCCAAGGCTCTTTGTATGATAATGTAACTTCACATTAAGTCTCTTCCTGTCGTTCACCAGGGCAAACCCTCCCTGTTTTTCTTTTCTGATTTTGTTTACATGTCTAACATTGGTCCCCTTATGGTCGACACCACACACAGTGATACATATCAAGATTTTGCAGTAAACTTATTAAGCTATAGTCTGTTGACAAACCTTACAAATGGTTTGAGCTATGAGCACACTATTCACCTCCTACTGATCTATTATAAAACAAGAGGCTTTAAATGAACCAGTTTAACCTATATTATGCAATGTAGATGGTTTAGTTAATTTTCTTACTGTCACAAGCTGGTATTTTCAGCCATGTGTTACATTCCATTCCAAAAAAAAAAAAAACTAAATTAGAAGTTACAAAGCACAAGGGTTTTTAATATGAAATTATTAAAGGGTTTTAAAAGCAGTTACTAAGTTCTATATATGAAGCAATAAACAAGGACATATTATTTTCTACTATAACTGCTATGTTACATAATCCCAGTCCTGCGCTAAATACAGAGTAATCATAGTATTATGAGAGTTCTAAATAGGATTGCTCTCCTCTACATTATCTTTATTATTGTGCAACTATGTAAGTAGGGCAGGATTGTGGTTATGTGTAAACAGGAATTCTAAAGAAAAAAATAGATCTGTGAATAAAACTCATCAGATATGCTTTGAAGCTAAGTATATATATAGGGCTTCTATATTTAATAGGGAGACCCTATACTAGCCACAAATTAGACATTTAAGATAAAAGATGAATGTCTAGGACCAGGAGCTGCAAATAAACAGACCAACAGGTTTTAAGTAACTACAACTCCCATGATGCTTTACCGGCCTCATGGTACTTTCCCTTACCGGTCTGTGACAGCGTCCATAAACTCATCTATTAGTTCATCGTAAAGCTCAGTGCGATCCCTCTTCTGGTAAAGTCCCATATAGAACGGGTCCTTCAGCAATGTCTACAGGAAAGAAGTAAAATCACTGCATAGTAAATGCCTGCAATTATACAGTGCTACAATACAACACATGCTAGTTCATTATTAACCCTTACAGCGACAAAGCATAGTGCACCACAAAGCAGATCCTGCTCACCCTTCTGGCACAGAGAAAGCAGAACTCATGCATTCTGTAAGTGAAACCAATAACGTCTTATTGATTCACCTTAGATCAATATTGGTCTAACTGAATCATGCAAAAAAATTATTTCCAAAATCATTTAACATGGGGTGTAACGTTTAAGGACAAACAGTACATAATCAGCCAGATTAAATAGCTTTGCATTTAAATATTAATAAACTAAATGCCAAGTGTACAGATTTATCTGTATATACGTTATTACTGCATTCATTCTCATGCCAGTTCATTTACAAAATACCAACACATTGTGAGTAAAAGTAATCCAACAACACATCTAAAATCATGTCAAAGTTTGAACGCTTTCTTCATTGAAGTGTTGGTGTCACTTTAAAAAAAAAAAAAATAAAAATCACCATCATACCCAGCATTTTTTAAATATACTGGTTAGGAACCATGTTACTTTAGCGATGTGCCTTGTGGCTTCTATGGAAAATCTGCACTAGGTTTAACATGGCTGTCTTAATGAAAGTGGTTAGCTTGTCTTCTAATACAGATGTACCAGTGGCACATGAGAATAGAAAGCACTGAGTGCGCAACAAGCTTGCTGCGTTGACTGGCTACTGTGCAAAGGGCAGAAAGTTCACGCCGTTCACTAAAACCACAAGACCAGGCACAGTTTAATCTAGATATTCTAGAACTTGCACCAGTATGCAGTAAATAAATTGGTAGGTATGTGGTACACTTTTCCACAGGTAGTCTCTGTGTGGGTTCATGGAACCCAGGCAGCCCTTTTAGAGGGGCAGCAGAGTCTGCAGCAAAACCCCAGGAAATAAATGTCTGTGTGCGCCAGTATGAATGGGTATCTGTAGTTGTGCATGTATGTGTGTGTTCTGTGAGTAGTTCTATATGTGTGATCCTTAGGCATGCTTATGTGATTGGTGAACTAGTTATGCATAACAAATTTGTGTAAAAGAAAATAAACTGGCACTGTAAATGGTCGTAATATAAATATTTACCTCATTATCAGTGCCGACATCGATAACGACAGGAAGGCATTTCTGAGGCCGAATTCCACCACATGCGGAATACAGACACAATTTTCCCACTGGTATTCCCATTCCATAAACTCCAAGGTCTCCGAGACCCAGAATTCTTTCGCCATCAGTTACTACAACAGCCTGGAACGAACAAAAAGGACAATCTCAAAATCGGATAATTTATAGAACTCATCATTTATAAAACTGACTTCTTACTTGGTGGTCTCCTGGCACTGCCACCCACCTCCTGCAATGTAGGGCTTGGCTCATTGTCAGAGACATGGCCCTCAGCCAATAGGTTTGAATTGAGGAGCGCCAGGGCACTCCTTACACTATAACCACTGGAGCAAATTGTAGTTATGGTGTCTGCAGTCCCCTGGCACGGTCCATCCATTCAGTGTGAATCCATTTTTGAACAGTGTAACACTGAATGAGAGTCCCTGCCCCCACTGGAAGCATAGCTAAGACAAAGATTACACATGTCATTGTAGTCACACTGATTGGTTGCGGCCACCGTCATCCAAATCACAGATGCTCATACAAATTCTTACTCATTAGCCCAAGCAGCACAAAGGAGATAGGTTGTTAGGGATTCTTTCTAGCACTAAACATTAAAAATTGTTTAATGCTGAATAGAAGGACAGAACCAAGGGACTGCAGACACTATAGCCACTTTAAATAGATGAAGCCGTTATGGTGCCTACATTGTCCCTTTAGGTTTATTCAGGTCCATAAGTGGACCATATACATCTTGGTACCCATACTCTATACTGTTAACAAGTGCCTGCTGATAAACTTTTTACCTACATGTAGTGTTAAAGGGACACTATAGTCACCTGAACAACTTCAGCTTAATGAGGTTGTTCAGGTGAGTGTTACAGCTCCCTGCAGCCTTTTTCTTGTAAGCACTGTATTTTCTGAGAAAATACAGTGTTTACATTGGAAGCTTGGAACACCTCTTGTTGCAGTCAGACGGCCACCAGAGGGACTTCCGAGTTCAGAAGCCCTAAAAAGGCTTCATTCAAGTCTGATGTATTCACGCATGGGTGAATACTTCAGACGTGTATCAGCACACAAAGCACTGTGAACGCGCTTTGTGTGCTGAGGCTGTCAGCACTGCGTGGGAATGGCTTGAGCTGACAGGCTGAAGACCGAAGAGAAGGAGGGGAGGATTCAAACTGTAAGTAAACTTATTTAGTGAGTGTGGGTGGGTGAGGATGGATGATGGGGATGGATGGATATGGATGATAGGAATGGTTGGATATGGATGGATATGGATGATGGGAATTGTTGGATGGATATGGATGATGGGAATGGATGGATAATGGGAATGGATATGGATGATGGGGATGGAGAAAGAGTGTATGTCTAATTTTTTACTACTTGTGTGTTTGCATAGAAACACTATATATAGAGAGATCTTTGTGTGCTGAGGCTGTCAGCAGTGCGTCGGAATGGCTTGTGCTGACAGGCTGAAGGGCGAAGAGAAGGAGGGGAGGATTCAAACTGTAAGTAAACTTATTTAGTGAGTGTGGTTGGGTGGGTGAGGATGGATGGATATGGTTGATGTTTTGGATATGGATGATGGGAATGGTTGGATATGGATGGATGATGGGGGGATGGATATGGATGATGGGATGGAGAAAGAGGGTATGTCTAATTTTTTACTACTTGTGTGTTTGCATAGAAACACTATATATGGAGATATCTCTATATATAGTGTTTCTATGCAAACACAGTTTGGCTGAGGAGGGGGGCGGGTATAGAAAGCAAGCTGAGCTGTCAGTCACGCGAACTCAGAGCACACATGCGCGGTTGAGCGCTGAGATTCCTCATAGGGCGGCATTCAATGCCGCTCTATGAAGAATGCGATTGGTGCAGCACGAAAGGAGAAGCGTCCTATTGGGCTTTGCGATTTCGTCATTTTTACGAAAAAGGGGGCGTGGCCTAGCAGGGAGCTCGGCGCTGGAACAGAGGTAAGTTTTATTATTAAAACTTACTCGGATTTATTTTTTATGATAAGTTCATATAAAAGCAAGAAAGAAGGCTGGGGGACCAGTCTTTCTTGCTTTTATAGGTTAACTATAGTGTCCTTTTAACTAAAAAAGTGCTACGTAGCTCACTAGTAGGGCACAATTAAAATATAGGACCAGTCATCTTACCTTTACATCGGTTTCTGGCCAGTTGTCCAAGATTGATCGGATATGTCCTTTGTCTAATATTGAAATGTAAAGCCCCCTGGGGAAAGAAATAAAAGGTTATGTATACGCTTTCATAGCTTTGTCAAGCTTCTCTCCCAGGTCACCTGATAAAGTGTAACACAGAGAGACAGGTAGAGACACACCTGTGCTTCCAATGAATAATTCAAGGCATCGCATTTACTAATGTACAAAGTATCTCCAAGCAGGCAGCGGGGGGCACCCAGAGGTACGGACTTCAGTATGCAAGGAGTGGTCAAAGTAGGTGACATCTCACTGTGAGTATATGGACAGGTCTGGATTCCAAGTTGGAGACCAGTCAAACTTGTTCCTGTTACAGTGCTATTACTGTATTATATTAAAACTACCACTGTGCTCATATGTTGGGTTTTCCCACATGACTGACATTTATTCAAAATGAAAAGATGTGACTACTTTCAGTTCCCATCTCCATTCTTTCAAACGTTACTAGAGTATTGAGTAGACCAGACAAGTCAGCTGGATGGTGTAGACAGTGATTAATCAGCTGTTTTTAACTTCCATAATATTCTTACTAAACCCCTGTAACAGAACTGGTTTTGTCAAGCTACAATGAAGAAATGATGCTCAAGGAATGTCTTCGTTTAATATATACTTACTTTGGCCTACGGAATATGTGTCCGTACTGCGAACAAGCCAGACCGACTGTGGGCGTGTAGACAATGGGCATTAATCGTTCAATATCATCCTGCAATATTCTATAGAAGAGCTTCTCATTTCGCTCCTGAATTCCCATTACGTAAATGTATCTAAAAAAAAAAAAAAAAATAACAGAAAGATTGTAAAAGTCACTGTATATATGATATTACTGAAAAGGATTGTAAAACCTCATGAGAAATACGACAACATGCTAAACCTATATTTTTTCATTAGTAATTTTAGTGATTATTCTGGTTTTATCATGTGCCAAATGCCATTAATTAGGAGTAAATAGCATTTTAAAATAAATATAATTACACCACGTGACACTACTCAACAAGAGTGGATAATGTATGTTTTACAAGTAATTCTAAATTTAACTATTGATCTTGCTTATAAAAAAGGCATTTTTTCTTGAGAGGGGAGAGATAAATAAGAACTCCAAGCACAAGTTGGGGTGATGGGAAAGCAGTGCTGCTAAAAGAAGGTCAGTAAGGCCTACAAAGAACTTCTTTAGCATGGCCAAGATGTCAACCGAAAAGATGCAAGCTGTGCTAGCCAAACAAATAACGGCTACCCAACAGAGCTTTAACACAACACCCAAGTGGGCCTAAATCACATAGGACATTTAAAGATCCCATTCCAAAATGGAATGACCAACTCAATGTATCGATTTGTCAATTCTAAACAAGCTCGACATTCCATTCTGTCTTAAGAAACAGAGTGTAATGACCACAAAAAGCAACATTTGGTCCTTATAGTTTATGATACACTGTGCTTTTTGTGGGTTTTCTCCAATAATAAAACCCACACACAGACAGGCCTAATAGCTCCATGCTGGAATGGTACTAGAAGATCCAGGGGATGTCATGGTGGTTAAGTGTACATCTTATGCATTATTTACTAGTCTGTTGCTATCCATTATAAGATGTTTCTACCAATAAGCATTAAGTACAGATTTTATTGATGGAAACTTGTTTGGAATACATACTTTTCTAAAGGGTCCTCCATTTTTCTCAGGTTCTTGTGAAATCGAGCAGCTTGAATGTCTTGGGTCTCTATTTTGGAAGGCAAGAGTCCCTGAAGTCCAAGGATTTGCCTTTCTTGTAAAGTAAATGCCATTCCCTAAATCCAGAAAAAAAGAATTGATTGAAACATTCTGCTATGCGGGCAGCGTTTTGTTTAGCAATGCCGAGGTTTACATTCTAGAAGCCATTTTGAATAACATTTTAGTTGCTTTCACAGCTTACAACAGTATGAATTATAAAGAATTCAAAGTTAGGCTGCAGTAGCTAAATTATAAAAAAAATCCCCAAGTCAGCCATGTTTGTAATTCAGCTGTTTTTTGCAAAAATGTCAAATTCTTTTTGTATCTTCAACATTTCACACTTAAGAGAATTATCACGTTAGACAAATATAATGTTGGTGTTATGGTCTGCAGCCAATTAAAAGCACAGGTATTTCTTTATGCAAATAAAGTGATGTTAGAGGGAAAAAATTACATAAAGCAATAAGCCCTTTGTTGTATTAAAGAACTTTTCATAAAGGTTCTCTCATTCTATGCTCCAAAGCAGCACAATCACATAACATGCTGGTTGATCTCACTGAGGGCCTCCAGAGCAGTCTGAATAAATAAACGCAGTGATTGCAGGGTAGAGGATGACAATATTTTAAACTTAATATTGGCTCATTTGTGTTTAGCAGATTACAGGGAATTAAAATGAAAAAAAAATAAAATACACAACTAATCTGATACGACCTGACTGGTTTAGGAACAAACAGATAAGACGCAAGCTTTGAGGTCATTAGTTACCTATATCTGTATAAATCATCCCTACATATATACACACACACACACACACACACAAATGTCCATTTATATAGAGTTTTGTAGCTAAACTTGGGAATTGTGGAAAACGGACAAAAGAATTGCAACTTTTTGGCTAAGACAACTAAGACTGAGACTTTTCACCTCAGATTAGCAACTAGCCTCTTTAGGTGAAGAAACTATACACTTAAAAAAAAAAAATACAATGAAAACGGCAATGCATTATAGGGAGACATATAGTGTTAGTCCATAAAGTGTTTATAGATAAACATAATACACCGTGTTTAGGACAGAATACAGCCCCCATATTACAGAGACCTCGATTTCACATACCTTGTTTGTCCTTGGATTTAACATAAGAGCTTTGCCCTTCTCTTTGGTGTGCACAGTCCGACATGCTGGCAGACTTCTGCTTGCGACTACTCTCAATCTGGATAACATTTTTATAGGTCTTAAAAAACACAAAATAAAAAAACAAAAACAAAGTAAGTACAGTTGGGTGAGGTTAAGAATATGGAAATTCAAACATTCATGCTGGTTAACAAGATTATAAATCTTCAAATAGATTATTAATTGTAATTAGCAGCATTTACAGAACATAAACATATTGTGGAGCACTTTACAATTATACAATGTGGATATTTGACAAGTAGTTTACAGAATAGAACAGAAGAGATGAAGGAGGACGTCACACATGCCATTCTCACACAAAAGTCATGCACATTGTGAGCAAAAATCTTTTAACATTCTCAAAGAAAGAGATATTGAAAAGAATACACAGATCTCATGTAAAAGGCACTTATTTTTTATGAACACTGCAATTGTACATCAATTGCGTATTTTTACTTGCACATGTAAAATTGCATGTAAAAGCACGTTAAAATATAAAAACTGTTTTGTACAATAGGATGAAGATCAGGCTGTGCCAGGAATGGACTGAGCACAGACCGCTACTGGATGAACCCAGCACTATACGTCACACCTGGACTGGAGAATATAAATATAAACACTCATCTCTAACATGTTTTTATCGATTGAGGTTTCTACATATTAAAATGCATGTGCTGGAGGGCAGAGATCTATTAACACAACGAGGTACTATTTCTATATACTTAAATACAAGTTTTTTATTTCTATCAATAAGACAAAAGAAAGTCCCTAAAGCTAGGAGTCTGTAGAACCAGAAGATCAGGTTTAAACATTAGAATAACTCGCACTTACACTAATTAAGAACCCCAGCTGAAGTCACAGTAGGAAATATATTTAGAATATCAATTCTATTCTAAGACAGGACAAATTTCACTGAGAATATGCAACATAGCCTTGTACTAAATAAATGGACAATTCAACAGTCCCTGCGCATGTAATTATTCTTGCCAACTGTTGCAGTTATGAAAAACTCCAACGAAATCTTTAAAAAGCAGACATCACCTTCCTGAATGTCCGATCGGTAAAGTGTATAAATAGATGTTACAGTGATTGACTTTGCTTTCCTGGAAGGACGATCACTGTAGGAACTAGGGTCACACTTTATTACACAGACATCATTGGGAGAAGCATCAATAGTCTAACTCAATACACCCAGATTGATTAGAACGCTGTATTGTAGGTCAAAATTCTCAAAGAGTTAAACCCTGCACTCTAGGCACTGAAAACATTAGATTTTTTTTTTTTACAAAGTAATTGTAAAGAAAAAAAACAAAACAACCTTTTTATCTTCGGTTTGCACATTGTATGATGCTCTACCACTAACCTCTTTTCCAAAAGAAAGAGATCCCCCTCACCCCCCCAAACAAGAAATGTATAGCATTACATGAACACAAAATAAATAGATTTTTATTTTTTTAAATTCATAATTTGATGATGGGAAGAACCATTTTAGAATGAGTGCAGTGGTCAGCTAAAATATGGTCTGAAACTAGTTCATTTTTCGTGAATTAAATTCTGTCCCTTGCCACATTTTGAAAACTTCCCATCCACCTAACCGTATAGTAGCTCTCCAGTAGAAAGCGACATAAGGAGGACCAGGATGTCTGAGACGCTTACTGTATGTCTGTGACAAATGGAGCAGATTTAGAACCCCTGAGTTTGCTGCAAAGACGGAATAGTTTTTTTGTTGTTGTTGTTGGTTTCCCTTTGCATTGTTTAGATCAGTGGTCCTCAAACTCCGGCCCCCCAGATGTTGCTGAACTACAACTCCCATGATTCTCTTGCTATCTATGTAATTCAAAGAATCATGGGAGTTGTAGTTCAGCAACATCTGGGGGGCTAGAGTTTCAGGACCCCTGGTTTAGACGCATAAAATTAGTTTTAAATTCTTAGAACAATCTGTACTCTGATTTCGTTGAACTCATTAATCCATTGTGTCTATTCCTTTTAATCACACACCAGGATGGAACATTAATTACATGAAGATAATGAATAGCAGTGTCTGCTGTAAATCTCAGGAATTCTGCTTTTCAACCAGGAACTAAACTACTTCTGTTAACTACAGGTCAATTTCCTTGATCCCTCTATTACAGGGAGGCTCCAAGTCAGAAAGATTAGATAAACACAGTAAGCTAGGGGCTATCAGGACACAGACTGTGAGAGCCAAACAGCCACTAAAGAGCCAGATTCCGATGCTCTGGTGACAAGAAGCAAGCTGTAGTATATGGGTAGTTTTAACACACCAGGCTATTCAGACATATCCCAACCAAACCACATTGTTAATTAATTTCATTATTATATTGCACGGATTGCAACAGCAGTAACTGGATGCCTGCAAACTTTTTCCAAGATCAATAAAGTGAGACGTTATCTACTCTAGGAACACAAAACTCTGCTTCAAGATTGCGATAGCAAGAACTTGTCTGGGAGCGAGAAGAAAGGATCGAATCAGAGCCAAGTAACATACAAGATAAAATTTATTTAGTAAAGAGGAATCGTCATTTTGGAGATAATGGCACAATTTAATAGCCAACTGGAAGTTAGTTATTAAGTCTGCTTATATAGGTGTGTTTTTTTGTTTGTTTTATCTAATGTAAGACTGGGCTGGCACAGCCTGGCATTCCATGTAAATTCAAGTTTCCCTTATGTGTAAGTGACCTCAGATATCGCAGGTGCATTCAATGAAACACGGGAGAATTTTGGCCATCAAGCAGATAATTATCAGTAGATGCTAGCACACGTTATACAGAAATGCTAAGAGTATAAGCAAGTTTTATTTTTGCCTCCACTGCCCTGCTAACTCCAGCATACACTTCAAAAGCATTTACAGGACTGAGGAAACAAACTGCTAAAGGCGTTCACCCCCTCCACCAATGACTGCACAGGTGGTGGGTAGGTCTTGCTGAAATTCCTGGTCCTTCACAACCATCATTAGTGACAAAAGTGAAGAGTCAGTTCAGAATCCCTCCAGGAAATCTGAACAGACAAGACAATAAGGATGTATTCCATTAAAGGGGCACTATGCAGCCTAACCAGATAACGGTTTTGGTTATGTTATCCGGTTGTCCTAGTGTAATCTCTCAGTTTTATGGCAAACTGTTTAGGAAGAATATAAGCTAAACTAGAGCTCTGCCTGGTCCCCCAGGAGATCACCCCAACTTTGAACTCACTGATAATTTGGACCACATTGTTTGGCTGAACGTGCTTCGAACTGGTAAGAAGTAATTGACAGTGATAATTCAAAAAAGGTTAATTGTAGATTATCAGGGAGGCAGAGGATAAAGACGGTCCCTGGCAAGAGATACACTACATGTCAAACTGTTCCTAAACAGAAATTTCTGAAAAATGGGCACTGCCATTTACAATAATCTAGACAACATAACTGTTACAGCTCACGCTAAGGGTTATGTTAGAGTTCCCCTGATCTATAAACCGGTTTGTTTTGGTGATGACCAAAGTGTCTTTACCCAGGCATGTGTTGCAATAAAAGGATTGCGAAGATTAGGAAGGTGTGCTGGATATACTCCCCCCCCTCCCCCCGCCTCTCCCCCTGTTTCATACCGGATTGCAAATCTGGAATTTACAGCACCTTTCAGGAAAAATGTGATATATTACAAGTTGCACTCACCACTATTTCTATATAGACTATTTTCCTGAAGGAACATACTAAGGATGACTCAAAAGAGAGTGTTTAATAAAATCAAATGCATTGCACCATGGAAATAATTATTAAAAAGTAGAATATATAGTGTTATTTGCATAATTTCATACTTTTTAGATAGGTCTAATACTGCCTCAGAGATATAAATCTCAGGTGATATCAGCATTATGTGATTTACAGCTTCTGAAAACAGTTATTTTATTGAACAGATCTACACGGATTAAAGTGTGTAAGCTCATTGAGCAGGGCCCTCAACCCCTCTGTTCCTGTGTCCAACTTGTCTGGTTACAACTACATGTTTGTTTGTCCACCCACTGTAAAGCACTGTGGAATTTGTTGGCGCTATATAAATAATAACATCCTTACTGTTCCTTAAAAGCCATGAACAAATCAATTATTAAAATTAAAACGTATTACTTTAGGGGTTATTAAAAGGGATCTGTCAATTTTGGCAGTCTTTGAATAATTCACAAAGACACCTGAAATATACTGGTCTGGTGGGAGTCTGGTGGTCGTGGGGTACTGTGGAAGTGGGCTTTACTTACCGCTGGTTGTCCCTCGCAGCAGCAGCAGCCATCTTCATGATTTAGCTCCTCTTCGGCTCCTGGTGCTCCAGCTTCCAGGAGCCACGTCAGTGCTGCACTCTCGCGCATGCATTTAAGTACAACACTTAAGGCTATGGAGGATCACGCGAGATCATCCATAAAAAAAAAAAAAAAAAGTCCTTTGTGATGGCTGCTGGGATTGAGCAAAAAGTTGATGGCGGAGATTCTCCTTTGGTCAACCTCAAGGTTTACCATAAGACATATTAGTCCCTACTTTGTCTTATGGTATCTCTGGATTGCGTTAGAATATCAGTGAAATTCCAACACCGTCTTAAATCAGTATTTCATAAAGATTATTTCTTTATGAAACACTAAAAAGTGGCAGATCCGTTTTAAGTAAAAATTTACCCCCTCCCCAGAGGTGGCACAGCATGGTTTAGTGGGTGTTACACAAACTGTAACATACATGCTCTATTCCCTCCTACCGCACGTTTACCATTTGATTGGCACAGCTTGTGCAGTTTCCCTACACATTGGGTATCAAATATCTATGGAGACGCCATAAATATCAGTGCTGTACTCTTGAGCATGTGCCAAAATACGCACTGGTGTGCTCTTCCGATGAAGCACAGGGAGCTGAAGAGTGAAGATGGCGTTGGACAGCATCAGGTACGTCTAACTCACCTATACTGCATCCCAAGTCACCGCAACCCAAGCAATGATGTCCCCAATCGTGGTTCTTTGCAAAATATGCAAAGACTCCAGAGAGTGACAAAGCCATTTTAACAACCACTGACCTAAATGCATAGACCCTTTGTCCTTTTAAATTGGTGTGCCATCCTTAAACTTTTGTGTTGCTGTACACAGGGAAACAAAAACAAAAAACAAAACAAAGCAATTAATCCACATGCTTATCCGAAGCCTGAGCCTTCTGTTACAGAGCAGATGGCCCTCAGAAGGATTTGGGGGAGGAAACATAATACTGGGTGTTCTAAGTTCACTTTTATAGTCTTTAACCCACCATCATGATATCTAGGTGAGGGAACTGCTGCATTACAGACTCTGTGAGGCCTTGTTTAATCAATCCCACATCCCTTTTTTTTTTTTGCATCTGATTTCAGTTCCCTCTCCTACGTCATTGATCACATGCTTTATTGTGCAATTGGTTACTACACAGAAAAAAAAAAACTTTGGCATTAACTCATAAAAAAAATATATATAAATGCTGACCTAGGTCAAAAAAAAAAGAAAAACTCATTGCAAAGATTTGAAGGATGAGTGATTCGGTTTAATCAACAATAATCTTAACCTAAAATCAGTTTTTTCCAGTTTATTCTTGCAGATGGGAAGTGCTCACATGCTAAATTGTAGTTATTTATAGGTTGTGTCTCTAGTGTTGTTAATCAGAAAATGAAAGGTCATTCACAATAACAAATGTACTTGCAGCATTGCCCTGGCAAGATCACTTTACATAATGCTATCATAAAGGAGATAATGGAATGAATAATGATTGTTATGTGAATCAAGACTTGCCATGTAGATGTCAACACATAACCATTTGCTTGGAGAAGAAAAAAAACAAAAAACCCCACAAAAACAAGAATGCAATGAGTACACTACAAGGTGTGCCAGACCAGAGAGACTGATTTACATCCAAATGAAAATGGTAGGTATGTCTATATCCCATTGTACAGCGCAACGGAGCTTGCTGGCGCTATATAAATAATAATAAGATCTGCACACTCAAAAGTTTTTGGGTTAACATAAGCTCCCGGCAAGATATGTAGCCTGTTTTTTAGAATCACCCAAAGATGGGTTGTTATCCTACCTACCCTCTCCATGTGTTGTTGCACTATATTTCTTAACCCCTTAAGGACACATGACATGTGTGACATGGAATGATTCCCTTTTATTCCAGAAGTTTGGTCCTTAAGGGGTTAATCATTCCATGAAACATACTACTAGATTCCAGGAGGGCCAGTGACAGACACTCCTAATCTACAGGCATCAGTAAATTTGGCAGTTTTTCCCACAACTTTTTATTTTTTTTTTAGAAAAGTAGGAAATACCCTACTAAGAGGCACAATACAAAAATGTGCACATGTATGTAGGTATATGTGTCCTGTGGATTCTTATAGCATCTAAGTGTATTTATTACACTAAAAACACAAATGTAGAAAGGAAAATACACTAAAGAAGTAAGTCTAAAGATACATGTGGATGTGAGCTCACTGGAAAATTCTGAAAAGATAGAGAAAAAAAACCCACACAGCTATGCCAGCACTGCATGCTTTCCCTTTAACCTGAGGAGTGAGATGCTAATATGTATAGTAATAATTGCAGCTGTTGTTCTGCTACAAAGATAGATATTGGACAAATCCATGGTATGTCCTGTGTTAACACATTGACTGATACAGGCACACAGATGGGTAACAGATAAGTCCAAACAGATGGGATGGTTATTACATAAACCCACACAGGAAACAGTAATTATTACATCTAAAGTCAGCATGTGACAAGGAATCTGAGGGTTCTATGGAACCATGTACTAAGAGTAAGAAAGGTTCTAATTATATGGTTTTCTGGGGCTACTCCCTAGTCTAAAAATAAAAATAAATTATAAAGGGCTGAGTTTCCATCACACCCTGCATGCCAAAACACTTTATCTAATAGGATTCACAGTCAATGGTACCCCAATAATCAGTGGTACCCCAAACCTGGAGACTGGCCTGTTACAATCACATCATCCAATGGTTCTCACCTGCAGATGCGGCTCAGGCCTCCTCTGGGCGGTAGGAAAAGGCAGCAGTGTCACAGTGTGAGAGGAGATAGGAGGTGTGGGCTGCCAGCTCACTGTGTGCAATAAATAAATAAATAATAAAATAAGACTCACACAGATCCCACCTCCTGGCAGCTACCGCTTCTCTCTCTACAGGCAGCCAGACTGGCAAGCACACTGCTAGGGGAAGATGGAAAGGAGGGAAAGGGGCGGGGCTAGAACGTTCACCGCTAAGTGACAACTGAAGGGAACCAATTACAGGAAGGACAAGAGTGGGTGTGACCAACCATCTTCAGGAGTCAGATACTGGGGTAGGAGGAAGCTGTAAGATGCAGAGCATGGCTAGCTGGTACTGTACCTTTATATGGGTTAACCCTGTGAGTGCCAGAGGGGAGCATGGCTAGCTGGTACTGTACCTTTATATGGGTTAACCCTGTGAGTGCCAGAGGGGAGCATGGCTAGCTGGTACTGTACCTTTATATGGGTTAACCCTGTGAGTGCCAGAGGGGAGCATGGCTAGCTGGTACTGTACCTTTATATGGGTTAACCCTGTGCGTGCCAGAGGGAAGCATGGCTAGCTGGTACTGTACCTTTATATAGGTTAACCCTGTGAGTGTCAGAGGGGAGCATGGCTAGCTGGTACTGTACCTTAATATGGGTTAACCCTGTGAGTGCCAGAGGGGAGCATGGCTAGCTGGTACTGTACCTTTATATGGGTTAACCCTGTGAGTGCCAGAGGGGAGCATGGCTAGCTGGTACTGTACCTTTATATGGGTTAACCCTGTGCGTGCCAGAACAGAGCATGGCTAGCTGGTACTGTACCTTTATATGGGTTAAGCCTGTGAGTGCCAGAACAGAGCATGGCTAGCTGGTACTGTACCTTTATTTAGATTAACCCTGTGAGTGCCAGAGGGAAGCATGGCTAGCTGGTACTGTACATTTATATGTGTTAACCCTGTGAGTGCCAGAGGGAAGCATGGCTAGCTGGTACTGTACATTTATATGTGTTAACCCTGTGAGTGCCAGAGGGGAGCATGGCTAGCTGGTACTGTACCTTTTATATGGGTTAACCCTGTGAGTGCCAGATGAAAGCATGGCTAGCTGGTACTGTACTTTTATGTACTGTACCTTCGGCTTCCAGTATCATTTCTATGCGAATGACACACAAATTTATCTGTCCGGCCTGATTTTTCACCACCCCTCTTGACTCGTGCCTCTGACTGCCTCTCTGCTATTTCCAACTGGATGGCTGCTCATTTCCTTAAACTGAACCTGTCCAAAACAGAACATCTGGTGTTTCCTCCCTCAAGTGTTGCTACTCCCTTACCTTTGTCCCTCCAAGTTAATGGCGCTACCATCCGCTCTACCTCTAAGGCTCGCTGCCTAGGTGTTCTCTTTGACTCCGACCTCTCTTTCACCCCTCGTAAGGCAGTGGATGAGTGACAGGCAACAGAGGGTTGAAGTCAATGGAGTATATTCGAAGCATGGTGTAGAAAATTGTATTGGGCTGTCCTGAGGTATTATTGTGAGAATGTTAATTTTAGCTTTATTTCCTTTGTATCCATGTTTCGTATGCAGCATTCGTCTGGTTGTTCATTAAAAACACTCCGTTCGACATACGAACAAACTACCGAACAACCAGACCTCCCTAGAGTGAAGTGTGCCTCATTTACCTCCCGCATCTATGTTCCAACCACATAATTGGTAATTAAAAGAAATGTATTATGTGTTCCCTGGGTGGCCGCCATTCGGCATACGAACACGTGGCGGTGGCCATCTTAACATACGAATGCTCAGCGGTGTTTGGTCGTCGAGTGTCTGGAACCCAAATCGGACACTCGACTACGCGAACATCGCTGAGTCCTCCAGACTTCCATCATTTCGTTTAAAAACTACCGAATGACCCGCCGTTCGGTAGAAAGAATCCAACAAACAAGGGGATTCATACGAATCCAACCCCAGTCTATGTAACCCGGTACTTTCGTGTGTTTCATCCCTCAAACTGAGACCGACCGCAAGGCCAGAATGTATGGAACTGATTTCGGCTACTACCTCCTGTGCGGTCGGTCAAATTAATACATCCATGTAACTCCTGAACCCCTGGTCCGATATGGGTGATTTTTGAGTATGTTGCTCACCCAGATCAGGGGATGTAATATTTAGGGGTGTATCTCTGGTATTAGGGGAACATTCAGAAAATGGGGAGAAATATGTATTTCTATGGAAATACCAGCGGAGACATCAATGAGAAACTAGGTCTGGGCTTGTCACCAGTGGGGTACCTCAGGGATCTGTACTTGGACCCATTCTCTTTAATATTTTTATTAGTGATATTGCAGAAGGTCTTGATGGTGCGGTATATCTTTTTGCTGATGATACTAAGATATGTAACAGGGTTGATGTTCCAGGAGGGATAAGCCAAATGGCAAATGATTTAGGTAAACTAGAAAAATGGTCAGAGTTGTGGCAACTGACATTTAAAGTGGTTAAGTGCAAGATAATGCATCTTAGATGTAAAAACCCAAGGGCAGCTTACAGAATATTTGATAGAGTCCTAACCTCAACATCTGAGGAAAGGGATTTAGAGGTGATTATTTCTGATGACTTAAAGGTAGACAGACAATCTAATAGAGCAGCAGGAAATGCTAGCAGAATGCTTGGTTGTATAGGGAGAGGCATTAGCAGTAGAAAGAGGGAAGTGCTCATGCCATTGTACAGAATACTGGTGAGACCTCACTTGGAGTATTGTATGCAGTACTGGAGACCGTATCTTCAGAAGGATATTGATACTTTAGTGAGATTCAGAGAAGGGCTACTAAACTGGTTCATGGATTCCAGGATAAAACTTACACAAGGAAAGGTTAAAGGAAAGTAACATGTATAGCTTGGAGGAAAGACGAGACAGGGGGGATATGATAGAACCTTTTAAATATATAAAGGGAATCAACACAGTAAAGGAGGAGACTATATTTAAAAGAAGAAAAACTACCACAACAAGAGGACATAGTCTTAAATTATAGGGGCAAAGGACATAGTCTAAAATTAGAGGGGCGAAGGTTTAAAAATAATATCAGGAAGTATTACTTTACGGAGAGGGTAGTGGATGCATGTAATAGCCTTCCAGCTGAAGTGGTAGAGGTTAACACAGTAAAGGAGTTTAAGCAGGCGTGGGATAGGCATAAGGCTATCCTAACTATAAGATAAGGCCAGGGACTAATGAAAGGATTTAGAAAATTGGACGGACTAGATGGGCCGAATGGTTCTTATCTGCCGTCACATTCTATGTTTCTATTGATACCGGAGAAACTGACGGAAGCAAAGCACAGAGGGATGGACACAGGTTTCTTCAGGAAGGAAGAGATTCTTTATTGGATCACCGATCGGGACTCAGAGGGACTAATGTCACCAAAAATACAGCAAGTTCTGAGCCCTGAACAATAGTGCAGGCTCCCTATATAGGCACATAACTCCTCCATATTAAGCTCCACCCGCACATTCTCTTGACCAATCATTACAAATAAGAATTAACTTCCTGCTTGACCGCATGGCTTGTCCAGCACAATGGAGGAGGAGAATACTACATCCTGTATTCTTGCACATGCTCCGTACACTACTGATCGTATCTTGCCTCGTGCAACCAACTGATCGATACGTCAGCATATGCACGTACACGTGCCACGTGGTAATCTCGGCCTACTAAATTTATTTTTACCGAGATTCCACCACATTCCCCCCTTTGATGCCTCTTGATATTTTACAATTACTTGAGGCATGACTTAACCTTGGTTTGCATACACCACAAGTTACCTTTGAACCAGACCAGACTTATCCTACGATGTGAATCTTCAACACTCGTCTTCCTGCATTGGTTCTCCCTGATCTAGAGCCTTATATTTATAGATTGCCATTATCTGTGCAGCAGCCTTCCTCTCTGCTATATTTTCTATCAGGCTTTGCACAGACCTAACTACTAAGGGTATAAGACACGGCAGGAGTAGACACAACATTAAAATCAGTAGGACTCCACCTACCACTGCCTTAAGCCCTCCAAACCACTCATACCAACTACCAAACCAACTACTTGGATTGTACCCTTTCCATACCTGAGTAGGCACATGCGCTAGTTTAACCATATGGCTAGTAAGCTCAGCTATTGCTTGCCCTGCGTCATCTATTTGAAGACAGCAATTGCTCAGGTTAAACTTCCCACATACACCTCCCTCTACTGCCAAAAGATAATCCAAGGCTAATCTATTTTGGTAAACTGCTGTCCTCATCCTGGTATTATGCTTCGCTAGAAGATTAAGCGCTTGTGATGTCTCGTTAGTAATGATCTCAACCACCGCCTGTAACCTTATAATGCGGTTGAGCATATAAATAGGGTTCTATAACCAAAGGTACCATCCTCTGCCCACATGGCTGGCCCATAATAATCTATAATACGCTGGGGAGGCCATTCATTATCTTCCCAGGCACCTATCTCTATGGGTCCCCTTTTCTTCCTATGATTCACATCATACACTTTAACACCTAAAGTCTCACCTGTTTCAATAGGCAACAAGAAGAAGGATGGTTTTAACATACCCAACACACATGCCCCTTCACAGTCCTGTGGTAACTCCGAATAGGCCTTCTTACCACAGATCCAGTACAAATTCGCTGGGGCTCTCCAGTTAGATGTGATGGATAGATCAAACCATACATCCTTTAAATTGGCATATCTTGCAAACGGGTTAGATGGTTCTGAGACATTTGAAGCCGACCACCAAGTTGTATTCTTTGTATCATCATCATAAACTTTTTGCCCTAGACAAGTTAATTCTCCTACAGAAGTATTATACATCATTCCTTTCCTCGCTATGCAAACATAACCTATGATGGAGGTCTTCAATCTCCACTCAGTTTTACCTCTAACACTCATATGATAGTCGGCTTGTGTAGATATTAATTGGTCAACTGCCTCAGAACCGGACATTACCTCCTTTGCTTCCCAAGGCCATTGGTCTCCCATGGTAGTACCTCCACACACATAGCAGTTGGTAACATTAAGACTACCGGCAATACTTTCGGCTAAATCAATGAACAAGTTTTTAGCATTATGGGGGATCTTATTATCTATGCTCATCTCTTCATAAAAGGAATGGTATGCTTGATG